CGCAAACACAAGTACGACTCCAGACTCCAGACTCCAGAGAGAGAGAGAGAGAGAGAGAGAGAGAGAGAGAGAGAGAGAGAGAGATTGGGTGAGAGATTGAGAGTGGGTAAGAGAGAGTGACGCAGTGAGAGAGTGACGCAAACACAAGTACGACTCCAGACATCACGAGTATAAAGCGAATCTTACACAAGCGAGACGCACTGCCAGCATTGCCCTGTATGATCTGTCGCCGATATACGTTTCGGTTTCTTTTGAAGTTCTTTTTTATTTCCAACCCACTTTGACATCAAAAGCCCAAGTCAGATCAACAATTCGACGTTTACATTTTTAAGTGACCATGATTTATGTTGAATCAATACAATATGTGGTTAAGTTGTCTCGCTTTCTCTGTGCAGCTAGTCTTTGACGACAGTCTCGACACGCTGGTTAGGGTATTAGGTCAACCAGTAATGATTGGGTCTGTACCAAGACTGATGTAGACAGTAGACAGCCTCGACATTACATGGGGGATACGCTACCCTGTCGCCCCGTCTGTATGTACACAGACACAAACCCGCTCCCTACATTGAGGTCTCTTATGAATATTCATTCAGGTGTTTGGAGATGTGTTTATTGATTCGTGAATTAAGAACTCCCCCCTTCCTTTGGCGCAGGGTTATGCATGTTTGTTTTGTGCAGACAACAAATGCCTCATTGTTGTTGAATGGAGGATATAGTCGACTATGGGTATTTCTCAGTAAATTGCTTCAACGGCGATGCTTTGTTTGTTGTTTAACGCCGCACTCAGTAATAGTCCAGCTATATGACAGCGGTCTGTAAATAATCGTGTCTGGACCTGGCAATCCAGTGGTTGACATCATGAGCATCGATCTACGCAATTTGGATTCGATGACATGCATCAGCCAAGTCACCGATGATGATGATGATGATGATGATGATGATGATGATGATGATGATGATGATACTTTGGGTCCAACAATTTGTTTCAGATGATGATGATGATGATGATGACGACATTTTGGTCTAACAATCATATGTAAAGCTCTTAATACACCGTATGAAGTGTAGCGACGAAGACCTTCATGCACGAATAGAGTTTCTTCATAGATTTTTAACCAACCAAAGAAAATACATCTTTGTTTTTGAAAAATAGTCATGATAATGTGAATATTTTTCAATTGGTCATATATATATATCTCTTCGAAAATTGGTCCACTGTTAAACTCGATATATTTTTTATAAAGTAAGTGCATGGACAAATATCTGTCTGCGAGTTGATACTATCGTTAATACCTCTTGTTGGGGCAATACATAATACAACAAATCATAGTTTAAATACCATATACCCCACATGGAAATCTTGTCGCGACATTGGACGGCGCTGTCTCAACCTCCCCCTTGCCAATGTTGATAGAAGCGCTGACCAGTACACGAGTCCTTTCTGACAGACAATCCGGTATGGGTTACCTCCCCTTATACACAAGACGTGAAGTGATTCTTCTAAACATTCTTTAAGTTTATAATAATAGTCCTGTTGGGCACATTACTTCAAGACATTCGTTTATTTAAAAAGATGAAGTGAATTTTTTTTGTTGGGCACCAAAAACGCCCTTTTACAAAGACATCCTGTGAATAACTTATATTTCCATACTCCAAGGCCGAGCCTGTTATTGCAATGCATAAATAAACGTGTACGTTATATCGTTTCATGCTGCAGATAATTCATATTTATATTAAATTCAATATAGTGTATGTTACGGAAGATATGTACATATGAGTGTTTTATAATAAATGTCTGACTAGACAGAGAAAACATCCATTGACAAAAACTTGCATATTATAACTACATGTAGTCGTCGATATAATGCGCTGAGCTGTTCAAAGTCCAGTCCTATAAATATTAAACAGATAAATATACTGACATAATGTCATATTCTGTTTAAGAGCAGAGGCATCCTGCAACTGTTATGTCACCCTTTGCGCTCCACTTTGTGGAACCATACATATACTAGCGGAAAAAAGTAACTGTGCTTCAAATAAAGTGGTGCAAATGTAATGTTATTGAAAGTAACAACATAATATTTGGTCATACGTCTTTTTAATGTTTTCTTATAACAAATTCATCGACAACACCAATACTTGGTAACAGTAGACTAAGCGACACGTCCTTAAAAAGTGGTGAGGTGAGGTGAGGTGAAATGGGGTTTAACGCCGCGTCCAAGATTACTGCACCTACATAGCGATGTGCATGTACATATGTGTGTGGCTGTTTGCACTAGTCTGGATTGATGCCGATTTATAGTACTAGCCCACTGAGATACCCCACAGTATGCTGACTCTTGAGCCGACCAGTCCTTGTTTCAGACACTTAATGCTGAGCGCCTGACAAGGTAACAACAAGTACCATCTGCACGTTAACGTCTTTTGGTATGACGCGGCCGGGGATGGAACCCCGGACCTTCCGCTCTCCGGGCGGACGCTCTACCACTAGACCACGGAGGCAGTCTCTTAAAAGAGTGCCACGTGAAACAACAAACCAAAAACCATTTGCAAAGGGCGATGTCGAGTCAGGATCGGCAGAACACACTTATTATTAGATTTTTCATCCCAGCTCCCTCACTACCAAACACCTAGCTCGCATCATTTATTATCTACAGACTGCGTTCCGTTCTTCCTTTACGTTTTGGATCCGGGGTAGAATAGGTCTTCGGCAACCCATGCCTGCCGTAAAAGGCGACTATGCTTGTCGTAAGAGGCGACTAACGGGATTGGGTGGTCAGGCTCGCTGACTTGGTTGATGCATGTCATCGATCCCAATTGCGTGGATCGATGCTCAGGATATCAATCACTGGATTGTCTGGTCCAGACTCGATTATTTACAGACCGCCGTCATATAGCAGGAATAATGCTGAGTGCGGCGTTAAACAACAAACAAACAAAACAAAACTTCATGGAGGCTGCCATTCACAATATGTATTAAAATTGTCTTGCGATTATTACGCTAAACAACGACGAAGCTGATAAGTTGCTTGGTACTGCACATTTGTCTGACGATTGTAGTGGTTCTTCCACTTATAGGTAATAGCACATGACATGCATTTCAGTCAAAACCAGTGTACAGCAAAAAACCGTTTCCGATAAACTACAAAATGACAACAGTCTTTGACAAAAAATGACTTGATTGTCTGGTCCAGACTCGATTATTTACAGACCGCCGTCATATAGCAGGAATAATGCTGAGTGCGGCGTTAAACAACCAACCAAACCTTTACGTTTTGAAATACACTATGTACAAGTTCTACCAAACGTTCATCCTTCATATGAACACATCAGTCGACAGTCAATCGTGGTTCATACAGAACACTTAATTCAAAGCCCTGTCGAGGTTTTTACAATGCTTCAGTGTCATTTTCAAGGCTTTCTAAGTTTGGTTATTAGCCTCAGTCTGTCAATATATTTTTTTAAATCCAGCAAATTGTATATTAGTCGTAAAACCATACTATATACTAGTCGTAAGACCTAAAAAGCAGTATGAACATCACAAATCTTTCAAACAAGATTGATTTTCACAGCCAACAAATAAAAATATTAAATCTGTCCTGAATTCCTAGATGTTTGGCAAAGTGTCAAATCTATTTGTGTGATAAATTACACTTAAACATCCTTGGTACATAACTATTGGTTTTGTGTGTTTTAATACTTTTATTAAAAAGATTATGTCATTTTGTACAAATTCAAGGCTTTTCAAGCTATTTTAGTGATTTTCAAGGCTTTTCAAGGTTGACACTAAGAATCTAGGTTTTTCAAGAGGGACATTATAATTCAAGGCCTATTCAAGCCTGAATGAACCTTGTCAATATACACAGATGGCTTGAACACTTTATTAAAAAATAACATCTTCCCAGTTTTTGAAAATTTAGTTGAAAATCTCACGATTAATTACTTGTGGCCTAACAGGAACTCTGTAGCAGGCTTATGCACAGAAGGTAATACATATAGGGCCTTGCTCCCAATGTTTGTGTTTGGCATCTGGTGTTCCAAGTTATTTCAGCAATCCTAATGCTTCTGACAGTGTTGCTTTATGGCACAGTCAGCAATATTATAGCAGTATCACATCAACCAGTCTGGGTCAGGCTAATCAGTGGTCAAGGTCCAAGCATATTGTCAAGGTACATTGACATCCAATCTGCCAAGTTACACATTGTAACTGTGCCATGCTTATTTCAGTCAGAAAAGAGACCTTCTCCCTACAGCGTCCAACACAAGTTCACTTTGTCTTGATGCACTTGGTACACAGCTATTATTCAAATCAGATGAATGGCAAATTGCAATTATTTTTCACTATTTGTAGATCAAGCAACACAACTACAAGATACTTTTAATATACTGTTTGTCAATCCGCCTGGCGAGTCCAGTTAGAATTGGCCCTCAGCTTGAGGTATGAGGATCTTCAAGGATGATTTGATCGGACTCATCCGCCTAGTTGATGATGAGTCAGTTGGTTCCAGACAGTATGGGACATTTTTCATATTACTGATTAATTACAGGCCGCCATCATATGGCTGGAATATAGCTTAGTGCAGCATTAAACAACAAACAAACAAGCTGCCATGAGACCAATCATGAAAGTACTTCAATGATCATTGTGAAGTAATTGGACTTGTTTGCAACAAATGTTTAAGCAGAGGGTGTTCACAATCTTTGGACATATTTGATGTAGTTTGGAGAGTGAGAGTTTGATTTTACGCCGCTTTTAGCAATATACCAGCAATATCAGGGCAGGGGACACCAGAAATGGGCTTCACACATTGTACCCATGTCGGGAATCAAACCCCGGGTCTTCGGCGTGACGAGTGAACGCTTTAACCACTTGGCTACCTGGCCGCCCCTGTAGTTTGGTAAAACGGTAGGAAGTTCATGTCCATATGACAACTTTTGTTACAATTTGAATTATGCTTTTTTCCATTCTTGTGCTCACAGGCAAAACACAGAAGAGTATATATATTTATACATTATTTATTGATGACGTGTATCTGGTACATCTACAACATTTTCTAAGGGCAGTTTCCCCTAGATGATGTCAGACTTTTGAATTAATTCAGCTTCATGTTTGATAACAGGACGCAGGTCTATAGGAGAATGAATGTCACACTATTTTCATCTCTACCCTTCCAAAGTAGGGTTCAACATGATTTGCCTAATATAATAAAACCATTTTTAATAATAATATTAATAATAATACACATTGGTAACATGTAATAATAATGACATGAATATAACTGTATGTACCTTGATCACGTGGCTAGTTAAAAATCAGAATTATTTAGATTTTGTACATTGCAAAGAAACAACATAACCAACCAAACAAACGCATAACAAAGGACCTGTAATTAAGAAATACAGCCCGATGCATTCACAGTTCACAAATTGCATCGCTTGAAGCTCTGCACAGTTTAGTACTCAACAAAGCCGATTACTTACATATGTTTCAATTCTATAGATACATGCACAATATACATAGCCTACGATCTCCGTGACGACAGACTCCGGTAGGAACCTACAGTGGTGTCACTATGCAGTCGGTAGCCGCTTTACACCATGGAAACTGAATGCTAGACATTTGCCTCTAACTTTTACAGCTGCTTGCTTCCCCTGAACAGGCAGGAGGAGACAGGTATTCTAATTGCACAGAGTGACTATGACGTACATACGTATGCCCATATGCTAAATGGTTCATGGCACTACTCGACGTGGTAACTTCGCTCGCACTCGGCAGACACTCAGTGATCGACTGTTCCAACCATACAATACGAGGCAGTCCAATTAACAAGAACACACACGAATAGATTAACATCTAACTTCAATACTACCCAGTATTTGTCTAGAACCCTGACGTGTGGAAATATGCTTGAATGAAATCGGAAACAACTATGACCATCATCACGATGTAACAATAAATACTAATGGTTTCCAAGAGAGTGAATCAGGTCAGGAAAGAGTATCTTTAGGCAGCTCACATGGAGAGCCAAGGCTCCAAACAAATAGTAAAAAAAAAAGGAAAATTTGCAAACATCTGTATTTCATAAAGGAATGTGAATATGTTATGTATACAAGGGATTAAAATTTCATATCATTACACCAGTTGAGTTCTGATTCAGCTTATGACTTATGCTAGCAAGCCAGTAATCACATGATTCTAACGCTGATGCCTCCCTGTCGCAAGGATGGGTGGCGATACAGCCAAATGACACAAGTGCAGGCAGGTGGGAGCGTATATTACACTGCTCGACTCATGAGTGAATGGTGTGGTCCAGGGACTAGGCCAGACTGTCAGACAGGCAGTGATGAGGGCTGACTGACTGGCTGTCTACATGCTGTAGCCGAACGGCATTCCTGTTGGCATTGGTCCTGCACCGTATGCGCCACCGTAGCCAGGCTGGGGAGGAACAACACCAGGGGGGACAACTCCAGGGCCGGCTGTCAACATCAACTGAGGTTCAGCTGGAAGAGGATAAAAGCAGCATTGTAGACAGAACCTAGTTTTGTTGTCAGTAGGATCTTGTTTAATTGTGGAATGAATGTTACTTAACAGCGATCGGCAATATTCCTGCCATGTCATATCAGCGATAGAAAGTAACATTTTTAGTCCACTCGTCCTTATAATGATAACATATAGCTAACCCTTAAAAATGGCAAATTTCTACTAGCCCTTGTGATACCTGAACTATTGGGAAGTTGGCAAGGACTACAAGAATAGTGCCAATTTCTAATGCTGCATATCCAGACAGGAAACCTAATCGCTAAGACCATCTTAACTCCACACTTTAACAAACGTAAAATATTCTTAGCCCTTTTTTTACTTCGTAGTAAAGAGAGTGACAAGGGAGATAACTCACAGAACACAATGGGCCTCTCTTCAGCCTTCTGTTCCTCCTCACTCCTCACAGCCTCTGACTGCTCCAACTTGTCCACCTGAAACACAGAACACAGATGTCACCCACACACATCACAAGGCCTGCATGTCACACACACTCGGACACACACAGGTTATCATTCGGGAGCAGTTCAACAGCGTCATGTCGGATAAAAATCTTAATTCGTGTGTGTGGTGTGGTGTGGTGTGGTGTGGTATGGTGTGGTGTGTGTAGTTAACATGTCTGCAAATTTTCAATCAAAATCAACATTTTCTGGGGTTCTTCAGTTCTAAGTCAATAAAGAACACTTATGATGATATTTTTTACTAAAAAAAACCCCAAAATAAAAAAAACAATCCCTATTGTTGGAATAAGATTTCATACGAAAGGATGTCATTTGAAAAAACTTTATTGAATTGATCTACAGCTTGTGCTAACATGCAGTAGTACTATGATATGTATGTTTCCTGAAACCTCTTTGAGGATGTCATCCTTTAAAATGAAGTGTGTGGTGGGTTGTATCGCAAAACACAAGAATAAAGTTCTTCATCCGACATCAAACTTTAAAACTGCTCCAACATATATCCCACAATAAGGCTTCTTCCATCTCTGCCCTACATACACGAAGAAGATAGCCCTGACATAGTATCTCCAACTGTTGTGCCTGGGTAGAATTTAACATGGCAAGTCTCAACTTAGAAGTGAAAACACACAAACTATGAACTTCTAGTACCTCAAACAAGACCAATAAACCTACAAACAAAAAAGGCTTGTGGGTTTGGGGCTACTGCTATTTCTATCCAGTGCTGATTTCAATCACTGATGAAGTCGGGGGTGGATTTTATATAGGAGTGGGGCAGTCCATGCTCATATTGGTCTGGGCTCACATAGGGCTAGGCTAGGGTTAAAACGAATGTGGGTGGAGAGAACCTGCTGACTGGAAGGTACTCATATTTTGTCTCATCACACATTCCAACATTAAACTGTTTGTTACAGCATCAGATAGGACTTTTTATGATTATTACTTGTGAAAAATAATACAAAGAAAGCTTATTCAAACTGACCTCATATTTTGTATGTAACCGAAAACAAAAACAATGCTTTGTTTCATCTCAAATATGAACACTCTGTTCCAAATGTCTTGGTGAATTAATACAAATGTTTTTTTTAAAGATGTATTAGGAGTACACACAGCAAAAAGTGTCCATCAATTCCTAAATTTGTATGGCAACCAAACTTCAAATGTGTTGCATAAAAACCACTGCACAGACTTTGAAAAGTGGTGAAGCAAGAATTGGTGTAAGTATATGTTAGGATGACATAGAGCCAAGTAGATAAGCTATGCACTTTTGTTTAATATTCTTTTTCGTTTCTTGGGGTAGGGAGGGTTAGGCTACTTCACAAAAACTTTCAGATTGTAAAAACTATATAACAAAAAGCACTTTCTGCGCAATGACTGAATTCAGTCAAAATATTCTTTATCAAATTAACTATATATTGATAAGGTTCGAAAATAAACCCAGTGCAAAAGAGCTACACTAGAAGATTGAAAGGAGTTCAAAACTACTTAAGGCAAAACCTAGACTGACCACATATTATTTGAACTGTATTGTTGATCAGTGAAAAGAAAAATCCCTTTCAACACCCCATGCAAAACTGTCACCATCGTTCTCATAACTCAAGCTGTGTGCATTTCAGTTGTGGCAACAAAGGAGGATAAATGCACATTTAAGGTTAACTCAAATTCAACTAAAAAAAGCACAATCATTCCAATCGGCTAAAAAAATGCCACATATAGGGACAGTGAAAATGCATGGGGTGTGTCTGGGATCCCTACTACCACCAGCAGAAGAGGACTTGGGAACACCCTAATATTCTTCGCCCTTAGACTGAAAAAGATGTGACTTCCTTCACAAGAATTAAATACAATGTTCAGCCCGTCCAAAATAGGTGACAAGATAAAACTGCACTAGACAGCAGAGCCTTGAGCTGAAACAACTTCTTACCTTCACAACTAGACTGTTGACCTGAAAGCAGGGAGCAACTTCAACATGGGAAACAGGGGGACTTATGCTTGATGGCACCTAGCTTATTTGACATTCATTCTCATCTCTTTCAGATAAAATATGGAAAAACAAAATGCAATCCAATCTCAACTTGCTTTGGTCATGTTTTTCATATTTGCAAGTCCAAATAATTATTAAAGCTGAAATTTTTTCTCATGTAAAAAAACCCAAGAATATATCAATCATTTTGCAAACAATGTCTTGTGGATCTGGAACTAATTCAGAGTGAAATTGTCTAGATAAATGAGCATTGTTGTTTTGTGTAGAAAAACACAAGTTCCCCACAAAATGCCAAGAAGATGTTTCTGGATAAACACAGTCTAACCAGATCTCAGGGTACTCATACAGTGGGACAAAATTGAATCACATGTGATAAAAAACAATGGCCTAAACAAATATGTAATTTCAGAGGGTAAAACTAAAAACCAAAGAGTTCAGATTTGAAGAAAATAAGCATAGAAGTATGCAGTGTAGTTGAGATTGCATTGCTAGAATCCTATACTGTGTAGAAGTCGGTGTGCAGACCCACCTTGCCAATGTATTCTCTCATGACCTGGATCATGTATGGCATGGCGAAGTCCATGATGTTGTGTCGCCATGCAAGCTCCAGGATAACATCAGGCCGCAGAAGGTCATAGCACTGGAACAGACATGCAGCAAAGCACTCGTTGTTTTGACTCTCCAGAAACCAGGCGATCAGGTCCTCTGCGATATCCACTTGTCTTGACTCTCCTGCATACATCATAGCATCCTGAAACAAGGGAACAGTTTGGTCACCAAGTCACATCTATGCCTGTCAATAATGTAAGGGAAATATCTGAAGATTGTAGTCTGTCAGTAATCAAGTCTTGATACACAAGCTTATGGTTTGCAACTATCCATAAGCAGGGAACAATGGCAAACCAGTAACAAGAGAAAGTTGGTCTTGATGACAACCCTCTATTTGTACTGGTCATTGCTTAAACTGACTTTCATTCAGTTGCCCTTATAACATTGGGTACCAGTAAGCAATGTAACCTGGCTTTCACGTTGGCATGTGAGCACTGACACAAACTTGTCTGAAGCTGAGCCTGGTTTACAGTCAAGCCATATCTTAACCACTGGACTATTCTTCCTCAAATTTATTCAAACTGTCAGTGTCTAGGACTTCATAGCCCTTATGGCAACCCCGCACCAGTAAAATTGAGGAAGGCATGATTACATGTACAAACAAAAATGAACGTCTAGTCATGAAGAGTGTTGTATTTATATCTCTAGTCAGCACTATTCAAGCTACACAAATCGTTCTGTAAATAAATAAATCTGGACCAGGCACACCAGTGAATAGCAACAAATGCAAAGATCCATGCTGTCTGTGTACGAAGACGAACTATCAGCAAGTACAAACAAGCTGCGGACCTGATTGTAGTCAGACAAGCATGGGGTGCTTGCCACCCATGGCCTTGGAATCCTCATCGAACTGTTTCAATCAGCAAGTGAGCGAGGCTACCGTGGCTTCCATAAACTTAAAGTCTGATATCTTACCTTGAACAGTTTATCCTTTTTGCAAAGATCAACAGACTGCTTCCACCTGTTGTTGCCTTTGTACAAATAGGCTGCTATTCTCCTGAATTCAATCAACTCATGCTTCTCTAGACGCTGGGCCAGCGAGATGTTGTCAAAGTTTTCATACGCATCAATAGATGCCCGAAGTCCCTGGTAGTCCTCCTCCTCAATAAACAGGTTGTTGAGTGCCTCGTTAATGGCCTTGTTGTTATTTTTCTGAACAGACCGCAGGTAAGGCTTGACGAGCGGGATCTGGTTAGCCTTGGCGAAGAAGTTGACTGACCGTGTGTGGTCAAGTCTGGGTGTTAGAACCAGGAGCAGGTCATTAAGCAACATTGGTTTATAGTCCAGGTAGAACTGAATAGCTTTGTAATACAGCTCTATGTTTGCAACTTTGGTGACAATATCCTTGAACTGACTTTCTCTCCAGGCTTCTGTAGGATGGGCCATCATTGTTAGGATTGCATTGTCAAACTCTTCATACTTGTCATACAGGAACACCAACTCGGACCACAAATGAGCCTGCTCAGCTGCTCGCAAAACCTGTAATCAACATCACATGAATAAAGCATACTTCTAAATAAATTATAAATTACACTCTCCAGGCACATGGTCTACCATTAGAGCACGGAGGCGGTCCCGTACAATGGAGAGTGAGTGAGTGAGTGAGTATGGTTTTACGCCGCTTTTAGCAATATTCCAGCAACATCACGGCGGGGGACACCAGAAATGGGCTTCACACATTGTACCCATGTCGGGAATCGAACCTGGGTCTTCGGCGTGACGAGCTAACGCTTTAACCACTAGGCTACCCGACCGCCCCCGTACAATGGAGAAGTCCCATGTTTCAATGTTACAGCCAGAACAATTGAACTGACCTCTTTGACTCAAACCAAATGATAAAACTATTGTGACACTTAGTTTGAAAACCCTGAGAACATGGATGATACTGTTTCCAATGCAATCGTATGGATTGAAAGTGCCAGATTAATGAAACAAGGATTTAGAGTAATGTTTCTTCAAACAAACTTTAGATACATCCAACAAAATCATCCCAATAATATGGTTTGTCGACTAACAGGGTCATGATTTCTTATCACTCAAGTAACACTATTGTTCATTCGATATTATTTTTATATATGCACATACTGTATATGCCAACTTACTTCTATATAGCTAAAGTCAAATACATCTTTCAATATTTGTATATCATACAGCTTCATACTTTTCCACAGACTTCTCTATATGTTAACTGTATTTGTCAAGTAGTCATATCTAAGTATCCTCACCTTTGGAATGTTGACCCTGGACCAGAAGAGCTCTAGATGTTCTCTCATCTTCTCAGGCTTATACTTGGAATACAATATTGCTAACTCTGTGAACATACCCATGTGTGCTCTCTCCAAACCTGCAAACATAAACACTTCCTCTTAGAATAACATAGAAAATCAGCAGTGTGCATGTTGAGATTTGTTTCTATTTCAGGCTATTATTTCTTTCAAATTATATATAACATAGGCAGGCTAATTGTGCATATCAAGAGGATGGACAAGCATGAGCATGTGAATCTTGTTTAAGCCTTGGGATATGTTATTTCACTTATATCACAACTGGCTGAAAATAACAGACTGGCCAGACAGTCTACCAGTTCACTGCATGAGCTACGACCCAGAGATAGGGGTACCATGAACACAATGGAACTACCCTGGTAACCCAATCCTGATGTTACTTGGTAGTTACAACACATAAATTGTACTGAGGACCTATTCTGCAGAACAATCCCAAGGTTTCAAGCCAACGGATATGTTAAGGCCAATGATTTTGTTAGTCTGTGGTTCAACGCAGTACACAGCAATATTCCAGCTATATGATGGTGACTTGTAAATAACCAAGTCTGGGACAGACAATTCAGTGATTGATATAGAGCAACTGACAATTTCGATTCATATGGTTGCCTCTTGTCTGACTTATTCTAATGTGGAATCCCCACAGGGTTCAAGGTCAATGAAGGGCAAGGACTTACCTAAAGCTGCCTCTAAGAGGGAAATAAGTTCTTCAAAGTATCCTCTGTCTTGGTAATAGTTGATAAGTTCTTCTAATTCATCTGCATGTACAACTATGTGCAGTCCACACATCTGAGCTAACCTAAACTCCTCATTGTCTACACAAGCAAAGCACACCTGGAAAACAAGACACATAAACAGTTTATGGATATATTGCTGCTAAACATGCTAGTACGAATTAACCATTCAGTTAGAACTGTCAATGTCAAAAATCAGTGATTCAACATCCACAGATTGATTACAATTTGATGGGGTGAAAGAAAGTCAAAATATTTAGGGGCTCTTTAGTCTTGTGTAAATCCACTTGCCAAAAATATATTACCTCAATTTTAAAGATACCAGCTTTAGTATTTGAACCAAAGGACACACACACACACACACACACAAATATCAAATTTAACTTGACAAGGGTCCTTTGACATTCATTAATAATTTCATTTCTTAATTTTGAACACTGACTTTGGCGTTTGGGGCATCTGTAATACTTTAACCCATTTTGGGAAAATTAGTTCGCAACAAGAGTGTTAACCAACCTCCTTCCATGTTTTCGTGCTGTTGGCTTTCCTAGCCCCGTCAACAGCTCCTTGGTATTCTCCCAAGTGGACGAGAGTGATGGCCAGTCGGGCATAGTTGGACACATTGTTGTATAATAATTTAGCAGCTTCGTACATCTTGTCATCAAAGCATCGGTCTGCAACCTAATTAGAGAAAAGGGATTCAATGCAAATTCTTTCTCCTAGCACATCCAAAATGAGTTGGAAGCAAGGAAATTTTACTACTATGACCAAAGGTCATTTTGGAAGAAAACCTGGGATTCCAAGCCCATTACAAGCAGCAGTCTGTGCCAAAATTTTGAGTCTTCTAGCCCAAACTTGTATTTTGGTATTATCTCCAGTACATAATAGTCTTAGTATATGGACTAGTCCTAGTTGATCTTACTTAAAGAGGTTTTACTAAACAGGTGCAGATCCTGGGTTTGGGATGCAATTACGTACAATTGAGACTCCTTACTGGGCCCTTTTATAATGTATTTTGATACTATTTTCTTACCTGAGTGACATTAGCATGGTTGGGTCCAGAGATGAACTCTTCCATGTCTGCAAACCTGTTGGTCTTGGCGAAAGCATATACTAGCTCTGTTTCTACGTATGTTTCTCTGGCCTTCTTGCGGGCCATTTGAAGGAATTTAACCAGGTCCTCCCAGTTGTCTGAAAAGATCAAAATGTCATAAGCACCGGAAATATCTTGAAAATCCATGAAACAACTTCAACACATCAATGTAGCATAAGCACAAAGACAAAATTCTCAAAATGATTTGAAGGAAAGAGTGAATCGTGTAACTGAGTAAATAGGGTCTAGAGCTTAAACAGCAAACATCACCACATGTCAGCTTAGCGTACGAAGAAAGCGCAAGATGGTTACTTTATTATTATGGTATTATACATTTATAAACTCCAGGTATCCAGATACCAGTAGCTGCTCAAATGCGGTTTTATTTGTTCCACGACCAGTGGATCATGCTCAACCCCCCTTGGAGTATACAACACAAGCTGCCTACGGGTGCCAATTGGCTTTTACATAAACCTCACATATCGAGTACCCATTCCCTGCTGGGTGAACAGAGGCTTATTTGAAGTAGGTCACATGACTTTGGTTAGTAAATAAAAAATCAGAGTGAATCACAGGATCCTGGCACACCCAAGGGACACAACTCCAGAATAGAAAATTATGGAGCCTCAGACAACTTGGCCTCCCAGCTTCCCGAGGTATTAAATGAAAGTAGAGTGTTACTCACTGCTCTGACTGGCCACTTGTACCACCTCCATGTATTGTGAGGGGTCATCAGCCTTGATGAAGGAGTCAATTGCTTCCTTCACCATGCCTTTGTTCAGCTGGGCGCGACCCAGTTGGGTCCACACAGCAGGGTCGTTACATCGCTCAGCAAATTCATATGCCCGGTCAAGGTTGTTCACATTGTCTATCAAGACCTGCAAATCAATATGTAGATTCTTAATTCTCTTGTCAACTTAAACATTTGATGCAGCTATGGCATAACAGATTAACCATATAGAAATATGAAAGAATCAGGTGTTCTTTAACTTCTTTTGAGTAGTATATAAAAAGTCAAAGTTTACACAGTTCAAGTTTGACACTTCACTTCACAGCAATATATCCAATATTTTTTAAATCAAACACTGCCATCTTGTTCCACTATATTATCTCACTACATGGTATATGAAAGTGATTGCATCTGGGGTAAAGCTGCTTTGAATAGTATTTCAGATATATCACAGCATTTCAGCTTGAAGTGGGAGGAAAGCCCGATGTGACACAGGTCTTAGACATTTACCACTTAAGTGAAACAAACAAGCATGGGTTGGTGCTGTCAAACCCAGTAACATCATCAGAGCAAATCTTGTATTCAAACCTACATGCATGGTCTGTCACACCAAAGGGATGCAATTGGACACAGCAAATTGCAGTGCCTCAGACGACCAGGCCACCCATGCTCCCACACAGTAGACACTGAGGTTACTACAAATGTTGGTACGATGAGGAGACAACTTACAGAGATGGCTGATGTGTTGACTTCAAACTTTTTGAAAATGGCGAAAGCTTCTTCATATAACTCATTACTTATGGCGATATTGGCAATGTCTGGTGCATCATAGTTATCAAGACGGTTGATGTACTCCATCACACGAGTACGGTCAGCTTTGATTGCGGTCAGAATCAGCAAATTTTGTAGGTTCCTGAAAAATCAGAGATTACAGTAAGTAATCATTCACGTTTAACATATGGCATCATGTGCTGATTCAGCAAAGTAACTATATCAACTGTCATTTATTATGTATGTACTAGTCTTACAAAGAGTACAATACAAAGGTCAAACTGTCAGTAATTACAAGGGATAGACATAAGAGAAGAGAAGCCTGTGTTTGTAATCACTGTTATCATGTACACCTTACAAACCCTGGTTATGTTGTGAACAAATCAGACACTATCATCTCATTTTTTCATATTTTGTTGAATATGAAGCATATTAACTAACACAGATGTACACATTATTCTGGACCTTTTGTGTGTGTTTCCTTTATTCCGGCAGTATAAATTCGACATATAATCTGCAGCTAAGGTGTATACATCCCCAGAAAGGCAAATATCAGTATAGTGTTAAGTTTTTCAAGCAACATTATAGTCGGACTTCACAAACTACTCATGTGGGTAATCCAAATTTTCCTTCCGTTGTATGACTGAACCATTATCTTTTCAATCTGACTAACCCCAACAAAATACTAAGAGAGCGGTGTTTGAATTTATGGGAGATCCTTAGGTTTGCTCTTGTAGTATTTGAGTCTGGGAATTCTCAAAACTTTGAACTTTTGGCATTAGGGTTATGACAAGGACCTCTTGACTTATAAGCTCAATTTGAACACTGAACAGCCAAACTATTTCTCAACACAAACATGCTAGCACCTACCTGTGGTCACTGAACACTGAGCTCTCCAGCACGATCTTCTCCAGTAGTTCAATGAGTTCATTGGGCAGGTCAGCGGTCATGAAGGCCTTGACAGTGATGGAGATCTCCTCTGGGTCCTGTGTCTCAGACAGTGCAGTCTGCACCACCTGGTCAATGAGTTGGCGCCGGTACTCATTGGTCTCCTGTAGTACCTCAGCCCACAACTCAACATCCTTTCTCCTAACAAGGTATCTTGCCTCACTCTTGAACAGCGAGTTCTCGTTGCACACCTAGAAAATAAACTTCTTGTTAGCACCTACATGTCTAAAGAAGCTTACATCATTGTCAGATTTTGATCAGACTTTATTGAATACTGTCAGCTAACGGTACAAGACAAATTCAATAAGACGAACTTATTAAACTTACATCCTATTCCTATATAAAGAGGTGAATAACAATGTAACAGCAAAGCCTGAACTTGTATATCAAAGACTGACTTGAATTAACCACCTTCCTGAAAATTTCCTGTTTCGACTCAAATACTACCATGAACTTGTATGTCTCAGTTTGAAGCAGTTTGAACAAGTTTATGCATGTGTTGGGTTCTTATGATTAATTCCAAAGATATGAAGGTTTATATAAGGGTGAGCTTTACAGAAGAACCCTGATGATGCAGATATGAAATACGGATGGACAGACAGACCAGATGATGACTTTATTCCCCTGCATAATATGCCGGGGGTATAACAATTACCGAATTTCAAGATTTACAAAGCATGGTTACAGTGTCGTCCCTGATTTGTCTGGAAATCGCGTTCCAACTTAATTAGGTGTGGACTAAGTGGGTATAGCAAGTACAGCAAGCAAGAATAGATACCTTGATGAGTTCCTGATCACACTGTCCCCTCTCGTATGCAACACAGGCCAAGTGAGGATCTCTCTTCTCACAGTACTTTCCTACGACAACACTGTCATAGAACTGGTTCTCTCTGTAAGTAAACACTCTCATTACAATGGATCACCAATGTGTCATCAATGCATGTCTTGAGAATCCCTGGTCAAAATTGCTTCTCTTTAGCATTTTTTAAACAGCTTAACATACATAAGATATGGGGGTGTGCACATCAAATATGCATATCACAATATGACACTGAACATACTTGCACATATTAATCTCTATCAGTTTTCAAACTTATATTTCATACTTTTGCGAAAATGACAACTTGGGCTAACTTTACTTTACCATCATCAAAAAGCATAGCACTAAATCTGACTAAACTATGTAAGCCAGGAGTACACATACCTGAGGAACCTCTCTGGGTTATTATTGCTATCAATGTAGATTTTAGCTAGAGCATTATGTGTTGCAGGCTCGTTCACTCCCTCGTGTACTCTTGTTTCTAGCCATGGCAGCAGCAACTTCAATCTGAAGGAGAACACTGCAGATAAGTAACAAGTCATACCAAACACATTTTTCTTTCATAATCATTAGTTAAGGCTATAAATAAAATAGTCTTGGTTCTCAGGCACCGCGAGCATCATCATAAAGTTTGGCACACTTTCCGTTTTTATTTCCAGGAAAGTACTGTAGTCCAGTATTTTACTCATCAAGGAGTACATTTATGTAGGGAGGCCCTTTCCCAAGCTGATTGTACACAACTGTTTATTTGGTTACATACCATTTTGAAGAAGAGAAGAGAAGAGAAGGAAAAAAAGAAAAAGAAGAAAATAATCACCGTCCACCCCATATTTTCAAAAGCCACTGCCTGAGAACCACTTCTTTTAAATATTTTTTAAGCCACACAGGCACAAAACATCCATCTTAACAATTAAAGTGTTAGAAATGCTGGATAGAAGAAAGGCTGCTTCTCTTTTCTGTAATGTTATAAATAGAGGATTTGAGTCCTCAGATCCACACACAATTGCCAGAAGCTTTTGGGATCTCTGCCTAATGATGGACTCAAAAAGCATCAATATGCACATGTTATTATGAACAAAGATCCATTCCATCGGGGTACGATAACACACAATCAACCAAGTCCTTGAACCTGATCACCCGATCCATTTAGCCACATCATATGACAAGCATGCTCACGGGGACCAATTCTAACTTGGAATCCCATGTGGGTCTTCTTGGTTAAATAATCATGGAATACATTTATTTGATAATAGTTCTGTTCTAAGTGTCATGAGGCAAAAATCGCTCAATCAACAGTTTTAAATTCTATCCTATGGCAAGCCTTACCTGTTTCTGTTTTCCACCTCAGCCACAAGCTCATCAGTGGAGAACTGCCCCTTGACCACCATGATAAGTTGTTTGATGACATCCTCGCCACAGTCTACGTCCAGCAGACCTCCCACCACGACAGGGAGTCGAGCTGGGTTCACCTAGAGAGAGACATCACAGTGATGAAATATTAAATTCATGTTTAAGGAAGGGTAAATGCATCTGAAAATTATACAAGAAAGGAAATAAATTCTTATTTTCCCAGAATGATGCTGATCTGCATACCTTGTTATATTCATGACTAAATCAATAACAGATTGCAATCACACTGAAACCTTATTTACTAAAACATGTGGGCATTGAAACATGAAAAATGAAAATTCTGCTTGTCCCATAATCTGCTTGTTCTTGTTGTTTGTTTAACACCACACTCAGCAATATTCCAGCTACATGACAGTCTGTAAATAATCAAGTCCAGACCAGACAATCCAGTGATTGACATGACCATCGACCTACACATACAGGATAAGATGACATGCATCAACCAAGTCAGTTAGCCTGATCACCTACAACAAGTATTGGCTGTTAAAGACCAATTTTAACCAAGATCTTCTCCAGGTGCTTGCCCTCTAAAGCTACATGGTCTTACATGACATATATACATAGCTAAAGGAGTTAATGACGCTTCACTGTACATGTTCAACATCTGGAAGGTCATAGCTTCCATAATTAATCTGAAGGCATATAAATAATAACACAAAAGTTGGGAGTAAAAGATTCATCACAATACAATACATCCATGCAAACTAAATCTATTTTGCTTTCAATCAAATTAAACACTCAGCAATTGGCCTTGGAATCTACTTCTTTATCACAAAACTGTATGTTGCATGTGTTTCTGCAAGGCTCACCTTCTGTACATAGATTTCAATATACTTCTGTAAGCTGTTTCTGTACAGGTAGAGAACCAGGTCATGTACAAAGTCGAACCTGTCACACACAATGATCAGTGGCAGTTGATCAGTCAGCTTGGCCTCCTGGAAACAACAATGATAGGTCAGTAACAGGCTCTCCTAATTCTGTGTACTAGACAGGTTTTACTTGTTTTATTTCCAGTCATCATTGACAAACACCTAAAACTTATTCCAATGACCCTATGGGATTCTATGTGTCTAGACCCATCATAAATAATCGTCATCCATTATAAATTTAAGCATGCTGAAACATTTCACTGGAACAATGAAGTTCACCATCACTGCAATGACTCTAAAGGTGAAAAATGTTATCATACAGGCTTGGTTCTCATTGGTTTGTCATACCAAGATGTTTTTGAGGTTTCTGAGAGGTTTACTGCTGTAGACCCCCAGTTGAGGTAGCAACATCATCAAGCTTCCTTCACCACGCATTCAGCCTTACCTTAAGGAAGTTTTTGACCCGCTCAGGGTCATAGCAGTTGCTCTCCCTACAAATTCTCTCCACTTCTTTGATTTGCCCGGTCTTGCAGGCAGCCTGGATGTATTTAAAGTGAACATCAGCATCCTGGCTGAAGTTCACGATGGATCCCAGGAAGTAGAAAAGTCCTGCAAACACAAGAAAATAGTTGTTAAATCAATGACACTTACAGTAACAGGTAGTCAACAAGTGGAACAGTAACAGCTTGACAACTAGTAGAACAGTTCCATTAATTCCTTTCTTAGATTAGAGCTACCATTCTGCACATTTCAGATAAAAATATTCAATTATGCAGTGTGTAGGATCTCGAATGAAACATTTTGCCTATGGAAACAAAAGTCTGTCTGAGATGTCATTATTCTAGGAGTCACAGATGTCCTTCAAATAACAATTTGCGGGACACAAGTCTGCAGTTCCAGAATATCAGTTTCCTTCACATTCGAAAACATTCCTTTATACATTCAAAACTGTATCATTTATTCAAAGTCAGTAACATTTCCAGAATTCCAGGATCAAAAGAACTTTGTGAATGACATCAAACTTGGTCCATAACTAGAAAATTAGACAATTCATTGTACCTTTACAGGGGTAGATACTAACATTTTCAGTCCACTAGTCCTTACAATGATAACATATAGCAAAACCCTTAAAAATAGCAAATTTCTACTAGTGCTTATGATACCTTAACTATTTGCCAGTTTGTCAAGGACTACAGGACTAGTGCCAATTTCTAACGCTGTCTTTAGATCAAATACTCTTTTCAAAGTTTTTAAACAACACTGACATATTTCAGTTAGGTTATCTGCTAATGTAAAGTGTAGGATCTCGAATGAAACATTTTGCCTATGGAAGCAAAAGTCTGTCTGAGGTCTCATTCCTCTAGGAGTCACAGATGTCCTTCAAACAACAATTTGCAGGACACAAATCTGCAATTCCAGATAATCAGGTTCCTTCACATTTGTAAACATTCACTGACTTCATGATATTGACCCTGACAACAGTAGTTCAATGACTTTCAGACAACACCTGACTGATCCCTCTGGCTTGTGCAAACCCTGTACACCTCTCAACTCAAAACTGTAGGTGTCATACAGGAATAACAGCTCAACTCTTAAACAATAAACACTTAAGTTCTGAGTATTTAGTTACCAATAACAAGTACAGTACAAGGACTTACCTTCGAAACTTTTGTAAGACTCGAAGACTTCAATAAGACTTTGTGTGCTAAGCTGCTCATGATACTTGGATGCGATCTGGACACAGACCTGCAGGTTCTGCCGGATGTTGGCTGTCAGCATGGCCTTGATACACTCAAGCGAATCCTCCACAGACAGTGAGCCGAAGTAGTTCACCAGCCACTGCAGAACAGTACACGTATTAATACAGGAACACTGCAATCTCATACAATGAAAGTCACTGTTATATTTCCTAATTCTAACACTGACCACCTGATTCAACACTTAACGACAAGCAATAGATACGGACCAATTGTAACCCAAGTCCATTGACATATGACAGTTTGTGAGTAAGGTAACAGTGGATCGATATTGTTTTCCCTAGCAGCATCAAGCATAGTCAATAGAACAAGAACGAACTTCTTAGCAGCTGTTCTTACACTACAAAATAACACGGTATGATTTTCACAAAACGTGTAACAATATTCCAACCATGTTATAAGTAGAAGGCATCAAGAAAGGGCTTTACACATTGTACCAATGTGGGGAATAGAACAAAGTTCTTCAGCATGACAAGCATGATAAACCACATATGTCACCCTCCTAATTGGAATCTAGATGGATACGCAGCTATACAGTAAGTCTTACCTCAGGGTTGAGAAGATGGGTGTGTACAACAGCTCTCTTGATGTCATACAAGTCTGTGTAGTGCTCCAGGGCCTGCAGACAAAACATCAACACTATCATTATACACAAACTGGGGTATGTTTCTGTGAAGACATTATAATGTGATGTATAAAAATCTCACCCGGGTGTCTTTGGATATCAAAACACAAATCGATAAAAGTTTAAAACTCTCATCTCAGCCAAGCGATACCTCCTATGGCACCTCCAATGGATGACATATTTTTATTCGAAATTACTGTATTATTCCATGGAACACTCACCCGCTGCAGGAGACCTGCTTTCTCACAGAGCTGGGCGATGTGTGCTTTGTCGTAGTGTGTGAACATCTGGTTACCTAGGATGGCATCAGCAACCTGCAAAATATGCAAAACAGGACTAACTGTCAGCTCTTAGACCTATCCAGACAAGGCAAAAAGTGAACAGGGTTCATTTATACCCCTAACTTTGATTCCAACAAATTTCTAAGTGAAAAAGGCAATATCTTCTAAGAAAATCCACCTCTACTATTGGCATAGAAACTGCAGCCCCAATTTCAAAAGGATCCATGAAGTAGGTTTTAAGTTATAGGTTGCACAAATGTTGAAACAAAATCTTATCAGTTCAAAACATGAAAAAAATCTTCTTTTTTTCAGAAATACACACATCAAATTAAACTTTGCAATGAACCTCTTCTATTACTATGTAAACTGTTCCCTAAATTTGAAAGAATCCATGCAGTAGTTTTTAAATTATAGGTCACACAAATGTATAAGTAAAACAATTCTAAGTAAAAATAAAAACAAAAAAAACCTATATTTTATCAGAAAATCCAAACAATGAAATCAAACTTTGCACTGTATTAAGGTATAAAAAGTGTTTACCAAGTTTGAAAAGAATCTATGTAGTTGTTTTCAAGTCATAGGTCGAACAAAAAAATGTCCTCGCTCGGAAGGATGGACAGAATTCCTTAGTATAACTCAAGGCACTCAACAGAGGAGATACCAAACTAAAATAAAATGAAGAACAATATCAGCATAAAGAATTAACACTAGCCCTGTGGTTTAAATAAAATTATCAATGGTTAAGGATCTATAGAACTACACCAAAAAATAAGTGTCCTATACATCAAAGAACTAGACTGCAATAGGTTTGCTATAAGTACCTGTGGTGCAGACATTAGGTTCATCTCCAGCAGCCTGGTCTGTAGGGGACCTTCCGATGGCCGGTTGTTCTTGAGGGCGTCAAGCAGGAAGGATGTACATTGCTGGATCAGGTTGAACTCCATGAATACATCCACGATCTGAAACATATAGTGTAATGTTGCAGCACAAGAAAGTGATAAGTTCTCACATGTAGAACCTTCTCTGTATGTTTCCTAAATAATCAGGAATCCACATTTAATTATCATCTGCAGTGAAGAGCGAGTGAGTGAAAATCAAAAATGATTTTGGCATTATTTCAGACATATAGTGAGTTTAGTGATGAAATGTCTTCGGTTTTGAAAAATGTGTCAGAAGTTAACAAGCTCAACATGGAGTTAATGATACGCTGTGACATTATTACATATTTAACCAACCATTAATGGTATTTGCATCATATCAACAAAGCCAGGACCAGTGATATTGTTACACCGATGGAAAGTTCTTAAAGAGTGTCATTTCTGTGTTCTTACTTGATTGAGGTCAGCAAGGGGTTCGTCATCCTGCACCATCATCTGTGCAAACTGCAGGCCCTGCTCGGGGTTGATGCGCATGATGTTACGCAGGAGGAAGATGTAGTCGGGTGTGAAGTTCACCTTCTTCGAGTACAAGATGATCTTCTGGAACTGACCGGTCTCCGCAAAACATTGTATCACCTGGAAGCAACCAACACCATGAACCAAGGTACATCCTGAGTACTTTATACTTAAACATAAATTCACATTAATATTTATGGGTTAAGTGAAAACGACGGCCAGAAGGCAGAAAATAAAGCACCAGGTGTGCCTATATTACTCAGAAAAGGAGGATCACTTGTTTTTATCTACAGTCAATCGCCTGTGTCTCTGGTTATTTGAAATATTGCTTTATTGAACATTTACCGGAAACAAACAACTGAAAGATGTTCTTTTATCATTATTTTGTGTCATGAATGTGATAATGTCCTCACAAACCTTGTTTGGAACATTGGCTCTCAGGTAGACAGACAGGGCAAGTGTTGGGTCAGCCTGCTTCACCAGATCACCAAGCTCCTCGCTGCTCTCAAGCTGGAAACAGAACACTTATTTTACATTGACATCAGACAGGCAGTTGCTCATTATTCAGATCGGACTAGTCGTCATCCAATAATGCCTTTTCCAAGCTACTATGTGCAAATTATTGATATACTTTCCAGGGAGATATTTTAGTAGGTTGGAGATGGTATCTTCCTCACGAGTGAGGGCATGAGGAAGGCTATTTGTTTTCTCATTTTGAGTGAATTTTAGTTAATGGTGCAGTTCATGCTGTATTATGACCTGTAAATAATTTGGACCAGACGAACAAGAGGTTGATAACATGTACAATGATCTACAAGGTCCACAACAAGCAATCTGCCAACATACATTGTTTATATGTTGTTTAAGGCTGCACTCAGCAATATTTCAATATAATAAATGTAATCGAGTCCGGACCGGACACTACAGTGATCAATAATGTGAGTAACAATCCATGCCATCAACCAAGTCACTGAGTCTGACCATCCTATTCTTATGACCAGCATACTCCTGAGGTCCTATTCTAACCCAGAATTCCCACAGGGGCAAATAAATATTAAAAAGCTAAAGCTGTACGCACCTTCTCCTCTTTGAGCCATTTCTCCAGGAGTTGTTTGCGTCCCTGCTGCAGCACAGGTCTACACAGTTCCAGAGACTCGTACTTGTTGAGCTGCCCCTTGTCCAGCAGGATACCGAAGTACTGCAGGAGAGGGGAGGTGGCGCCAGGCTGAGAGGGAACCTGCTGGAAACGCTGGATTGTCTGGGGTGTTCGCAGGATGCCCTAGATAGAAACAAGTACAGTCAGTTTCTGGTAGACAACTTTTGTCAATTACTTTTACCAGAAAAGAGACAGGAAATGAAGACAGGTAAAAATTAACATGCACATTGAAACCCATTTTCTCTGGATTATACAGCTCACAGTAAAACCTTTAAAAAATATATTTAGGGACTACCAAATCAAAATAATAACACATTTGTAAAACCTATCTGTTTAAATAATCTATAGACAAAACAAAGCTTCAATTACCTTGGGTGCACTAGCAGCAACTTTAGCAGCTTCTGAGTACTGTGCATTCTGAAAGAGGTTGTTGAATTTCCTGACAAACAAGTCCTCGGCTCCGGGCAGGTTGCTGCGCGATGACACCTTGAGAGCCAGGTCTGGGTTCTGCAGGGTGGTGTTGATGTACTGCACGATGTTGTCCTCCTCCACACTGACCGACAGCACCTGACACCAAACACATCACAGTTACACAACCATGTGAGACACATCTTAGTGCAATACATAGCGACCAATTCTGCCCCTAATGAAAAAATTCATTTGAGAATGTTTACTGATCTAGACATAATTATGTCGCAGCTTAGCTTAATTGAGTGTGTGTTTATTGTTTAACGACACACTTAGCAATATGCCAGCTTTATGATGGCATCTTTAAATAACTGAGTCAGGACCAGACGATCCAGTGATTGATATTGTGATCAATGATCAACGTGATCGGGGTACGAAAACACTAAGTCAATTTGGTTGCTTCTCACCTAAGCTTTGTCACAAGCTGTATAAAATCACTTAAAGTACACCAAATTGTCCATGAATACAAAGGAGAATGGACCACTACCATGCAGTATGACACCCGATGCTCTCTTTCCTAGGGTATTCGAATGGGCTTAAAGGGAAAGTGTACACGCAAAAATCACTTTCTTTCTTTTTCTAAACAAAACGCAATTTTAGAATGAATTAGTATCTGTGTTTGAAAATATACACTAATTTTTTTTCACAGTGAAAGTAGGAAGCTCACAATAGTGTTAAAATGATATGCCGTTATGAGGCCTTCGTTTTACGAGCGAAATAGGCCTGAGTTATCCCCCTTAGATTATGACGTAATTGGTGCCAATTCAACTGGGTCCCTGTCTATTCTCAACGCAAAAGATATCAAGGACCAGTTTGCGGTGAAACAACATGGTCTACGACACACTCCGGCGCAGTAGTGACTCAGCATAACACAATTCTGGCTGGCATCTGAGATGCTAGAATCACAAAACTGTACCTACACCACGTGAAGCGGCTCTAACAAAGCATGATGACGTCATAATGTTTATCAATTGGCACCAATGACGTCATATTGCAAGGGGCATAAGCCATGGTGTTTTTGTTATGGAAATAGAACACTTGGTAAATGTGAAAAATATAAATCGTTTTAATGCAAAAAATATGTTAATTAAATATGATGTTTTTATATTTTTGTCTATGACACTTCTATGTTAACACTTTTAATGTGGAAAAAGTACAAGAAAAATTGGTTCATTTCCGTGTGAACTTGCCCTTTAACTGTTACTATAGAAAGTAACTAACCTGTCCTTTCCTGTTGACTCCAATGATGCCGCTGGTGGCCTCATGTGGTGCGGTGACGAAGATGGTGTCACTGCTGATGCGGTTCATGTAGATGCAGGTTCCAGTCTCGATATCATACATGTGGATATAGCCATACTTGGTGATGAGGAAAGCCATGCCATGCTTCTGGCTTGTCTGTAAACAAACAAGTACATTTATATCTCAGATTAATTGCAAAATAATACTAATTCATAAATAAATTCTGTCAAAAAAATTATCCAATCAATTCTAATGTAACAGAATAACTGAAACAAGACACTTGTCACTCTTAACTGTCTCTGTGACAGTGAAGTTGTGAGCAAGTTGTTTTTTATGCTGCTTTGAACAGTATTTCAGTTATACACATCCTGTCAGCTTAATGTGGGAAAACCTGAAGTGACACTGAACTAGCCAACAGTGGCTGTAGGTAGCCACTAGCCCTTCAAAATCTTACTATCCCAATTTAGAAGCGTAGTTTTAATATCTGACCTGGCACAGAACTATCAATGATGAATATCAAACATACTTTCTTAAACGGATATCAAATGTTCAAAACATGCAAGTGTTTCACTTGTCAACAGTAAGATGTCATGCTAGTTTTTGCTTGTCAGCTAGTTGTTACCTGCATAGCAACTGGGAAATCATTCTGAGCCTCGACTGGGAAGAAGACATCAACTGCCTTCTTGGGGAATGGCTGGTTTCCTTGAGGTGGTTGACCAACTTCAATCACATGCAACTGAAAGTAAACAAGAACCATTTAAAAAAGATCAAAGATATGCCGTATATTTCACTGACCATTGCACTGAAAATGTCAGATGAACGTTTTGAACAGTGGTTTAGATTTCACGGGGCTTATGTCGATGACCACTGAAAAACCCAAATAACCCTCTAGTTTAAGAACTACAGGTTCTCTTCCTAATACTTCTGAAACCTAGCTCATCAGTTTTAGTCCATTAGTCCTTATAATGATGACACAGCAAAACCCTTAAAAAGGGCAAATTTCTGCTAGTCCTTAGAATACCTTAATAGTAGCTTAGCATGGACTATAGGACTTGTGCTAATTGAAGTCCTTGTGCTAATTTATAACGCTGTGTTACCATGGTTGCAGGTAATGAGTCATGTGACAAAGTATTCACATCAATACCACACTCTGTCAGCAAAATTACAGCATAAAGCAGTTCCATGGATGCCATTTTTAATAATATCATTTCCCCAGCCGAAGTTGATAGATTGTATTGCAGGTAAATCTTGACAGCCATGATTACTTTTTTCTAAAGATATGTTTTCTGAAAGCTGAAGAAAGAGGACTTTTTACCTTTCCTCCTTGGGGTCCCCTGACGCTGAAGATGAAGAGTGTTGATGGCTGAGGGTTTCCTTCCATCTTGAATTGCACAAACGCTGCGGCATGTCCCTCGATGGGCTGACTGACTTTACGCTCCACAGAGTACAGCTGCATGGCTCCAACGACACGGTTTTGCTGAATGAAACGTTAAGTTGGACAATAAATAGATGATGTAATCATGATAAATACTTGTACATGAAAAACGTGATTACTTCTATTACATCTGATGTCGTTATTTTTTTAAGGAAACTAAAACATTTACTCAGTCAATTAGACCAAATGAGACTTAATCCATGAGATAAACATGTTGAGAAAATGAAAGGAAAGGGCTTTTTTCAGCACTGCCGAAATAATGATAATGTATAGGCAAGCTATTAAAGATAAGAAATTACCTTCATTACCGAAAGATATTTTAAGATTGGGTAGATTGCTTTGGTTGAGTGCCTAATATTTTCCTCTTTTCTTTTTCAAAGAAAGGATTACAATGTGTTCAATTATAAAATTCTCCATTTAGTTTTTACAAGACACAATGTGGCACGAAAGATTTCCCTAATCAGATTCTCCGAACATTGGAATGTTGCATCTGCACCAACTCAGAAACCTGTCATATGATCCCTCACAACATCCAAGCCTGGCAAAGTGTCAAATCAACTCATCAGCTCAGTGTTGTATTTGTATAGAGATTTATACAGCTTGAGCCAAGCAATGACGTACAAGTCTACATCAGGGAGGCTAAGCATACAGAACCAGGTCAGGGGGGTCAATTTCCTATCCCCACCAGTTATGAATGGAGCAGCATTGCCCACATAATGACATAATCTGTACCAAATGTGTATGTGGCAGTAATCCAGGTCAGCCTTGTAACAAAGTCGATAAGGTCCACGATACATAGCAGTCTTGCACTCAGAAGTTGTTCTTAGCTTGTCAAACATGTTTATCTCATGGAATACCTTACAAAAAGGGTTTCACAAGATGTGCCGTTGTCATTATTTTTATCAACAGAACCCTTAAGTTCATAAAATCCAATTTACATTGTCAAAACATTCATACAAACTTACATTGTCAAACATAATATTCACACGTAATGACATGACAGAATAGATATTTTCAGAAGTATTCATTGATCAAACTACAAAGCTACATGCTCATTTGTTAGAAACAATAACATGTTAGTTTAAACAACAACAAATGTGTCAGTGCTGTATTGGTTTACCTCCACCAATGAAAGTGTGTTAAAAAAAACTACCTACCATTAGAGGAGTGATGACAACTCACTTCCCTTGTCTAGCCTATCAATAACAATTCTACTTGTCTTTTAAAATATATTTCACAAGATGCATACTGATCAGCAAATTATTGATCAGATAACATTTTTACCAATAATGTTTATCAAAACATGAATTGTTATTTTTCAAACCATGATTTTTTTCTGATTTTAATGCAAACTGTCTCTTTTGAAATAATTTTTCTTCTGAAGTAATTTTTGAAAATTTTGTTTTCTGATCTTATTTGGAAATATATATTTTGGGCATTTTATTTCTGTACTACAAGATTATTTTTTATCATCATCACTCCCCTGTGTAACTGACAGCATAAACCTAACACAAACCTCATTTGGACTGACCTGAGCTGAAATGCCCACGACTAACAGCCACTGTTGTTTAGGATCCGTTCTGTAGTTGATGATCTGGCAGCCTGCCAAGTTACTGTGGCGGTCAAACATCTTCTGTGGCTGAGAGTCCCCTGCAACAACATCCCACATTGACATAGTGTTCTGCACATCTACCTGATTATCCCCCTTGAAAACATCACTCTCCATAGTTGATGTTGATTCAAAGTTTTCATCCAACTTCAATCTTAACAAGTGGGTGTACATGAGCTGGCTTAACACAGCTTAGGACAGTATTTCAGTAATATCATAGAGTGTCAGTTTGATGTGGGAGGAAAGCCTGAAGTGATGCAGGTCTTTAGATGCTTACGACTTTGGTGAAACCAACAAGCATGGCAGTCTGCAAAATAATCTACTAGTCTAGTGAAAATCTGATCAGTCTAGTAAGATAAGCTAATAACAGTCCATATAACACTAAAATCTACTGAAAATGGTGTAAAGAACCAAGTTCAGACTAGTAAAACTCAAAAGTCTTTTGCACAGACTGGCATGGCATGGTGCTACCCAACCTCAAACAATCACGATGAATCAGGGATCAAAATCCACGATAATAGGGACCAAACTCTGCAGATGACTGGGCCAGACCTGACTCTTCAATCTTCCCGAGGGCCAGTTTCTCCACTACAGTAGTCTATGATTCAACATGTTTGTTGAGAGAAAAAGTGAAGGGATTCAAATATTGATACTATCTTTTCCACTATTTCGATGCCAAAGTTCAAGCAACTGAATGATTAATGTTGACAAATAACTTGGTTAGCCACTTTTAAAAGCTGTTCAAATGATAACAATGATGGGAAATCTAGTTTGTGTTTTGGATTTAATGATTTTGACTTATAGAATAATAGATCTAGTAGACCATCTGACATTTTAGATAAAAGTTTGACAATGCCATAAATAAATTAAAAAATTAAACCCTTTCGTACATCGCCAGTAACAGCAATTAGTAATGGAATACAAGACAAAAAATGAGCGTCTTTCAATTGACAATGAACATGTGAAGATGAAATCAATATTTATGAAATTTTCATTTTATTTATGCATTTTCAGTTGCAGTTTTATTGCCTGAATGTATCAACAGATGCATGGTCACAAGTCTACTGAAACTTTCAATGCCAGTCACCAGAAGTACGAAATTTCCTGTAAATTGCACATTTACAACTGTCATCAATCAAAGCTGGTGATAAATCAGGAAACTAATGTCTCTGAAGTGAAGTTCTTGTGCTAAATCGTGTTCTTCATCAATCTCATTAATATTAGATGTTAGTGCTCTCTACAACTACACAAAGATCTGAGGACATCCCATTAGATCATGTCAGAACGACCTTTCGTGAACTTCAACCAACCAATGAAATTACTAACAAGAAGTCGACATTAGCCAATCAAAATAGCAGTATTCTCAAGAAATATGGCACAAGTTTCATAATGGTGATTTCCATTCCAGACTACACTATGAAAATTATTTTGACAAAGTTCTCGATTCAAAATTTGAAAACTGATCAAAAGAACACTCAGGAATGTCCTATAGATGGCAGCGATTGTATGAACTTTCCACGGGCTATTGAAAGCCTCTTCAGTTTTAAATGTTTGTCACATTAAAGCGAGAGATAGACGATGATTTTGATGTAATCAGACTTATAGCCCGTAACTGTTGTTTGGAATATCCCATGCTAACCTTTTTGAGGTTACATGATTAGAAAACAAACTGTCACTTTCCGGATCTGGTAACCGACTCTGGTTGGTTGGATTAGACGTCGTTCTGATGTGACCAATAATGGGATGACCTTAGATCTTTGCTTGATGAGAAATAAGCTCTGAATTTTATTAGATAGTGTGATTCATCTGACCATTGAAGTGAAGTTATTGTGCTAATTCTTGTTATAAAATCTGGCAAATAAAGTGAAGTTCTTGTGCTAATTCTAGTGCTAAGTCTGGCCATTGAAGTGAAGTTACTCTGCTAATTCCTGTGACAAATCTGGCCAATAAAGTGCAGTTTCTGTGATAATTCTTGCGATAAATCAGTTTTAATTAGTAATGGCCTTTTTCTGTTAATGAACAAATCTCAAACCCTGTGTCAGCATGACAAACACTAAGCCCAAGTACACGATTATTATCTCTGCAGAATTGATTGTAATTTAACCATTATGCAAACTAAAATCCTGACTGCAAACACGAATAGAGCGAACAGCTGCTCTGTAGAAAAAGAAACAAGTAGGGCTGACAACCACCAATTGTCCATGATTGCCTTGACAGTCAATGAGTATTCAGCTACTTGCTCTCAAAGAAATATTCATGCATATCAAGTTTTACAACTGGTGCCAAATGTTAACAGTGTAGATCATTGCCTGACTGTTCAATGTTGGAAAATGAGGGGGTCCTTTGGTCCTTCAGGTTTGTTGCTGTAGAACTTATATTGAGGAGTAATGATCACCACCTTGTAAATCCTCATCTAATTTTAAACATTAGTGTCATGGCAACGACTTAAACTTTCTTCATAATTGTAAAAATTCACAGAATGCATCTATAAACAACTACAAATAACACCAAGGTCTCATGCATATTGGGGACGTGTAGGACAAAATCTCCATTAATGTTAAACATTAGTAAGTAACTTCAGCTCTACTGACTGATATTTTTCAAATGGTTACAATGTAATCAGCAAAATACCTAATGTCAGGAGTGAAATACAAGTATGGACTTAACTTTCATAAAACTATAACATTTCTTGTTGGTCAGTTTAGTCCACATGAAACTTCAATCTTTGTTCAGGCATCATGCCTGTTGCCAACACAGTATGAACAAGTATTTGTCACAGAGTGACGAAATATCCCCCGCCATATACACCATAGTACCAAATATGAAGACAATCCAGCGATTAGTTCTTGAGATATTGTGGCAACACCGTTTTCCAACTCCAAAAACAGATTTGCCTGCTGTGACCTTGAAAATGGGATCAAGGTCACCAAAACCGACTGGTGTCTGCGGTGTCTGTATATACACCATAGTTCCAAATATGAAGACAATCCAGTGTTTAGTTCTTGAGATATCGCGGCAACACCGTTTTCCAACTCTAAAAGCAGATTTGTCTGCTGTGACCTTGAAAATGGGATCAAGGTCACCAAAACCGACTGGTGTCTGCGGAGTCTGTATATACACCATAGTTCCAAATATGAAGACAATCCAGTGTTTAGTTCTTGAGATATCGCGGCAACACCGTTTTCCAACTCTAAAAGCAGATTTGTCTGCTGTGACCTTGAAAATGGGATCAAGGTCACCAAAACCGACTGGTGTCTGCGGAGTCTGTATATACACCATAGTTCCAAATATGAAGACAATCCAGTGTTTAGTTCTTGAGATATCGCGGCAACAAACAGGTGGGACGTACGGACGTACGGACGGTCGTGAATACTATATCCCCCGCTTCGCGCTTTCGCGCGGCGGGGGATAATAAATCAAATTCTAACGTAATTTGGAAAATACTATATTCTGCTTGGTCGAACACTGGTTTCAAATCACTAACAATCTGATTAAAACAGACAAATTTTAGCCCTGTCAAATCTACTGGTCACATAACTCTATGTTGAAAAAAAAAGTATGTTTAGCTCTGAAATAAATACTTATTAAATTGCTTGCAAGAATAATAAGGAAGTTAAGAACGCAACTTTCTCCTCCCTGTTTTCTATGTCCTGAGAGATTCCCAGAAGTTCTAATATATCTAAATATGTTCAGAGGCCATTATGTGTCTCTTCACAGAATCTTGCAAAGAGCTTTTGAAATTCCCCCATTGTGTCATCTGCCACAGAATAGTGCTAATGCATTCTGCAGAGTTCCCAACTCAAACATTGATCAATACTTGTCAGTGACATGCTATGTTCTTGTTACACCTAGCTGAACAAAGTACGGATTTAAAGTAAGAAACCATAGCCTATGTGGACTCAGCTGTTCTAGAATAACAAACTGGATCTTTTCATCTGATGTAATGATTGTAGCCACACATCAGTCCTGTAATGTAGTTAATTTAGCGTGAGTGAGTGTGTATGGTTGACATCATCAGCAAATTTCCAGCAATATAACAGTACAGGACAGCAAGAAGGGCTCCAAAACTAGTCCCTGTGCTAGTTTTATTTGTGAGAATTGATCAAATCAAATCATTTTGAGAGAGAGAAAGCACATGTGACTAATATAATACATTCATTTTGTTCATCTATTGCGAGCCAACAGACTAAGAAATAAATAATGTAACACTGCCATGCTCTCAAGCCCTGTGCCAATCATAGATGGTGATCGCCTTGTTTGAGCGAAATCAAATCAACTAAGCGATCGAGTAAAGAAATTAGGTAAAGAAATGTCTGGACTTTGGACTACTTATCAGAATAGAAATGTGCACAACGTAACCTGCATGCAACATTCAAATGAGTTAATGACAGCCATAGCTTTGTGTATCCCATAGGACATGTAAGCATTCCGAATTTATGTGTGTGCAGGCCACATTATTTTCATCAGGTAAAACCTGCATAACTCATAACCAATATTGTAATAAAGACACACATCTTAAGAAATGCTGTCAGCCTGAATTATTGTTCATAGTATATGTTCAATAATACTTTGGAGACTAATATTTTTTCGGGTTGGTTTACGGATCCACCCACATGAAACTTAGCAAAAAATAAAACAGTTTTTAAGATATTTGTTTAAAAATACCACAGATTCTATATTTAATAATATAAAAAATATATAAATGAAACGAATGAAAAGAAATATCTCTCAAATTAGTTTGTGTTGAAAAGATGATTCAATGCGAAATGTGACATTGCGAAATACAAAATACAGAGTGAAGTTTTACTACAAAGTTTGAAATAATGTAGACACTTTGGGTGACAATGTATTTCAACCACTGACACATTTCATTTGAAGACAATGTTTTTTTCGACCACTGACATTGTAAGAACAAAACAAACATCTGCAATTTAAAAAAATGAATTGCCTCATTGGCATATCATGTCATATTGTCATAGTTATAATATTGTTTTCAATTTTCCTATGCCACAACACTCTGCTTTCGGTGTTACAGTTTCTGTTCAATAATCCATGCACAAACAAAACAGGTTCGTCAACTTCGTGATAGTTACATATTAAAAGATGTTTTTGGTGATGAAACAATTTACCCAGCTCAGCAGAATTTATTACAAATGAACTAGGGTCATGGAGTTGTTTTGGAAGTGGGTGAAGACAATTTAGAAACCAATAATAGTCAACAGTTGGCAATAACTACCAGTTCAATAGTTCCCTAAGCCTAATAAACAAGGGCATGTTGGTGGACTGACGCTGATATCAAAGGATCAAAGTGTATCAGTATAGTTTCAATCAAAGCTGATTATGTATCTTGATCAAAGTGGGCCACAGCAGGCAGGAGTTTGACTCTACAACTTCTATATCTGTCTGATAAATGTGACTCACTCTTCCCTAAGATAAACTAATCTTCCTGACATCTGTTAAGATCTAAGATAAGCCACAAGTACATGGAGATACCTATGTCCAGCCATCAAGAGTGATCATAAGACACTTGTTACACAAGGCATGAAAGGCTGACATTCTTAAGAAGTGCTAGCAACTGGTGAAAATTTCAATATGAGTTACAGTTTTGAAAACCAATATTAATCAATTAATTGAAACAAAACTATTTTGAGACAAGAGCATTACAAGCATTACGCTGCACTGGAAAAAAAAGCTCAGTCCTGAGTACTAACATAGAGAGACAATGTCAAAATTAAGAATAATCCACTTGCACAAAGGAGACAATTAACAGCTGATGACTTTTGGGGGCAAATTTGAAAGATTGATCATCATCATCATCAGCTTGAAAAAGCAATCAATGACAAATTCATTGTCGTTCATGAATGAAAATCGAAAAATCATACAAATAGCATTTCTTTCTAGGTATCCTGAATGTAAACAACAGCGTTAGAAATTGGCACTAGTCCTTTCGTCCAAACTCTACAATAGATTAGGCATCATAAAGACTAGTTGAAATTTGTCCTTTTTAAGGGTTTTGCTATGATATCATTATAAGGACTAGTGGACTAAAATTTTACAGTTATTTTCTAATGCAGAAATACTAGATAAACTAGATGATACTTGTCAAAACTCTGCAACACGAACATATCTACTGAGAAGCACTGCAACATCAACAGGCCTTGGAATCTGGTATTCATCATCCTCTCATTATCCCCCACAAATACATGAAATGAACTTACAAAACTGGATATATTTCTTGGCAGTTGTGTTTTAAATCTCCTTTCTATTATCATAAATACCCTGTACCCATTCCTTTTATTAATAAAGAGGATCTACTGACACTTATTGGTATCATATATTCGTATGTGCTTGACATTTATTCCTGTAAGGATTTTTGACAGAATGGACAATTTACAAGATAGTGGATAAGTTAGAGGGATGCAACAACCACTTTAGTTTGGACGAGTTGGCACTAATGAACACAGCACAAAGTTCCAATTAATCAAAAGGCTTTAGTTTTCAATTTAGGAATCGATCATGAAACCAAGATCACATCACAAGATACTGACCTTCCATGCTCCAGTGGTAGATGGCATTGTCTGTGACGAGACCGATGGTGTTAACACTGATCCACTTCCAGAAAGTCACTTCATCTGTCATTGTGTGGGCCTTCATTTTGCTCTTCATCTCAATGTTGAAGATCTGAAGGGTCTTGCCAGCTGTACAGGAAAATACATACAAAATACAGAATTCCTGTCGTGGTTGAAACAATAGTATGAAATGTCACTGATGTAATAATCCTAACACAATATGTGAAGGATGCCCACATGTCTACAATGACAGCACAAGACCTTTTCTCTTTTGCTAAGAGAGCACTTTTTCAAATATTACCAAGTCAATAACTATAGAGCTATTTTTGCACTTTATTCCTACGTTATTTCCCAACAAACCAAATACACACTTTACTACAGAAACATGTACGCCAATCTATACCTATGCCGCATACTGTCTGAGACAATAGCTACTAGGCAGAAACTCATGTCAAGAAAAGTTTATCTTGGTCTGTCAATACTACTAAACAATTCATTAAAATACAGATCATCCAAAACCGACACTAAAGAACAGATACAATCCTTCAGACTTGAGTGGTAAGTGCACAGACTACACATGTATCAATCAGAATCATTAATAATTCATCACTCCTGTTCTTGATAAAAGTGTAAAATGTCAGTCGTACCTTTCAGTGCAATAACTTTGCTTGTGGGGTTCATGATGGCGGAGTCAGCCGAGATGGGTCTCCGGATGGGGTTGGCCGTGTCATTCATGTCGATGATGACAACTTGTGCCGTTTCCCCCACCTTCTCCCGTACACAGATGTACTTGTCAGACTCCATGGTGAGGGTGCTGAAACCAATGTTGGCGGCGTTGATGCCAACATTTTGGAGCTACAAAACAAAGAAGCAGTGTCAGACTATGAAGCTGAATAAGTGTCTTACAACAAGCAAGGAGTTTTAAGACTTCTGGGAACTTATTCCACTCCCTTCAGGGTCCTAAATCTAATGCAACTTAACCGGACAGAGGACAAAACATTTACTAGACAGAATAGCATTAACATGTAAGAACACCCAACAAAATCCTGAAATTCTACTAGCCCTTGGAATAACCTTAACCTTAAACAACATGACTCAGACCAGTGGGCTAGAGCCAAGTTGCATCCCTGTTAATAGATTTCTTGCTTAGACAACAAACAAAACATACTTGTGTTCAAGATTATTTATGATTCAAATGTTTTTCTCACAGCTGGAAACAGTGGTAAAAAAAAACACATTTAACATTTGGAGAAAAATGGTATCATTCCACAATTTGTGTTGCCGTAGCTATTTTGGCCTACAAATTCGAGAACATCAGTCCTTAACAAGCCATCTGTGTAAATAATTGTATATTATATCAAATATACAAATATATAAAAGAATCCTAGTTACCACCACATACTGGGTACATATTGCCTGAAACACAACTATGTATTGGATAGCCTCAGCTGCAATGTAACAGTCTGTATGAGTGAGTCAAGACATTATTGATGACACTATTCTAGGCAGCAAGAATAAACATTTGCCCTGCGAATAAATACTCCACTCATGAAGGCTTTTCAAATAAAAATTATTATTTATAGAGAGCATCAAAGCTTCTACCAATGTTTTTAACCAAACTGTGATACTGACACAAAAACCTGAATTCCACTGGCCTACAACAATGACCTACAAGAACATAACTAGCTTAGTCATACAGAAAACTTTCAGCTGTTATCATGTGTATGATTAACAGCAATTACAGCCATTCTCTGGAGAATGTCAATGTTTGGATATCAGTACAACTGTCTGCACTATTACATGGACTGCATACATTCAAACATAAAAAATTAGGCGTCATAAAATTGTTCATTCAATGTGTATGATAAATGATAGCAGATGACTCAAGACATTATTCTGGGACGCTGGGTGGGCATGGAAAATTATAAATTGACCTTGAAAGTCATGATCTACCTGCCTGAATATTATAAAAAATGTAAGTTCCCAAAATGCTCAAATTCTTAAGCCCATCATGATATCTAAACATATTGTAGTCTAATTAAATGCCCTACTCCACCAACCTACACCAAGACCAATCAAGTAATCTATATAAGCTCTCATTACTAGATAAAAAATGTACATGAAAATTCTTATTTTCTTGTATATATAACACATATTTTACAGAAAACAGCAGTGCAGTAAATCATTGCCTTGCAATTATCGAAAGGTTTTTCATTTCATCAGCATTTGAACTAAGTTTGTTCTCTAAAAACATTAATCTCTTTTTGTATTGTTTTAATGAGCAACCCCTTCATCAATTTTACTGTCAACTTATTAGGCAGAATACAGTAATCAAACTTGCAGCCAAGTTAAATTCTATCTCAGGTCAGTTTATTTTTCCTGGACAATCAAGATTTATTGGAGAGAAAAATTAGAACATAGCTGATCAAAATCAACGGCACATTGTGTTTCCACAAGTTGAATCAAATGGACATTTCTAAAATTAGGTGGGCAAATGTCTCTCATGCACTCTCTACACTCAAACACAGCATAATGATTTATACAGGGCTCAAGACTCTTTTTTGAGCCAGTGACATTTTACTCACATGTTCACATTCACATTGGGTATTGATAGTTTGTTGGGGCTATGCAGAATATCTTTACTCCATTTGGTATAGTCTATTGGTTATTTTGAAACCAATGAGAATTGCCTAAAATGCTGCTGCAGGAGATTGTTCATATTGCATCTGTTCATATGCTGCCCCAAGTTTGTCACATGTTGTATCAGCTCACATCAGCGATATACGCCTGAGTTAAAATGAGTGACACATTGCGTTTTTATGCATCAGTTAATGTAAAGATATACAGGTTTGCAAGCTGCATAGACTGCACTGGGCAATTATGCACGGTTGTTATCCTATTGTTCTTTTTATAGTTTTCATAGGTCCTGCGACTGTGGAATGTATATTTTCTAGGTATTTGTTTTTACTTAAAGCCTAGGAGTCTAGTTTGCTTGATTCCACACAGCAGAAGAGAAAAGGTTCTTTCAAAGAAAAATAATAATTATTATTTTCATGACATGTTTTCATTGACTAAGTGTTAGTCTAAGTTTTCATGGGTATTTGTATGTAAGCAACTTATAATTAGTTTGGTAATGGTGATATATTTTTCAGCTTATTTGGAGTTCTGTTTATACAAATCTTGTAGTGGGTCAAAGTATTCTGTGAGATAATAGCAGCTCTGAACTTGTGATCAGGAGAATGCAAGCTTACCAGAACAGAAGAATATCTACTAATCACAACCTGTCCTAAACACCTCTCAAATGCCATCAGGATTCTGTTTTAATGATTTTACTGTCATTCTGGGACAGAAATTAACACACAATAAGAATACGAGACCAAATAGTGAAAACATATAGAAGACATACCAAAGTGTCCAAAACTCTACTAGCCCTTAGGATATATTTAACATAAATGAACTGACTTGGCCGAATTTCTATCTGTGATTGCTCTATCACCAGTATGGGACCTTGCTTTTAAGAACCTACGAACAGCACCAGACAACCTGCACAGTAAAATATATGCCTTTAATTGTCTTTAAGAATGGTTTCCGATCTAAAAGTGACTATAGGCTATTTATAAAATTGAAATACCAGTACGGGCTGATAAAGAGCCTCGCTGCTGGCTGATTGATTAGAAGAAGCAGGTCGGAGTGGGACAAGATTCCTGCAGCCCTGCACAAATCAATTCCGCCCTCAACTCACAGAACAATGTGCTGCGTCAGTTCTGGTCAGTGGGAGCATCAGGAAGAAGTATTCAATCAAAGACTTCACTTATAAATCAGTTTGGTGTGGACAAATAACCAATACCACAAGATTCAACATGTCAAAGGGATAGAGAAACAAATCTTAAAAATGTCTTTATAGCAGGCATGGAGAATACACCTTGAAATTGTCTGAGAGTAAATATTAAACATGTCAAGTGCAACTGCATTTCATTTACATGCACTTACCATTTTCTACGTGCAAATCACATTGTGCAATTCTGGCATAGCGTTAATACACTGAAATCATTAGCACTTTTGTTTTTGCTCTATTGAAATAAAAAATATAACTTCTGAATACAAAACTATGTCACACTGAAAAGCCAACAGTATTTGGTCTTACATTACTCATGCATGTAGTTAGGTTTCTAAAACTTAAAGAAATCAATACAGTTTAATACTTAGTTTATTTTCATTAAGTGTTACAGAAGACCTTGACAGGACATCATCAATATTACTTCTGAATGCACCATGACATCTGTGATTTGTGCCAAAGTCAAATGACAACCTTATTCCTTCATATATCATGCACGAAAAAAGTTCAACATCTATTACTCATGAAAATTACTGTGCGAGACAAGACAAAAAGATGGTAAAATGCCCTTTGATGTAGATTTATGTGCCTTCCTGTTGACATATTCACAAGATTTATAACAAGTTGATCAAAACTGTTTAATAACTTAAGACATATCGGTCACACGATACAACGCTGATGATCTAGAAGTTACGAATTTGCATTCAGAAGTTCTTAGCTAATAAAATATACTGTCCATGACCTAGTAAACATCCAGTACTTGTTTTTTCTTCAAATTCACAAATGTGTGCCTAACTAACCGCAAACACTCCATGACTTACATTAATGGGTTAAGATGGGGTAAAACATTGCTACATGCCGCTGGCTTACATTAATCATAATATGTTTTCTCCCACTAATGAAAAGAGCAAAACATTATGATGAATATCCCACATGGAAATGGATAATCTCTGACAACATCCAAGCCGTAAAAATCCATTAAAAACATCTGTAAAATATCACTCATAAATCAAATTTTACTACTTCTGACCAGCTATATTACGAGACCAGTGTTCCCAAAATATTGTCAAGATTTGTCAGGCATGTTATATTTCCGATGGAACATGCCAGTTGCAAGATGGCTGATTGATCCAATTTCCATGTCATAAAGCATGACTTACTGATGTGCTAATGTCGGCCATTATAACTAATAGTGCCATGCCCGGACCAGCCAGTAGTACGCAGAAATAACGTACTACTCAAGTTATCAGGCCATGCTCATTATGTGGGTGTAGAATGGATTTCTATCACGGCCTGGAATGGCTGAGACTGGTGGAATAACTATTCATGTAGCTATTGATCTCCCTACACTCGACTTGACCCAAAATCTCCTCACTGTGCGATTAATCATACATTATTCCTCAATAGTCCTTAATCAATACATTGACATTCTAAAACTGACAAGCTCACTGTCTTTTACTTGTGTCTGTATCCATGTTGTGTAAGCCTCACTGATGAGGATGGACATGTGATGGGAGGAGCCCATCTTCACTCACCACACATAATCAGAAATAGGAGTTATCACAGCTCTTTTCACAACAGACTGGGAAACAGAAATGATAAACTATTTTACATGCAAAATTTGACCAAACCAACCACCATTACGAATGAAATCAATAAATATGATAAATTACAATCTATTAACCACTATCAAAAATCGAATAATCGATTGATATTTGCAATCCATCTTATTCCACATACATTATGCATCATTTAATGAATACATAACACTGTTGATAATAATCATCACTGATCCCTTTTCTGTGCACTGGCATGAATTCCAAGCTTTTGACAATAGCCAAATTTTGTGATGAACATTTCACTCAGATCATATAAAGTAAATATATTCAATAATGCTTGAACATGTTGAAACACTGATGTGTTCTTTTAGCAGTTTACTGTTTTCAGCACTTCAAAACATCTTTTTAGATAATATGAAGATGCATTCATTATGCATAGAAGTCCTCCACATCAAACAACACTTCTCCTTCTCTAAATGATCAACAAAGACATTCCCTCTAGGACAAGCTATGCTTCAACTATCTCGCCTGAGGATTGCTCAATTCTCAAAGATGATGAAGCAACAAAGTCCAAAGAATCCATGTTGGGTTTACATTTGTTGTCTTATGCGGGAGTGCCACTGAATTAACATTGACTTCATCTATGGTTAGGCATCCTGGACATTTTACCACATAATGAAGTAGATTAAGGTTTGCATCTTCTGCAAAGGAATCCTTTTGAACAAAGGATGTATAAAATCAAGTCAGACCAATTGGTAATAAAAATACAGTTATGGTTCTGATTACACTGAATATCAAAATAGGGTAGGTAGGTAGGATAGTTTTATAAATTTTAAATTAAGAACTTGCCATGCAGTAAGTATGTGAAATTCACTTAGACCTTTCAGCCTGGTGAGCCATATCAGTTGTCTTGACTGCATAATGACATCCGTCAACATTTTCTGTCATCTGGGCAACTTGACACTCAGGGTTAAAAATTAACCTTGAACAAAAGTCTGAAGAATATGTTGGGTTGTTTGTTGCTTAGTAGCGCACTCAGCAATATTCCAGCTATATGATGGCATTCTGTAAATAATTGAGTCTGGACCAGATAATCAAATGATTGCAATCATGAGCACTTTTCCACGCAATTGAGCTACAATGACATAGCCATTAACCAAGTCAGTGATTCTGACCACACAATCCATTCAGCGTAAGAAATTGACACTAGTCCTGTAGTCCTTGCCAAACTGTTCAATAGCTTAGGTATCATAAGGACTAGTAGAAATTTGCCCTTTTTAAATGTGTTGCTATATGTTATCATTTTAAGGAGTAGTAGACTAAAACTGTTAGTTTCTATCGCTGCCATTTTGTAGCTTCTCACAAGCATAGGTTGCGAGGGACCTATAGTATTGAACAATAACATATATATAGGAACATCCCTAAACCATGTAAAAAAAGCCTTTTGTTGGGGGATACCTAAAGGTATTGGGACATTGCTAAAGCTGATTTACTTGTGATAATATTGATTGGTTGCTTGTCTGATTACACATGAAATATTTAAACTCCAGATATAATGCATATCGTGCAAAACGCTAGCTTAAAATATGTGTCCAAGGGTTTATGAGGCAGGAAACTCTTCAATGAATAACCATCAATGAACAAGATTAAAGTGTTTCCTTATACCAACAGTCAATGATTATATTGATTATTACATCAATGAATGAGAGTAATGAACAGATTTTCAAATAAACAATAAATCAATGACTAGAACGATAATAAAAGAGAAAGTGAATGAGTATGGATTTACACCACTTAAGCAGCATTCCAGCAGTACCATAGCAGGGGACACCACACAGACACAAATTGAACCCATGTGGGGGAATTGAAACCAGAAAATAGGCTTGACGAGCTAATGCTTTAACCAAGAGGCTTCCTACCACCTGATAATCAATTGTGTCACATAACATAATAGACAGGTTAACATGAACATCCTTATACATACCACACTGATACGCAAAGGGTTTTGGGCTTCAAATACAATCTTAACAGGTCATCACTATATGTTGACCTCTACAAACACAGATATATCTTTCAACCATATCATAATGAGGAAAAATCAGATGCACATATTTTGTCTGTTCAAAACTTGACCTCCTGCTGTTGGTCTATTATCTTTTGACATTATCACAAATAGCCATGTTAGTTGAGTTACATTTAGTATACAGATTAATAACTAGACATCCAAAATCATGTTCAAGTGACAAAACTATATATAAATAAGGGGTATTAACAGTTCATTGAGTTTATATTGACCACACACTAGTTACCAATCAAAAACTTTCAAGATTCACATATTTGACAGATTGGAAAAATTCAAAAAGATTCAACAATACAAACAGTATTCATGATTACTGAATTATATTAAAACCATTTTGTTACAAATAATGCAAGGAAATTAAACACATTCACAGACACATCTGTTACTGAAGCCATCATGACTTCAATTTGATAGATCACTATTACTAAAAGCCTAATGCCATCCTAAAAAGCTACATCAGAATATTGTGGCTTCCAAGGACAATACTATGTGTATAAGTTTTCCATAAATCTCCTAAATTACATACACCAAAGAAGAAGTTAATGCATAACAATTAGCAATGGGTCAAGGTACATTGTAAAGGGGGTGGAGTTGGATGTCATTGACACCAATAGGCTATAGCTGAGATGAAAACTTCTATGTATGAAAATGCATGCAGACAGCCTAACACTGGCCAGACATAGCAAGGCACCTTATCAACAACCCTAGACTAAAAACACAGAGGTAATTTTGGTAATTGACAAAAATAACTAATGACTCACGCCCCTTAACTAACACGTCTGCTGCATTTAAGAACAATATTCCTATGTGAAATTCACAAGGAGAAAGGGGGCGTAAACATCTATTTTAATATAGCAATCTACATTTTCTGGCGTCAATATTCACCGTCCTTGTTAAACAGAAAAGGTGCATGTGGCAGTATGTGCGTAAAAATATGTGTGGTTGAATCATAAAATCGTCTTCCGGTTTCTGGTTTGGAATCACACGACTGCCAAGTCATCAACACGAGAGTCGATTTTACCCGATCGTAGCGAAGAGGGAACCGATAAGAAAGCCACTATACACCAGAGCTAGATGCATTAGTGATTACATACATGATCCAACATCATCATAAAAGAGTTGACAATACGATTATGAACAATTATAACCTAGACAGTATGTGTATTTGCACCTGGCTGCCATCATTAGGGGCGTGTAACGCTGAGACATCACCACCGGTATGACAGACTCACCTGTAGATGCTCCTGAAATCGGATGGGAAGCAGCTGCGTCATTGCGCTTCAGCAGATGCTCGGTGTCTGGGTGTGCACCAGGTGCTGAGATGTGTTTTGTGTTGCCAAATATCGCCCTAACCGTTGATGACCGGTGCCTTCTACCGCTGACCGTCTTCACTTATCTACAAAGATGGCTGCCGCCGTGGAGAGGTTCTGCGCAAGTAGTTCCGGGAATAGCCATAATAGTGATTTCCTTGAAACTATTTCTCAATGACAAATTACACAAGACGTCTGTTGGTACCCGGCAAACGGGAGTGCCCTTTGCAAATAAGTAATTTATCATGCTGTTTAAAAACAAGTTTGAGTTATTATATGAAATAAATGAAATTTACATAAGCAAAAAAATCCATTTCAATTACAGTATTACATTCTGTAGATTATGTTCTTCCTTTATTGTGTTGAGAAAGCTTACAAGGATAAATAAACAATTTACACACCACACAGTAGTGTTAAACCGAATAAACGTTTAAGAAAAACTGCGCGCTGCCGGCATTAACAGCTGGTGTTGTGATAACTGCAGGAGGTGCACAGCCACCAATTAAGCTGATTAATTAATCCCTGAATGGTTACATAATCCTATCCTGGTGTTTACTTAGCTAAAGCGTTTATTGAATCAACACGATAAGGCATTTAGGTTTAGGAATTTGTGTTTAATACGAACTAGTTATTTCTTCTTTACCTTTGTCTTCCGCCCTGTAAACCACAACTGTTTTACCTATTAATTATCGACTCGGGAAATAAAAAGAATGGGACGGTATATTTGCATTGCCAGGGATAAAATCAATGCCTCATATTCCGAAAAGTACACAGTTTTGCCGTTAAATGAATATATATTTGTAACAATATTTGTTATGATGCCTCTAATACTTTCTCCGTTTTATTATTGACTTACTAATATGAACTAGTCGTTTTGTAGAAATTAAAACTCATAACCATACATGAAGAGAAAGACTACAAAATCTCTCCAAGGAATCTGTCGATGCGATATTATAAATATTATCTTATAAATGCAATTAGGTAGAATTCTTGTATCTGTTCTTATTAAGTTGCTCCATTGCGATATATAATATGTTTCCAATTCAAACACACAACAAAAGCGCAACAATACAGACACACGTAGTCACCCTTGAGAAATTACTTCCGCGTCGTCCGAGAGAAGTCCCCGTGAGAGATATAAGTTGTTAGGTAAATATTACCATTCTTATTTTCTACCAAATTAGGATGATAATTCATTTTTTATTCGAAAAGTAGACAAATGACTGTGTCATTGCCCCACTGCAAGTACTTTTCATTATTGTTAACCCGATAAATGAAAAAACTGTACTTTCAACGACACCGGTAAGCGAAAAGGGTACTAGTTCCATAATAAGAATATATCGTATCACTCCGCCATTGATGGCGTCATCGAGGTTATCCGAGTCTCGCAACCAATCAGAAGCCGAGTTCACTAACAAGAGCTGGACACGCAAATACACCCACTTGTCTCTGTCATTCGACATAGGGATCTTTTCCGTACCAATGTGGAACATTGGTATTATTTTTAGAATACTGCGGTCGATAACAGATTACCAAATACAAAGCACATATCGAAACGCATTGTCGGATACGAGACACGTGTTAAAAAAAAGGTTTGCCGGAAGCGGATCCCAAATTATTTTGCAAGTACATACGAATATTATCACAAAGAAGAACATGCATGCCTGCAATGTGTTATAAACAGTAACGCTTAAAACATAAATTCAAGACTCGTGGTTGTTGTTCGTATACCTTTCTGCTGTTTGGATATATATTTATCTTTGAAATCTAATTTGTTAACCCATATTATATATAAAACACTGTCAAGATACACTTGAAGTAGTCAGAACGAAGTACATCCGTAGTATATTAGTATACTCAGGACAGTGACGTAATCGTTGATCTCGGGTCAAACTTCAAAGAAGTATTTCTGTACGGATAAAAGTTTGTAACAGTTCATCGTATTACTGATAACCCAATAGGACAGAACATTAACAAATACTGTAGTATATGCTGTATACATATTGATGAAAGTACATGAACCGTTGCATGTATACACCCGTGAAGATCCGGGGTAGAAAAGGGCTTCTGCAACCGATGCTTGCCGTAAAAGGCGACCCTGCTTGTCGTAAGAGGCGACTAACGGGATCGGGTGGTCGGGCTCGCTGACTTGGTTGATGCCTGTCATCGGATCGATGCTCATGATGCCAATCATTGCATGATTGTCTGGTCCAGACTCGATTATTTACAGACCACCGTCATATAGCTGGAATATTAGTGAGTGCGGCGTAAAACAACAAACAAACCGTTGCATGTAATCTAGATATATATACGAAGCATACTAACTGTGTGTTTGTGTTTTACGGGGATTTATTTACCGAACATTATGTTAGTGTGTTCGTTTAGGATAATTTTCTGTTTTGTACTTTCGCAACAAAGTATGTTTAAAATATCAAACTATTTAAAATGTTTGTCGACCCGTGAAGGTCTTCAGCAACCCATGCTTGCCGTAAAAGGAGACTGTCGTAAGAGGCGACTAACGTGATCGGGTGGTCAGGCTCGCTGACTTTGTTGATGCATGTCATCGTATCCCAATTGCGTGGATCGATGCTCATGATGTCAACCACTTGGTTGTCTGGTCCGGACTCGATTATTTACAGGCCGCCGTCACATAGCCGGAATATTGTTGAGTGCGGCGTTAAACAACAAACAAACAAAAAATAAAATGTATGTCAACATGGCCTATCATGCAACACCTGTTGGCAATTCAGAAACGAAAGGAAAAGTGTACGGTTACAGTAAATCGTCATATTTATAGATGTTTATGAAAATCAATACTTCTAAAGTCACCTTAAGTAAACAGTCATATCAAATCAAGAATTTTGAAACGTGACACCCTCACGACGATAATTCCTGGACGTAATGTGAAAGACGAGCAGCTGTGTTTCGAGCGCTCACATGGGCGGAACTGGGAAACCGTCTCAATGTCCTCTCGCTGACGGCCTGTCAATACACGAACGTGTATACTTGCATAATTATACATGGACGCGTTTGTAAAGTGATTCACCGTGTAGCAAAAGGTGACCTAGATTGCTTCAGCGATGCGTCAACTATAGAGACGAAAGCGGATTCAGATATAATAAATGTTGTTATATAAATGTGTAAACACATACATCCGTAATTTGAATTTAAAGTAAGATAGTATATGTCTCAAATTACCGACATTCAAGGCTTTTAAAGAAAGGACGACGTAACATAAATTCTCGTCACAAAATTGCAACCTTTACAGGATCACTGACCGTAAATAAATGGGAGTGGCGTACATAAAAAAATGAATTCAGCGTTTTCATGTACTTTTATTAGAAATACGTGAACGGCTTATTTGATAAGGGGATTATGCGATTGGTATGAAATATATATGCCGTGAAGAAAGTAGGAGTTTATACGAATCATTTAGATTTGTTTGTTGTTTAACGCCACACTCAGCAATATTCCAGCTATATATCACAGGGGTCGGTAAATGATCGAGTGTGGACCAGACAATCCAGTGACTGACATCATGAGCATTGATCTACGCATGTGGGATACGATGACATGTATCAACCGAGTTAGCGAGCCTGACCACCCGATCCCGTTAGTCACTTATACTTCAAGCATGGATTGCAGAATACTAATTCAAGCCCGGACTTTGCGGGAGCTTATAGATAATTATTTATAAAATTACCGTATATGATGTGGTCAAGTTAAACAATTTCCCAGGTTGAATTAAATGGGATCTGGAGTAGTCAGTCGTTGGAAAGAGTGAGTGAGTGAGTTGGTTTTAACGCCGCTTTTAACAGTATTCCAGTTATATCGCGGCGTGTCAGCTTAACGTGGGAGGAAAGCCCGAAGTGATGCAGGTCTCAGACGTTTACCACTTCGGTGAAACCCACAAGCACGGGTATGGTGCTGACAAACCTAGAAACATATTCGGGGCGAACCGGGATTCGAACTCACAATCATAGGTTTCTGGCGTGCCCAAGGGACGCAACTCTGCACAGCGAATCGCGGCGCCTTAGACGACTGGGCCACCCGTGCCCCCCGTTGGAAAGAACCTGTCCATAATGCAGTTTTAACCGATTTAATTGCAGAATGTGTGTACTGCGCCCAGTGTCTGAAACTCAACCTAGTAAACAGAGAGCCTTAAGGTCCAGCCCATTTAAAAAAAAATTATGCCAAGTGGAAAAAACCTGAGGCCTTTACATTTTAGCTGAAGCAGGGAGACAGATTCTTGCAGTATAAATTACAAAACACATCCAGTCAACCAGAAGCTTTTACTATCACACCGAGTTCCCAGAGACTTGGTGGTGATAAATAATGCCTACATTTATCAGGAAATTATCGACTTGAAAAACATCTTTGCGACTACATGTCATACACTATATGAAAGGTCTAATCCAAGTGTTTATAAATATGAAAGTTATGTTTATAGCGTTACTTAAATAATGCTTAATAAATAACTACTTAGATAACCTGCAAGCGTAAGGCCCTGCTGAAATTTGAACCTATCAGCCCGAGAACAAATTTCAGGCCTCGGGCCTACGGGCCTTTGTCTATTTCGAACACTGACTGCGCCACAAAAATCAACTTTCCAATGTCTTTGGGTCTCAGTTTAATTAGGTCAAATTCTCATTTTACATATATCTTTCCATGTTTCTTAGACATACTGAACTTTACAGGATAGTCATACCCAAAAACGTCAGTGGTTGCGTAATTTTTTACCTTAAGTATACCTTCAACATATATAGGTCATTGGCAGATATAATAAGGGTGGTATACGTCATAGTTATATTATGTATACGTCAGCAATAAGCCCGGGTGTCTAAAGGTTAAACAATAACCTGACTGCCTGTAGAGGCCCACATTCTACCTTCAATACTATAAGCGTATATATGCTATACTCGCTGTCAAGTTGCACACAATACGCGCCCGCCCCTTCCTGTGTTTCCTGCATGAGCAGTACAGACACTTGTGAAGCACAAACAGCCAGCCGTGCCAGTGTCATGTATATCCAGCATATTCATACATGTGACCCGTGAAGATCCGGGGTAGAATAGGTCTTCACAAACCCATGCTTGCCGTGAAAGGCGACTATGCTTGTAAGAGGCGACTAAGGGATCGGGTGGTCAGGCTCCCTGACTTGGTTGATGCATGTCACCGTAAGAGGTGACTAAAGGGATCGGGTGGTCAGGCTTGCTGACTTGGTTGATGCATGTCATCGTATTCCAATTGCGTGGATCGATGCTCATGATGTCAATCACTGGATTGTCTGGTCCAGACTCGATTATTTACGGACCGCCGTCATATAGCTGGAATACTGCTGAGTGTGACGTTAAACAACAAAACAAAACATGTAATTGTTGTACATACGTTTAAACTTCGGTTCTAAGCGGTTAATCACGAATAATTAACGCTAATCGCTTTGAAGAGCTATACGCGCATGTCTTTAGATTATCGCCTCTAGAAATCTTCCTTCTGTGGGACAGAATTCCCAGCCGTCCATACGGCGACAGATTTCACCGTGTTGGGTTGCGTCCCTTAGTCGTTTCAGGATTCGTAAAGATCACGGTCGTGGGTTTCACTATGCAAGGTGGTATACAATTCCACGGCCTGTGTCACTTCGGGCTCTCCCATACTGAGTTGAGTCACATTACTGAAATAATGCTTACATTGGAGTAAAACCAACTAGAACTCATGTTATCAAACATACATCCACAAGGTACATGTTGTTTGCTCCCATTTCACGTGCTACATTACAATACAGAACAGATGCGCATTCCTTAAGAGTATTATTCATATAGCCAATTCCATACAACTCTCAGTTATTAAGTCCGTTTAAAACAGATTTTCCTGATCTAACGTTATTCTATTCGAACATCATACCTTCTTGTGGAAAAGTAGATTCCTTAAACAGAATTGGTACTACATTAAAGTACGTTTATAACGAACACGCTTATAACGAACTGACGGATATAAGGAACTGATTTTTGGTCCCGACTATTTGCTATAGTTATGCTGTATATATGCTTATAACAAACTACGGTTATAACAAACTAAAGTTAGTGGCCCCTTTGAGTTCGTTATAACCGTAGTTTACTGTACTCTTATATCTAGAAACGGGCCTAACTGTTGGGTACCTGTATGGGACTCCGGTAAATCACGGTGAAAAATAATATGTTTGCGTATATCGTAAATGCATAGCGTCTGAATTTATATACTGACGTCCCTTTCGGTGACTGCCATACGGGATGTTGTTTTACGGCGCAGCCAGAATAATCCATTTATATGACGAAGGCCTGATACATTCGTGGTTGCCGTAGTCTTACGAGCTCCGTGAGGATTTCTAGTTACAATAGATCCGCGCACACATTAATATTCCAGCCATAAATGTCTTTCGCCAATGATACGATTCCAATTGACAGTCATTACGTGAGGAACACGGTTACAGAATAGTATAACGGATCGGATGGTCAGAATCGCTGACTTGGTTGATGCATGTCATCGTATCCCAAGTGCGTAGGCCTTGAAGATAGGGTAGAACGGGTCTTCACCAACCCATGCTTGCCGGAAATCGGGTGGGCAGGCTGGTTTTACTGACTTGGTTAGTGCATGTCATCGTATCCCAATTGCGTGGATCGATGGTCATGTTTTCATTCACTGGATTGCTTGGTCAATACTCGATTACTTACAGACCGCCGTCATGTAGCTGGAATATTCCTGAGTGCGGCGTTAAACAACAAACACACACAGGTTGCTGGGGACATTTAACCTGGAAGGTTATCATTTAAGGTGAAGAGACAGTAAAACGTCATGCAGTGTTGAATATTAATGCATGTAACAGTACATTCCATCTTTACCACTGATAACTCTACGTGTCCTAATAACATAATAATACATAAACATTGACGGGTAAGCATTGAACATAGTTTCTAAATATTACTAACAGTTAATCAACCGGTCAATCATGTCTAGTTAAGCCAATATGTACACGACTGGTTCCCTGCCCAACTAATTATCGCATGGATAAACCACAGCAATGTATCCACTTAACTGTTGATCCATTACGACCCCTGTAAGCAAGGTACCGCTAAATCCAAGCCTGTTTTCTTAAAGCTTATTCGGTTTATAGGCCACTTAGCCATAATCCAGGGGTATCCAAGGTTGGAATTGTAAACTGCCCAGGACTAAACGTTCAGCTCAACAATCAGGGTGTGAGTTAGACTCACACCTTGTCTATGAAATGAACATATGTTATTGGAAAAGACAGTTGTTAAATTATCTTTTTTAAATATAATAAAAAGGAGACCATAGATGCTTCATTTTCAGAAACTGCAGTAATCTAGACTTGCCCACTATTATAGACTTGCCTGGGCTGTATTGGATAATTTGTTTCAAGGTCTGCATGGCAGACAAGGTGATTGGTCTGGGTTGAATTGAACCTGGCAGAAACGTACCAGCTGTGACGTCTGCCAGTGTATACTACTCGAAAGTTAAAGAACATCCACAGTTGGAGTGAGTGAGTATGGTTTTACGCCGCTTTTAGCAATATTCCAGCAATGTCACGGTGGGGAACAACAGAAATGGGCTTCACACATTGTACCCATGTCGGGAATCGAACCCGGGTCTTCGGCGTGACTAGCGAACGCTTTAACAAAAAGGCTACCCGACCGCCCCTCCACAATTGGAAGGCTGTGTTGCAATAAATAGCAACCATGACAGATTAACTATAGTCGAATGAAAAATGTGAGCTTTCTTGAACTTCTTTTGAGTAGTATATATTCTTTATATAACAGTTTTCTGTAGGTAGGTAGGTAGGTAGGTAGGTATAGGTATTCATATTCTTTAAAAGAACTTGCTGTATGTTCACTTAGACCTTTAAACCTGGTGAGCCTTATCAGTTATCTTGACTGCATAATGACATCAGTCGGTTTTCAGTAAATAACTGGGTGTGGTCCAGAGCATCCAGTGATTGATAAGAGCAATGGCCGACACCAGAATATAATGACAGGCAAAGGAAGACACGGAGCCTGACCTCCCGATCCATTTAGCCGCCTCTATGACCAGCATAGATTATTGGGGACCAACTCTAACCCACACTCCCTGCAGTGTCTTTCAGCTGGGTCACACACTGTGACCATCTGATGATTCATCAAGCATATGTTCATGTAAATCACAACCAGTGAAGCCTGAAAAACATGGGTCTGGACAATCATGCTGATTTCAACAGGTTATTACATGTAGGTCAGAGTTCTTAATGTATTGATTTATAGGGACACATTTGGTCCGTAGGTTGATTTTAAAAAAAAATTCATTATACGGATTTTTGCAATAATCTTAGTATGATTTGCATCAGTGGGTGATAAATAAGAAAGAAGAATTGGCCTGGTATTGGTGCTTATGAATATTATAAATGTAAATTTGAGGGGGGGGGGGGGGGGGGGGGGGGGGCATTTCATTGTAATTTTTACTGTCAAAGCGATCTTTACCTTGGGCAGTATAAAAAAACCAACTCTTTCCTGTATTTTTCTATTTATAAGGTTGGTAGATCAGTAAGCCAAAACAATCCCACAAACCCGTAAGGCCTCACATAAATTTAAAATGGGGAACTATTCCCAAACCAGTTATTTGCAGGCTATTTCTCTAGAGGAATTATATTTCACTTTCACCATCTTCCCGAGGCAAAGGCGTTAACTTACTATAAAAGTGCAGTTCCCTTACTTGCAGAACTGGGCTGGAATTCCGGAGTTACATTTTGGCTGGACTAACGAGTCAATGCATAGTCCCATCAAAAATCGGGTAACGAACTAGACATCCGGCTCGTAAACAACATGGATTTCAACGTGAAGATTTCGGTCGACTGCAGGATTTGCAAAGCATGTGGACCCTCAACTGGGCGTCGCCAGATATTTTGCAAATCTTTTCATTTCTATAATCAAGGTGCTCAAGTGATTTGATGCACTTCGCGGGGAAAGCCCTGTTTTATTATAATATAGATCTTGATCAGTTAAATAGAGGACATAGAAGGGACATAACTCTTAATAGCCACTGGCGGAGCTACGAGGAAGCCTGCAAATTATGTATCAATTACATGATTTATACATTAGTCTTAATTATTTTATTGCAGATCTGGGGTAGATCCGGTCTTCAGCAACCCATGCTTGCCATAAACGGCGTATAGATACTTGTCGTAAGATGCGATTAACGGATCGGGTTGTCAGGCTCGCTGACTTGGTTGATGCATGTCATTTATCCCAATTGCGTGGATCGATGCTCATGATATCAATCACTGGATTGTCTGGTCCAGACATGATTATTGACAGACTGCCGTCATATAGCTGGAATATTGCTGAGCGTGGCGTTAAACAACCAACCAACCAACCATTATATTGCATGGTATAAAACTTTCATACAAAGCACAACAAATGATGTGATGTTTATTGGATGATGAAAAATTGTACATATGACAAACATGATCACATGTGACCAATGCAGTACCAGACTGTTCGAACACTTGTACGGGAGACTATTCACTGAAGCACGCATAGACTGCTTAATAGACTGACAAATGATAACATCTCCAACATCAGGCTTCTGGTAGTCCAAATACAACATTACCACCAAACTGTATAAACTTACAGGTTTGCATAAAGTCTTACTCTTTGCAAAGGTTTAGTGATCCAACATGGAGATTACATCATTTTAATAAAACAGAAGTTACAGGCTATTGAAGTTATTTCTCCTTTGACTAAAAATGAAATGTGTAAATAAATATCATCTTGTTTACATAGTTATGAAGTCCCTTGAAATTGTGTGAGTGAGTGAGTGAGTTTGGTTTTACGCCGCTTTTAGAATTATTCCAGCAATATCACGGCGGGGGACACAAGAAATGGGCTTCACACATTGTACCCATGTCGGGAATCGAACCTGGGCCTTCAGCATGACGAGTGAACGCTTTAACCTCTAGGCTACCTGACCACCCCTTGTGTTTATGCAAAGATAACATAACCTATTTAATAATATCTGACACAGGTTTTCCTCAAAGCTCTTCATCTGATTAAGGAAAGCATGCATATAACCCCCGAATATGGTCTCTGGTGAACTTCATATTCAAGGTTTTGAAACACAAAATATACAGACATCAGTTAACAAAGCAACAGTAAATGTTCCTATGTTTACATTTTTGCTCCAATTAGTGCCGTCAGAGTGAGTGAATGAGTATGGTTTTACGCCCCCATTGCAAATTCCAGCAATATCACGACAGGGGACACCAGAAATGGGCTTCACACATTGTACCCACGTTGGAAATGGAACTCGGGACTTCGTCGTGACAAGTGAACGCTTTAACCGCTAGGCTAACACCCACCCACCCACTCCCCCCAAGTGCTGTCAGAACAACTAGACCAACCTGAAAGTGATCTTTTGTAAGGGAAGCAACTCTGCACAGAGAATTGCAGCACCTCAGATGACCCAGTCACTGACCCCTGAAAGTTACCTTTGAAAGCAGTCCCTGTTTATAAAATGATTTCTTTTCAGATCATAAAGACATGCATTCATGGTACGATAATGAAAATTGGAATATATGATACCATCGTCTCTGGTTGACCGATGTTATCAACAGATGTTCAATTTTGACCAACCAATGTTGCTCAATGTCTCTGAATTGGTCTGCAGTCCAGTTGTGAGGAGTTAGTGTATCGTATCTTGACTTTAAGACAGTCTACCAATGTAGCCTTGAATCCACATTCTTGTCAATCTAGAAGATCGTGTTCAGGAAGAGTATTGGCAGTCACCAAGTACTGTGTGACACGCCAATGTCACTCCTCGTGGATGGTTCCTGATGACCTGCATCTCACATCACACGGCACGCCAGGCTGTTGCCATGGGTCACGTGGTCTCCATGGCCTGACACGACAGCTGCGCCTGTGCGATGTCGTGCAGCGCCTGTTGTATCTGTTTTAGCAGCACTTCGCCCCGATGAACCACGTCCTCTAACTTCCGCGCTGCATCCTGGTTCTCCACCTCTAATTTCCTCAGACTGGCTGTCTGAAAACATACATCAAAGAAAGGAAGATTTAGAAATTCGTAATTTATAAAGTCTAGATCTAGAGGACTATAGTCTGTCAACCATCATTTTGGCACCCGTCTTTTTACAATTATTTTCCATTAAACACACAATCACACAACAAAAGTTGGTTATCATCATATAACAATCATTGACCTCACTAAAAATATAGGGTTTTTTATTATTACATGTCCGAATAAAATTATTTTCTTCATTGTTATCACGTGACTTTGCTCCAAATGAGAATGATGAATTGCAAAATAACTCAATATTGGGAAATGTCAGTATGGTACACGGCAATGAATACCCTGTACCCAACAATATCTCCTCTTTGTTAATTTTATTCCCATCACAGGAAAAAGCTGTTTAAGAAACTATCATGTTGTTATGTGTACAAGTTGACATCTTGAACGGAGGGGGGCACAAGGGTAGGAGGAACAGCTCAACACACACATGCTACACAACGGTACAGGAAATGATAGCATCAGTGGGGTCGTCTCATGATGATTTTCATCGCAATCATTACTCATTACTAATCATTTAAGCATCCTTAGTATATCATAACAATATGTACTACAAACCTGCACCCCTCGTGTCAGGGGGAGCTGGGGAGGGACTCAAGAGATGAAGAAAATGAAGTGAACTTGGTATACGCTAGGGCTGTTACGATTCACTCGGATATTCAGTGAATTGATCCGTATACCTTTATGAATTGAATTTGCTATTCGTGGTCACTACAATCAAATATGTATGATATTTTGGAAAAGAGTATTTATTTATTCGTCAGTTATTTATCAAAGCAAGATATGCAAAATGGAATATAAATACAAGCCATGCAGTAGTGTCATCAGTATAACAAGGCCCCTAATGGTACTGTCAACCAAAACATGAGGCTATAGAATAAGCGTCATTGTTGCGATCTTTTGCTTGTTTGCTTCACAAAATATATTTGAAATGTTTCAACCTGAGCAATTACAGGACGTACATTTACATACATTTTTAATAAACTCAAGTTTTACACTGACACAATGTTTTTCCCCAATACAAAGACAATACCAGCTGATTACCATGAGCATGTAACCATGGAAGTAACTTGTTATTGTATTTGTGAATAAATATTCATATTCGTTACCCTATATTCGTGATATGTATCACACTCGCCTCAAAATGTATTCATTGCAGCCCATGTATACACAATCACATTAGTATGGATAACAGGACACAACATTCATTTATTACTTCTGTGTATAGTGAGTGAGTGAGTGAGTGAGTGAGTGAGTGAGTGAGTGAGTGAGTGAGTGAGTGAGTGAGTGAGTGAGTGAGTGAGTGAGTGAGCCAATATTTAAAATCACATCGGCAATATTTCAGCCATATCGTGACTTGAACAAGTTATGCATTAATATTACACATAAAACACTGTCGAAGGACAGTAAAACAACCAGCACTAGTTTCAGAACAATAACATGATCAGATTATGACAGAAGACACATTATAAAATCAGGTTTGAGATCACCAACAACTAAAGTTAGGCCACCATACCAGGGACCATGGGGACTTACAGTACCTTTGCTACCTGCTTGGACCCCCAGGAGGATTTATACCATCCCTTTAGTCATTGGTGATTGTTGACAAGATTAGCCATAAATTAAAAAATACAAATATTCTGCGGTTAAAACATTGGTAGATAAAATACTTTGAATTACGTGGTCTTACACTGTGTATAACGAATTTATGGCTGATTGATAACATAAAATTACATTGATAACAGGCAGATTCTACTATATTTGAAATGGAGAGATTTTGCAGTGAGAAACTTATTGGTCAAAATGAAGTTTATTAATGTGCCCAGAAACCTATGCTTATCTTTAAAGGCAATGAAATGGATCCGGTTGGTTGGTTTGTTGTTTTACGCCGCACTCAGCAATATTCCAGCTATATGATGGCAGTCTGTAATTAATCGAGTCTGGATCAGACAATCCAGTGATTGACATCATGAGCATCGATCCACGCAATTGAGATCGATAACATGCATCAACCAAGTCAGCGAGCCTGCCCACCCGATCCCGTTAGTCGCCTCTTACGACAAGCATAGTCGGTTTTATGGCAAGTATGGGTTGCTGAAGACCTATTCTAACCCGGATCTTCACAGGTCTGGATCTGGTAGTCAGACTTGGTGACTTGATTCTTTGGCAGAGATCGAAAACGAGGCGGTATTGAAATGAAGCCAAATTATTTTAGAAAGCTGATTATCTGATTGACACATCCTTACATTTTTATTTGGAGGTCAAAGTTTGTTCAGGGTTCAACCTTCTATGGAGGGGGTCCTCAAATGTTAACGCAGAGAGGTATCACATTCAGAGCAAAACATCTTGATTTTTTTTTTAGATTGTCTTTGAGCACTTTTACAGTTGCTGTTGTAATTGGCAAATGACTTTAACTGTACCCATTACATGCCTCAAACAAGCTACAAGTTAGGTCTGCCTACCTGCAGATCATAGGAAGAGTCCTCATTGGGCAGGGAGTCAATGAGAACATCGATGTCCTTGGCTGTACGCGCGATCAGCTTTGAGAACAGTACTGCATAATCTGTCAAATATAAAATGACATAGCAGCCATGACAAAAAGGAACAAATTGACCATGATAGACAGACACAAAAATATATAAAATATTCTGTCACACAACTTTACAAGAACCTGTTAATATTCCCTAAATTTAATGCCTCAACAATAGCTACTGTTCGTGTTTAACGCCGCACTCAGCAATAATCCAGCTATATGACGGTGGTCTATAAATAATAGAGTCTAGACCAGACAATCCAGTGATTGACATCGTGAGAATCGATCCACTCAATGGTCTCATTAGTTTTGAAATTTATATACAGTGGTCCCTCGCTACAACGCTACCAATGAGGTCCAAATAATTGGTGGGCGTTATAGACGATGAGCTGTTTAACCGAGGGGGGAGCGCGCTCGGCCAATCTCACGATCTTCGCCTTGTCTCACACATTGCAATGATACAAGTTGTTTACACTTGTAGTACACTTAAAATAGATCCGCCAACAAATTCACAAATTCAGAATAAAGTTGAAATTGCGAGCATCTGTGGCGGCCATAAAATTTCTGAGTCCTGTGATGGGATTCAAACCATGGACCTTCTGATCCGAGGTGGGACGCCTTGTCTACATGACCAAAGAAGTTAACCTCATCAGCAAGGTGACAAGGTGAAGATGTCATTGACTCGATGATTCCGTACTCTGCTAAATATTCCCTTGTCAACAGAAGGCACGGTAGTCAGAAGGCCAGTACCGAGACTTATTTTGCTCAAACTTAATATGCTTAGCCCCTTGTCATTGGATTCAAACCACGGACCTTCAGATCCGAGGTTGGACACATTGTCCACATGACCAAAGAGGTTAACCTCTACAGCAAGTTGACAAGTCATCCATGAGATGACTCCAGGCCTTGCTACATAGCAACTGTTGAAAAAAGAACGTTTAATTCTCATTCATATAATTTGTATGTGTGTGTTGTTTAACACCGCACTCAGCAATATTCCAGCTATAGTCTGTAAAGAATCAAGCCCGGGCCAGACAATCCAGTGATTGACATCATGAGCATCAATCTACGCAATTAGGATAAGATGACATGCATCAACCGAGTCAGCGAGCCTGCCCACCTCATCCCGTGAGTCGCCTCTTACGACAAGCAGAACCGCCTTTTACAGCAGCATGGGAGGCTGAAGACCTACTCTTATAAACCCAGGTCTTCACGGGTGAACACGATGAATACGTCTGATAATTTTCATAACAATTTCTAAAAGAATTGCTTATTTCCTAAATGTTTCTTAAACATTCCAATATCCTATCTTGTCCTTTTGAGAGTGAGTTGTGTTTTATGCCGCTTTTAACAGTATTCCAGTTATATCACAGCGTGTCAGCTTAATGTGGGAGGAAAGCCTGAAGTGATGCAGGTCTTAGACGTTTACCATTTCGGTGACACCCACAAACATGGGTATGTTGCTGATAAACCTAGAAACATAATCGGGGTGAACCAGGATTCGAACCCACAATCATAGGTTGCTGGCGTGTCCAAGGGAAGCAACTCTGCACAGCAAATGGCAGCGCCTTTGACAACTGGGCCACCCATGCCCTCTGTCCTTTTGAAAAACAGTAAGATTCACATGAGCAAATACAAAACCCAACTACACGATGTCATCACATACCATCCTGTGGAGGGGCCGGTGACGACTTTCCACTTGGCTTTTCGAAGTTGGGGAATGGACTTGGTTGAGCACATTGTTGCAAAATGCCGATACTGTTGCAGAAGTTGTCAGCTTGCTGAGGAGGAGAAAACATGGCATAATACATGAACATTGTGATGAGCTACTAAAGCCTTCTGTTTGTTTGTTTGTTTGTTTGTTGTTTAACACCGCACTCAGCAATATTCCAGCTATTTGACGGCGGTCTGTAAGTAATCGAGTCTGGACCAGACAATCCAGTGATCGACAACATAAGCATTGTTCCACGCAATTGGGATCGATAACATGCATCAACCAAGTCAGCGAGCCTGACCACACCATCCCGTTAGTTGCCTCTTGCGACAAGCATAGAAGCCTTTTACGGCAAGCATGGGTTGCTGAAGACCTGTTCCACCCCGGATCTTCACGGGCCCTAAAACCTTCTGGTATTAATACAATCATGCCATAGTTTATTAACAGTAGGCTTGATTTCAAGCTATGGAATACTGTTAAATATACTAAAAAAGCAGCAATAAATTACATGGTATATGTTCATTTGTTATTATTAGCAAGTTCACATTGAGCATCATGGCAAGGGCGATAACTCTAGAACACATGGTCCAACTAGAATGTGTGTTACTCATAAAAACATTTGTCTCCCCCTGCCCACAAGAAATAAAAAAGTAAAAATTGAAAAAAATGCAAAGGCAACTGTTGTGCATGTGGTCATTGCACATGTATAGTTTCATGCAAAAATATTCATTAATATTATGACTCGGAAACGTAGACTAGATTTGTTTGAGACTTAGTCGAAATTGTCCAGATGGAAACATAGCAAATAAAATGTAGAAAATTTTCAAAATAGCAAAAGGCACCAGTTAAGCTGATGAACAATGCAAATACCAAGTTTCGTTGAAAAACTTTCAACGGTTTTCGAGTTATGGCTTGTAATAAGAAGGTAGCGCTGACACCAATGCCAATGGTAACCAAGCCAAAAGTAATCTGTCTCCCCTTCCATTAGTGGGAAACACTTTTACTCACTGAAGGGCCATCATTTACGAGGTCTGGTATTGTCCAGGAACACAACCTACGGTCCCTGAAGCACAAGTTCCACACAGGGTGACATTGGAAACCAGGGCTTATCTTACTGAAGATAGTCAACTATTTTAATATTGCAGCACATAGAAATATGTTTTATCAGCGATTCCTAGTTGTGGATAAGTTGCAGGAAATGTAACTTACCACAGAATTGCAGAAAATCGCGGAATTTGCCCTTTATTATCGATCAATACACTAATTTTAATTATTTTCAAGCTTTTCTATAACATTTCACATGCGATTCAAACATACAAAATGTGAATCCTTTAATAAAACAAAATTAAAAATAGTGGAGGATTGAATTTTCACACTGCGAGCTTGAAGCTATCTAGTGATTTAACCTAATTAGCCAAATGTTTGCTATGAGACCATGGGCACTATCACAAATAAGTAGTGATCATTTACTAGTGGTGGGGCGATACACCGATGCATCGCCTCTTTTTACTTCTCGATACAAGTATCGATCACAGTCACAATCAATCACTAATCAGTAGTGCAAGATAATAGCGAAAACATGAATATTTTCATCTATTGCGCCATACTTGACACTGCCAACTGTAAATCATCAGTGTGCCAGGTATATTTGGCCATCCTGTCTATGAAAAAGATGGCTTACTCACCACAGATAAGAGCACATGCAAGTATTGTGATAAATATCGGATTGTGAGTAAGGTATCTTGATACGTATCGGATTGCACAGTTGGTGTACCGTCCTAGCCCTATCATTTACCCAGTTAAACCTTACAGCAGGGTCACAATATGATATGTATCACGATACAAGGGTCACGATACCATACGTATCGCAATAAGCATATTAACGTCAAATCGCATGGAAACTTCTTGACAATAAATATTTCTGAGAGGTTCAAAATTAAATGCTAGCTGTAGACACATGTTCGTAGCAGCTATGTTTAGTAGAGAACTTGAAATGTGAATAACAACACAATTTGCAATAGTTGACTGACATAAACAAGGGGGTCATTAAACAAGTAGTTAGTAATTTATTTCAGCAAGTGTATCGTCTTGTATCGACACAGAAAAAAACTGTATCATGTATCATAGCCAATTGTCGCAATAAGCTGCACTCAGTAAAATGCAATCTCATTAAAATCAGATCATAGTTCTTGCTACCACTGAACAAAGATCTGAGGACATCCCATTACATCCCAGAATGACCTTTCGCAGACTTTGACTGACCAATATGAAATGACTAACAAGAAGTCAACATTCGCAAATCAGAAAGTAGCTTTCTCAAGCTATACGAGACAAGTTTCAAACTGGCAACTTCCATTCCATACTATGCTTGACAAAATAAGGTCTTGATTCAAAATTTGAAAACTGAACAAAAAAATATTCTGAAATATCTAACATATGGTCGAGATTGTATATATGTATGGCAGTTCTTCCCACGGTCTGTGCAACGTCTCTTACATTTCGAGGCTGCAGGATTAGAAAACACATTCGGACTGTCATATTCCTGATCCGGTAGGCGACGCTCTGATTGGTCAGATGAAAGGTCGTTCTGCCGTGACTCATAATGAGAGGCCCTCAGATCTTTGTTTAGTTATATCGAGAACTAAGATCTGATTTGAATGAGATTGAGCAAAATGCAGCCATAGAAATTGGCACTAGTTGTATAGTCCTTGCAAAACTACTCAATAGTTAAGGTATCATAAGGAACAGAAGAGATTTGCCATTTTTAAGGGTTTTGCTATATCTTATCATTATACATGTCACAAGGACTAGTGGACAGAAAATGTTAGTTGCTATCGTGGAAATGCAGTCTTGTTGAATATCCTTCAAAGGTTTGACAAATCATGGAAATGTTCTGATGCTATTTGTCCCTGAGGTTGATGCTGAGATGAATACATAAATATGTTCAATACCAAAGTCATAATTCACTACATAGTGAGTGAGAAAAGGTTGTCATTGCTCTAGACAATAATCCATTTACACCATGAGATGTAACGGTCACATGATCACACCAGTTGCGAAAATCAATATTGTATGCATGTGCCAAGGTTATTAAATACTCATAATCATTAAGATGTATGTTTTCTTACAACAATGCATCACGAGAATACTGTCGGCTCTGTACTGAGTCTGTAGCCTACGTGTAGCCCTACAGCCCTAAATACTTGGTAGGTATAATTTCGTCACCGTTTAACAACAGAACTGTAAACATATAATTTCACCAGCCAACATCATTATCTCTTTGGGCTTACATAGACTATTTTCACATCCTTGCAATATTCTAAACAGTCGGACAAACAGATAAAACAGCAGACAGAAAACACCTCTCACTAAGACTCGGTAAAGGGACTTAATTCAAATGGCCATGTTTACAATGGAACAGAGGTAGTTTAGATTACGGATATGACAGAAAAAATAACGAACACATTCTGTCGTCGCCACGAGACTGTGGACAAAACTTATTGTGTTGGAGATTCATGTACTCATGCTTTGTTCAAAATTCATACTTGGTTCACAGCATCCTGCAACTGTGTCAGTCTGTCCGCCATCATGCAGGGTGTACTTCATTACGTTTACATCAAGCGTTCTTTAGTCGAATACCATTGGAGTATGCATGCTCATCTTTCAGTTGCCCGAGCCTCTGGTGCTCGTTGTGATATTGTAAAGTCCTGGTCGCACATTTTCCTTAAACCTCACACAAAACTTTATTTACGGGCCTGTATGTTGATCCTGTCAGTCGGAATATCAAGTGTATTTGTTTTATCGGGGAGTCTAGATATCCCTGGTTATGCTATAGGAAAATCAAAATTCATGTCCAAGTAAAAAACGTTTTCACCATAACCCTACAAAGTATATTAGCTGACGTTCTAACGTAGACTTGGCCTGTTTGAAGATTGTTGTTACTAAAACAGTGAAGGATGTGTGTAATCCGCTGCTTACCACAACAAATCAAGCGTATATACCTCTCATCACCTGGTTGTTGTCACTTTATCTCGACAACGGTGTAAGAATCTACATCGAAACGTCGCCATATGAAATAAACCAGATATCCACAAAGTTGTACGTTTTCTATTGTACGGAAGCCTTTTAGGGCCATTTATTTGTTGTTGTTTTTTTGAAATTTCAAGAAACTAAGTTAAGATTTCAAGAAGAAATTTGAAATTTCAAGATGCTGTTGAAAATCCAAGATACATACTAAGTTGAAATATCACGATAACGGTAGTTAGCTTTCAAGATAAGTTGTGATTTAAAAAATGTTAACTTGAAATTTCAACTTAAGATCTCGAAATTTCTAGAAAAAAAACAAGTGTCTAAAAGGATTCGGAATATTGCTTCTGATATGTCATCAAATGTATGAGCTTCGATTAATAATCACTAAAATATATTGAGAATTATACTCATTCTTCAACCTCGTCTGAGAGATTGTTACTTTAGAATATTAGTTACATATGATCCTGTGACTTTACAGATACCAAAGACCATATTATAAAGTCTCTGCAGATACGTATATTTTATTCAGTATTTCAGTTACGTAGTCTGGTGGATTTGAGAATCGGTTTGACCTTATAGAAAATACGTATTTTAAGAAAGGAGTTTTTCATTGCAAAAAGTGTAAAAAGACGGTGCATAAACAGCATGCTGATCCATTTTTTACATGCTTGACAATGGTATAAGGATATATACAGAAAAGTCGCTACATTTTACAATATAATAAAGAAGTTGTCATGCATGAACCTTTGTCTACTTAGGCTTTGTCCTAGCTGTTACTCTTGTCGGGCATGGATTCACGGAGTATTGGGAACCTGGAGTTACTGTAACCACAGGAACGTGTAGATAATAATAATAATGACAACAGCAACAACAACAATAATTATAATAATAAACAAATTCGCAAAAAACCCTCGTAGACGAGTTTCGTTGTTGTTGTTGTTATGATGATGATGATGATGATGATGATGATGATGATGATGATGGCCCTGTGAACAAACACACGCCCTTCCCCCCATAACAAATGACCAGTCCCTATAATGACTAACGTTATCAATGTGTGGCTACATATATACTATGGCAACTCCGCTTAGAATAGGAAATATTTTCACATCAGTTATTTCAATATTGATATCATAAATTGATATCGACAAAACGATAGACAGGAAAAGGTTTGACAAGAAGTAATTTGATACAAAATATGGAATTAAAAAGATTTGTAACCAAACTGGTTGTACGTCGCTGTTCTGTCCCTACACACGAGACTCTCTTTCCGCAACAGATAACGGCCCCGGTACCATAAGCCGGGCCGTGCTTGTAAAGACAGTTTCTCATAAAAGGGAGTATAGCCTATTTTCCGACCTTCACCGCTTAAAAAAAAGGAAAGAAAAAATATTTTGAATGTCACAAATAAAAGTTAGAAACATCATTTTTTTCACGCTAAGCGAAGCATAAAAACATCAGTATTATTAAAAACTGCATACGGTAATGATCGAGAATTCCGGATATGACGTCGCACCTGCCTCGATCTGGTCTTTCCGCCATTGACGATATCTCATCAAGGCGTGCACTACGTTTCGTGTCTACGAAAGACTTAAAAGTAAGCTTATCTATAATGGAATAATACCCAAAGCGTGTTTGAATTGAAGATAAAGATTCAATAAATGGAATTGTTCGTGATATGTCAGGATATTTTTGATGATATTCACGGTTTTCAAAACATTTATTCCTGTCTATGGGGACCACGTGGTTCGGGAGCACATTCACGAAAATAGATCTTATTTACGAATTATACCAGTTTGTGTTATTACAAACACGTCCAAGTTATCATCATGGAACTTTGCGGGGTTTTCCACAACACCAGTACTGCACTTAAGCCTTTCCAAATGTTCAATTTGAATTGCGTGGAGCAAGAGTGGAAACTATCGCAATCCTGGTAATACGCCTGGATGAAAACTGTTCGAGCCTAGGCCAACAGTTTGTTGTATGATTTATTTATTTATTGGAGCTGTATTAATATACATACTTCTTTGCCAATCCAACTTCACACACTGTGAAATAAATATGTATGAATTCCAGGGTAGACGCCAATGGTCAAACACGATACAAGGAGGCTTATATTTCACATCATACTTATTTTTTCGTAATATAAATTCAAGAGTTACATCAAAATCACTATTTTGGACAAAGTGAAAGCTGTTTCCCCATTTATGTATCAGACATTAAGCTACAAATTCCTCATTGTACAAATAAATTGCTGGTAAAAGCTTAGTGTCCTGACTCCATGTAACTGCTTATTTTTGCTGGCTTATTTCAATTAGACATCATTTAAGATGATCAAAACCTCAACATTGAAAAGGCAGTATGTGCTGAAATGCCTGTTGGTATAAACAAGTATTTTGGTGTTAAAAACAAGGCTAATGGTACATTATCTAACCTCTAGTACTACAATGGATATAGATCTATATCTTTTTGTGCTCTTTGGTTACTGGCTAAAAGATATCCAGCATTAGAAATTGGCACTAGTCCTATAGTCCTTACCAAACTGCCCAATAGTTAAGGTATCCTAAGGACTAGTAGAAATTGGCCCATTTTAAGGGTTTTGCTATATGTTATCATTATAAGGACTAGTGGACAAAAACTGTTAGTTTCTAACCCTGATATCCAAGACATTTGACAGTATTTTGTTTATTTGAAAGTTTGTTATGACTTGTGTATCGGTGGTAGTTGCAGAGCTACAGATAATGGGCGTATCTGCATAAAATACGCATCAGAAATGCAGAAATATGCAGTAAAATAAAATCCAAGTGTATCAAGTACGCAACGAACATTACAGATACGCTACAAAAATAAAACTTGTGCGTATCATCAAAATATTGTGAACTAACCCTGCGTATTCGATTAGCAAATCAGCAACTTATTTTGAAATTATAAACGGGCATTCCGTCAACCTTGCCCAACTCCACGATGACAGTTACATCATGATCATTTGCCATCACACTTTCTTGTGGAAGTATCGTGGTATTTTTTAGTATAAAGCTCTCGAACCCACACGACACCAGTTTGCAGGGACTAGATGTATAGTGTTTTTAAATATTTAACTTAAATACTCACATGTGTAAAAACTAGTGGGTAACAGAAATTTGAATACCCAGATAGAATTACTGATACCCAATGATTTTAAAATGCATTGGTAAAATACCCACAACACCAAAAACTTATCTGGAGCTCTGTAGTTACGTTATGATCTTATTTCTTGATTTCAGAATGCGTTACGTGGCCGCTTACATGCTAGCCAACCTTGGTGGCAGCAATAACCCATCTGCTGCAGACATTGAAAAAATTCTCGGCAGTGTTGGTATCGAGGCTGAAAAAGACAAGATCACCAAAGTTATCAGTGAGCTGAAGGGGAAGAACATTGACGAGCTCATTGAAGAAGGTAGATAACCTGACACATGTATTCTTTTGATCAGCACAGTTGGGATCCTGGCTTAGAATGGATCCCCAGCAACCTATGCTGGTACATGTCATCGATCTCAATTGCGTGGATCAATGCTCATGATGTCAATCACTGGATTGTCTGGTCCGGACTCGATTATTTACTGACAGCTGTCATATAGCTGGAATTATTGCTGAGTGCTGTGTTAAACAACAAACAAAAGAAAAGAAAGGGACACTTCTTTGAGAGGCATTTAGAAGTTGGGAGTACTAAGTAAGGATAAGATTTATGGATGAACAACTTCTTTATTACAATTAGGTGCGATGTTTCGATGTAGGTTCTGACACCGTTATCAAGCAAGTGACTTTGAGAAACTGTCAGTCATGACCCCAATATCCGACTAGTTTGTCCTGTGAGTAGTTACAAATAAACATGGTAGAACACAGATGCATGTGCATAGAAACAGGGCTCCTTATTATGAAATATGGATGTGTCTTTGAAACAACAAAAAGTATTTGTTGCGTATAATTTCCCCACTGAAGTTCATGAACTGAGTTCACCAGAAACTGAACAGTTAATACAATCTTGTTCCAGGCCAGAAGAAGCTTGCCTCGGTGCCATCAGGTGGTGCTGCTGCTGCCGGAGCTGGTGGCAGTGCCGCGCCTGCAGCTGGTGGTGCTGCTGAAGGTAACCACTTCTTCCTTATATTACTAGTTGGTTTGAATAGGTCTTAAGCAACCCATGCCTGTTGTTAAAGCATCTATGCTTGTTGTAGGTGACGACTAACGGGATCGAATAATTTGACTTGGTTGAGACATATCATATCCTAATTGAGTGGACCAATGCTCATGATATCAATCACTGAATTGTCTTGTCCAGACAAGATAAACAGACCGTCCTATAGCTGGAATATTGCTGAGTGCTGTGTTAAACAACAAACAAAAACAAGTCGGGATAAACTGTTGTCCCCAGTGGTATTACAATATGAAATATCCCAGTATCCCTATCTGTTGATTAGGGCGGTCGGGTAGCCTGGTGGTTAAAGCGTTCGCCCGTCACGCTGAAGACCCGGGTTAGATTCCCTACATAGGTACAATGTTTGAAGCCCATTTCTGTTGTCTCCCACTGTGATATTGCTGGAATATTGCTAAAAGCGGCGTAAAATCAAACTAGCTCACTATCTGTTGATTAATATATTATAAAGTGAGGAGAGATGGGGTTTATCGTCTCATCCAAGATTATTACACTACTGTGTATAGCTGCTTGTAGTCTGCCCCATATACAAGATATTGCTGGTAACTCTAGAAATATTTACAACAACCATTCTGCACGTTCAGAAAAATGTGAAAGATAGACATAAGATGCACATTTTATTCTTGATTCCTCAAGTGTCATTACTGACAAATGTTTGTTTCTCTTTTTCAGCCAAGAAAGAGGAAAAGAAGGAAGAGTCCGAGTCAGAAGACGAGGACATGGGCTTCGGACTTTTCGACTAATTCCTAAATGTATATTTTACTCAAGTAAAAAAAGGAACCACCACTTTTTCTTGTTATTTCCTGCAATAGCATGATGTACAGTAGTCTAGCTGTAAGGGCCAATATGCATCAGCGGACGAAAAACTGCTTCAATCTGTTAATGTTTTATTGAGTTTGATGACATTGTATATCTTCAGCTTCCTTTGGAGTCAATTACTTGTGAATTTAGGTAAAAGTGAAAGTCATACGACAGATTATCCTTTGATTTGCTGTATTGAATTGGAAACAAAAAATGGTGGAAAAAGCCCAGATGAAAGTGATTTTTGAATTTTAGATAGGCTCTGAAATACGTTTAGGACTTTGGCTTTTCATAGAAGTGGTTCTTAGAAGACAAATGGAATTGGAGTCGTTACTAGGCCCTCCAAAAATAAGTCTGGTCATAAGAGCTTGAATCATACTCGTATATATCTCCTACACAGACTCCTAGAAATTGTTGCATCCCGAACTTTCTCAACTATCAGAAACTGTTAGTCAACAGCTGGGGTTGGTAACTTTAGAGACACTGCCAGTTAAAATTTGGCCTCCTTTTACCAGCACTTCAGTGATGTGCTGCCACTGATGGTCAGTACAGAGAAATCTGCCAACCATCTCCACTGCCACATATTCAACAAAGGGAGCACAGGTTGGAATTGGTGCCTAGCAACCTATGGCTCTTCAGGTGGGCAGACTGATATTGGGTGTCTTATATTACCAATCACTGGATTTTCTGGTCCAGTCTTGATTACTTCAAGGCCTCCTCGAATAGCTGGAATGTGAGTGTTAACGTACAGTAGGTGACAAATGTCAACTTGGTGCTAACAATGGCTAAGTATCTTATTGATGGCATTCATGCTGGATAGAACGCCTATTTCCTTGAATGTTGGGACAACCCACACTTCCCCATAAACTACGGAATCTTCAGAGACTTTCGGAAAGAAAAACATTGTCCATAAGCTTAACGCCACATTGCACAACAGCAAGGCAACCAAGGAATGTTTTTGAACTGGCCCAACCTTTGCTGAATTTCACCTTGCACCTGTGCCCCGCTCACTTCAAGATATTAATTTGTACACATTACGTGATATTTGCTTTAACAACTTTTTTCAAGTGGTGGGAATAAAAAATACACATCAGATATTGTTGGCTGGGTACAAGGTAGTCATTGCCGTGTATATTGACACTTAGTAGACTATTCCCGATTGAGTTATTTTGCAATTTAGGGTTCTCATTTTGAGCCAAATGGACTGTTTTTGTGGAGCTGCCGTTGATTGACCTGAACTCAAATCCCACGTTAAGTTGGTTTTGCAGTACATTTAAGTTGTTAACCCCAAACTTTTCCATCTCTATCCCACTACATCTGTCTTTTTAACTGCTTCCTGATGAAGTAATGTTTCTGGTCTTTTAGTTGGCCCTATAAAGACCTGACGATGAGGTTTTTTTCAAATTTCCGTATCTTTGAGATGAGGAAATTTCTATGGCATTAACATTTATTCTTCTGGAGAAAAAGAACCGTCACCAGTATTGGCCTCTCTCCGCTCCCCGTGCGCTGGTGAAATAAGGTTAGAGTTACCTACCCTTGTTTAGACTCGGGTTGGGTGGTGAAAATGACGCCCAGGTGGACAAGAAACATACCTTTTCTTGGCCTTGGTGGTTAATAATTGTACTGACAACCAAACGGCGGTTGATTCAATATTCGCTCCAAAACTTCGTACGCTGCATTTTGTTACAATTAAGGTTATGTCGCCCGTTCACGCATGAGTACTATTTATAGTTTCTTATACTCCCATACTCCGTAGTCCGTACTATTCCAGCTATATGAAGGGGGCCTGCCAATACATTTAAGGCTTAGGGCTTGCCTACTTCGCTCACACGGGACATTATCCGTAATTTGTCATATGTTGTTGTTTATTCTTTATTATTAACTCGCTCATATAATATATCGATTAATTCATTTGCTAGACCGTTTCCGTGGTGTGGTGGACAGAGAGTCTGCCCAGAGAGCGGAAGGACGTTGGTTCCATCTCCAGGCCGCGTCATACCAAAACATTGTACTTGTTGTTACCCTGCCTTGTCCTCGGCATAAAGGGAGTAACAACGACTAGTTGGTTCGGAGTTTATTGTTTGACTATCCAGTGATTGATGTCATGAGCATTGATTCACGCAATTCGGAAACGATGACATGCATCTACCAAGTCCGCGAACTTGACCATCCGTTAGTCGCCTCTTGCGACAAGCATATTCGCCTCTTACAGCAATAATGGGTTGAAGACATATTCTAACTCGGATCGTCACGGTGCCCGGCTCTGAGCGCTATACTGTGTCTATATGAGGTACCATGTTAAACTGTGACATGATATCTCCGTGGGGTAGCACTATTAAACCGACATTAGTCCCTACCAGTACAATCAGCCGCGCACGCATGCACGCACACATGGATGTCGGTATATAAATGCATAATCTTGAACCTGATGTTAAACCCCATTTCACATCACCCAATTTGTCTCGTTCAAACTATTTTTTTCCAGAAGCAGCTATATGTCTGAACTCCTGTCTGCTCCTGACTAGCACGTAAACAAGAATTCATTCTCATGAATTATTAAAGAACCAACACGAAAACCGCTCAACGATTATTTAAATGTGCAGCGAACGTTTGAACACGTCGCTGCATTTTATTTCGTTTTAAAGGTATTGTAACATCCAGACTACATACAAGTTACTACATGTCAACAAGCAAAAACATACCTTGTTGCCTATTATCTGACAGACAAAACGTGTTGCACATTTTGGCAAAGAGCCACGAACATAATATTATGGAAGGGAGATAACTCCACCCGCGCTTGCATAACCGTGAGCAAGCCATCATTGTTGAATTGTGGTGGTGCAATGCTATGCAGTTATAAATACCACAAGTCTCTTATTTCTGCACTGCGCTGAAGGATAGCCGGGTCAGGCGGAGACTGAGCCGAATCGGAGTATAACAAACATTCAGAACAAGGTATGTCCGTAACACGGATCAATATATATAGGCTGCAGGCCCATCGCATCTTATGCTAATGTCGGTCGTTACGGGATTTCTTGTTATACCATAGTTTAACCTTGCAGAGGTCGGTGCCAGTGTTTTATTCGCCTCTGTCACAAGGACACGGAGGTAGTATTTTGTGCTCTTTGAATCACTGGTTGAAGAATAAGGATTGTGCGAACGAATTTGTGAAACCGATCTTGGGGTTTATTTCGTGTATAGGCATGCTTGATAGATCCATTTCATGATTGTTAAGAACGCGAAATAGCACCCGGAATAGGACGCCACCCCCCACACCACACCCCAATCACGTAATGTTGGTGTTAAATAAGTAGATTAATATCATACACCGGTTTGTCATTTTTTTTATATATATGAATAGTTTTTACAGGTGTACACAATATAACTGTACATGTCCCGAGTATGCTTTAGCTGCGCGACTTGTCTGATAAGCCTTAATCGATTGTTCTTTGGACCGCTGCAAGTAACAATATAGCTTTGTGTATGTAACATGGCCTGCTATGTCACGTAATCAATCAGCTATCTCGGGTCCGGGGTACTGACAGTGTAACAATAGGTGAGGTGAAGTGAGGTGGGGTTAACGTCGCGTTCGACGTTATTGCACCTACTTAGCAACGTTCATGCACGTGTCGGCTTTATATTGCTAGCCCACTAAGGTACCGTGCCTCAGATTAACATGGATACTCCTTTCACAGTATACTGACTCCAAGCTGCCCAGTCCTTGTTTTGCCCCCTTAATGCCAGGCAGGGTAACAACAAGTACCATTTTGTATCTTTTGTTGTATGACGCGGTCGGGGATCGAATCCCAGACCTTCCGCTCTCCGGGCAGATGGTCTACCCTCTAGACCATGGATGCGGTCCTGTAAATATTGGTCATGCTTCAACAAAAATATTATCTGAGGGATTATGAGCGATTGTCTTTTGGGCCTTTAGGATGACGTGCAGTTAAAAACCATGTGTCCGTTTCGTATTGGGATCAGGTCACCCTGTGAACAACTCCGGGTTAGAATTGCTCTTCAACACCCCATTTTACCTCATTTGTTCACTTGTTCGTTTCTTAAAGCATCATACACTCAGCAATGACCCGTGAAGATCCGGGTTGGAATATGTCTTCAGCAACCCATGCATGCCGTAAAGACGACTATGCTTGTCGGAAGTGGCGACTAACGGGATCGGGTGGTCAGACTCGCTGACTTGGTTGATGCATGTCATCGTATATCAATTGCTTGAATCGATGCTCATGTTATCAGTTATTTGATTGTCAAGTCCAGACTCAAATATTTACAGACCGCCGCCATATAGCTGGAATATTGATGAGTGCAGCGTTAAACAACAAACAAACAAGCAAGAAAACAAAACACTCAGCAATATTCCAGCTATATGACCGCGGCCTGACAAAGACAATCGAGTCTAGACCAGACTCCGGGCCTCCAGGACCCCCTGTTGGACCCCCCTTTGGTCCCGCCTATGTAAATTACTGGAAATTCACTTTGCGAGTCAGTGTCAATCACAATCGCCAGAAGACAATGTATCATTGCATCGTGAAGACATTAGATGAAGCGTTCCTAAAATACCTACCTCACCCCGAAATTAGCATTTCCACCATACATGAAATGTTTATGTGTAAAGGGAGATAACCAGTACTGATCTACATTTAATTCATTCACACGATGGACCTATAGGATATTTCATGTTCGCTTCCGAAAAAATAATGTCTTTCCAAGGTTTTTGTTTTATTTGCCTGTAAAAGATTGTCAAGATTTGTTCTGATAACATATTTAACATTGTAAATATATGGAAAATCCACATTGACAAAAGAGAGAATATGGTTTAATCAATATTTCTGTAATCACGTGATACCAAGGACAGGCTTCACAATGTATCCATCGTGCACATGTTTATTACTTGGTTGATACATGTCATCGTATCCCAATTGCGTCGATCGATGCTCATGATGACAACCACTGGATTATCTGGTCCAGACTCAATTATTTACAGACCGCCGTCATATAGCTGGAATATTGCTGAGTGCGGCGTTAAACAACAAACAAACAAACAAAACATATTTATTATTTCTATGCATGGAGTCGAACCCGAGTTTCCTTTGACGAGCGACCGCTATAACCACTAGGCTATCGTTAAGCATTGCTTCCATATTCTGTATGTACATGTTGGTATATGTAGTACAAAAAAGAATATATTATCCTAAGTATTACACGTGTATATTCACCTATCGCCAGAAGAGTTAAACATAGCCATCAGGCGAAACTTAGTCATCCAAATAGACAATTTGTTTATTTATTTATTTGTTTATTCAAATAAATTGTTAAAATTTCGGAGATATGGATGTTTTCCACACTATGAGGGACGATATCAGACATATTTGGTCTGTCTTTTTGTGTATGGATTGTTCTAGATACATTGTATAGCTTAATGCACTCACGTAATTCCCCCTTCCCTAATATGATTGTCATATTTGTGAATGATCCTCCCCCAGGTCCTTATAATATTTCTTTCATGACCCTCCCCGAAAAGACAAAATGCAAAAGCACTTTATATTTTATTATAAAATGTCAACTTTTTCATGACCCTCCCAAAACATATAAATTATTTTGTATGACCCTCCTCGAGAGACTGTCATAGTTTTTGGTGACGCCCCCCCCCCCCACCACCGCACACACACACACACACTGTCATAAATGTTTGTTCGTTTGTCTTTGTTTGTTTGTTTGTTGTTTAACGCCACACTCAGCAATATTCCAGCTATATGACGGCAGTCTGTAAATAGTCGAGTCTGGACCAGACAATCCAGTGATTGATATCATGAGCATTGATCCACGGAATTGGGATCGATGACATGCATCAACCAAGTCAGCGAGCCTGACCACCCGATCCCGTTAGTCGCCTCGTACGACAATCATAGTCGCCTTTTACGGCAATCATGGGTTGCTGAAGACCTATTCTACCCCGGATCTTCACGGGTCCTGTCATAAATGACGGATTCCTTATTCATCCACGAATACGATTTGCGTACATATTTTTTCTATAATAACTTGTTGCATTTTCGGAGATATTGTTTTCCTAATTATGAGTGACCATGTCAGACGGATTTTGTCCATCATTTTGTGTATGAATAGTTAAGTTGATGTATGAATAGTCATCGACACTTGAAATATAATCACGAAATACCGCGATGATTTATCAACGAAGATAACTGCGTGTGTGCAAATACTTATAAAGTATAAATAAGTCATTCAAGCGATAAGGAAGTTTTCTTAGAGCAATGACAAAAACGCTTTTCAAGAAAAATCCGTTTTTCAAGCGTTAAACATCATCATTGAAGTTTGATCACGTGGTTACATTCCGAGTACGGATCGGCAGCCAATTAGATACATATAGATACATTTTATAACTATTTTGTTAACTTGGCACACGGCTATGTTGGTAACCACGACGATGTTGCAGGATGCGGTACGTGGCGGCCTACCTGCTGGCGGTCCTGGGAGGGAATGAGAACCCCTCCGCCAGGGACATCAAACAGATCCTCAACAGTGTCGGCGTGGATGCCGAGGAAGACCGACTCGCCCTCGTCATCAGTCAGCTGAAGGGCAAGGACGTCGAGGAGGTCATTGCTCAAGGTCAGTGGCGAAGGGACGGACTTAAACATGCATACTGAATTATTTTTTTCCACAGATTCCTGCAGTTTGGTGAGTGAATGTAAGTGAACACCGCTCTAAATAATATTCCAAGAAAATCATAGCGGTGAATGGGATTCACAAAGTGTACACATACAGTACTTGGGACTCGAATTCAAGCTTCGGATGGAGGGGCGACTAAGGGAGGAAACTCTGCACCGAGAATAAGTTCGTTGCTTTAGACCACTTTCAATTCACAATCTTTCTTCTTTTTTTTTTTTTGATGTTTAACGCCGCACTCAGCAATATTCCAACTATATGACGGCGGTCTATAAAAAATCGGGTCTTTGACCAGACAATCCAGTGATTGACATCATGAGCAATGAACATCGATCCACGCAATTGGAATACGATGACATGCATCAACCAAGTCAGCGAGCGTGACCACCCGATCCCTTTAGTCGTCTCTTACGACAAGCATAGTCGCCTTTTACAGCAAGAATGGCCTATTCTACCAGGTCCAATCAATATTATAGAAGCTCATATGGTGATTCTGTGGAGCAAATGGTCTGATATCAAAACAATTTTGCTCTGAACGATCACAAATTATAACCCAGTGTCTTTTACATTGTGTCTCGTAGGCAATGAGCGCCTGGCTACTGTCGCATTCGGAGCTGGGGCTGGTGTTGCCGTTGACGATGACAACGTCGGCGACGCTGATGAGAAGGAAGAGAAGAAAGGTGAGACACACATCACCCTTGTATATAACCATTGAGAGAGTGCATGAATCGGAGTAAACCCAACTTTGAACAGTATATCAGTTATTGAGGTATCAACAAGAATTGGCACTGCCCGTCCGTCTGTTCGTCACCTTCGTTCCCGGAGCACACCTACTGGACATAATTATGCCAACCTATGGCCTTTTGGTAAATCGGGAAAGTTATTGAAATTTGTATTTTGCCTTTTTCTATGTCTTGTGAGTGAGTTGGGTTTAACGCCGCTTTTAACAGTATTGCAATTATATCGCGGCGTGCCAGCTTAATGTGGGAGTAAAGCCCGCAGTGATGCAGGTCTCAGACGTTCACCACTTCGGCGAAACCCACGAGCACGGGTATGGTGCTGGCTAACCTAGAAACATAATCGGGGCTATCCGGGATTCAAACTCACAATCATAGGTTTCTTGCGTGCCCAAGGGACGCAACTCTGCACAGCGAATCGCGGCGCCTGAGAGGACTGGGCCACCCCTGCCCCCTGTTTCTATGACTGGACTGGTGGTATATTGAATGTAGCATAACGCAAAGACGGTTCAAAATTTCTCCATCAATGTTTTGCACTGATATCAGTCTAGACATGAATTGGCACCTTTAGCTGTTGACATTTGTTTTTCCCGATTTCCATGACAACAAACTGGACATGACTAATATAAAAGGGAAGGCTTTGTTTCGAGAGCCTAACTCAAAACTGTTTAGTATTTACTGGTTCATGGGTGTACAAGTGCCATTTGTCATTCGGGAATTTCGGAAATTACCGTATTCGACAAAATAAGCGCCCTGGGCTCTCTCAAAATTAGAAATAGGGGGCTCTTATAAGAATATTATTTTGGTGAAAAACAACAGAGTTGAAAGATCGTTAATTTTGTGGTTTATGCTGACAGCCTGAAATGTTTATATACGACAGATAGATTTTTCCAGAATTATATTTCCCATAATAAAGGATGCATATAACACACGTATTATACACGAATAAATAAGTCTTGTGTACATTGATCAATCGGAAGGGGTGCTAATTGCAACGGATTGTTCACTAGCCAATATATTAGCACATATCGCCGTTGGCGCTTATTAGAGCAGGGCGCTTATTACGTCGAATACGGTAATTATGTTTTCTGGTTTCCACGACAACAAAATGGATTTAAGTACAAATCAATGAAGGGTTCATTTCCAGGTCATGTATACCCCTTGAACCATTTGTATGTCCACAGGTATCAATTATGTGGTCAACTGGTGATTTTTTACCCTTTTGGATTATTTTCTTTTATATTCTCTTTTACATCGTATCTTTATAGCAAATACTCTGATCTGTAAAGATGCAAATGTTGAATAACAATCAAGTGAGCTACAGTGCATCCAGCTACAGCGATTCCAACAAAGGAAAGGACAATTTGTTGTGGCCCGTGAAGATCCGGGTTAGAATAGGTCTTCAGCAACCCATGCTTGCCGTAAAAGGCTACTATGCTTGTCGTAAGAAGCGACTAACGGGATCGGATGGTCAGGCTCGCTGACGTGGTTGATGCATGTCATCATATCCCAATTGGGTGGATCGATGCTCATGATGTAAATCACTGGATTGTCTGGTCCAGACACTATTATGTACAGACCGCTGTCATACAGCTGGAATATTGCTGAGTGTGTCGTTAAACAATAAACAAACCAAACAAACATAGGTCTAGTTGATTTCATTTGTTTATATTTCAACCTTTCGGGAAAAAAAGACACTTTATTGTGTATTGCAGACTGACAAATCATATTGTAGAACGTCTTTTTCTGTTTTCTTCCCTGCAGAAGATAAGCCTGCAGATGATGACACCGACTCTGACTCTGACGGAGGACTTATCTCCCTTTTCGACTGAACATCACGTGACTTTGTTCCCGAGGGTGGCGCCACGATCTCCAACAGTTCAGAACAGGACAACATGGGGCGATGAGCAGCTTCACCGTGTGCAGCATACATTGTCCGATGTGTGATGTACAGGATTAGGAATATTGAAACTGAATGTGCAAAACCAAAGACAATTTGAATCACAGCATCTGTTGAACAGTTTGATAGAATGTATTAAGTCAATTCAGTGAATCAGTTTTGACAGTTTTAGACTGTTTTGTTGAATCCGTCCTCATGATACATTACTTGTTTTTAAAGAGTACCGCTGTACCGCTGTATGAGGGTGCCCCCCCCCCCTCTGAATCGCGAATACCATCTATTTGTTCACTCTGAGTCTCCTTTGCTCACCCCGAATCCTGAATACTACTAAAACAAATCTCAAAAAACATTGAAAAAAGTCTGATTTTATGTAAACTTACTCGAATTTTGTTTATATATACATGTATGTAAAGGAAATGTTTGCGTCGTCCATTATTGATTTGAAAATGTTGAATACCATATACGATTTAGCATGTCCCGCGTACTATACTGCTGAGTCCCGAATACCCTCTAAGTAGACCCCTGAATCCTGCTACCAGATGGGGGATGGCAGCCTCTTGTGGGGTACTAGTATAGTATGCGAAATGACAATAGTATGGCATTATTTGATATGTTTCAATGCCTCTGCGACGCTAAATTTGTGGTTTTACATGATATATTACACTCCATAGCGTGGTATAACATGAATCACTTTACTTAAAGTAAGGTACAGCAAGATCCACAACACTCAATTTGTGGTTTAACAGGATATATTACACTCCATAGTGTGGTATAACATGAATCACTTTGAAGTAGTTAGAGCAAGATCCATGACACTCAATTTGTGGTTTAACATGATATATTACACTCCATAGCGTGGTATAACATGAATCACTTTACTCAAAGTAAGGTATAGCAAGATAGACGACACGTAATGAGTGTTATAACTTGACACACTCTACTCAAAGTAAGGTATAGCAAGATAGACGATACACAATGAGTGCTATAACTTGACACACTCTACTCAAAGTAAGGTATAGCAAGATACGCGACCCTCAATGATGCTCCAAATTTTGATTTATCGTTTCAGAAAGAACTTTTCATTTCCATGACAATATGTTAACATATCAACAAGCTCAACCTCCCCGTTTACATGTGCATTGTGTCCCTTTGTTTCTGTGTGGTACAATGTGTCGTAGGTGAATGTATTTTTCATTTTTGTAATGGAACATTTCCAGGGCCTTAGTCTGCCTACATAAACACGGAGAGTACAAACCGACAAGTGTCTGTCTGTTGTTTTTCACTTACAGGTAGAGTGAGTGAGTGAGTGAGTGAGTGAGTGAGTGAGTGAGTGAGTGAGCAATATGCCAGCTATATGTCGCGGGACCGTAAATTATCGAATTTGGGCAGACAATCCAGTGACTGACATCATGAGCATCGATCCACACAATTGGGACACGATGACATGCATCAACCAAGTCTGCGAGCCTGACTACCCGATCCCGTTAGTCGCCTCTTACGACAAGCATAGTCGCCTTTTACGGCAAGCATGGGTTGCTGAAGACCTAATCTAACCCGGATGTTCACGGGTCGAGTGAGTGTGTGAGTGTATTACAATATTCTTTAATAGTATTTCTAAACTTATTGTAAGACTACTCGGTGACTCAACGACAACCCAATCAAGGTTGTGCTATTTACAGTAATCATTAATGCCACACAATCTATTTCAAACTTTCCACGAGCCGAAATAACACAAAACTAAAAACTAACATTTTATGTTTTATTTCACACAATTGAGAAGCATAGATATATGGATTATAATAAAAGATGATAGTATGGATGTACATTGGTTGTTTATTTCATGTACTTTTCTTTTCAAAATATAAATTCAACTAAGCAAATGGATGCTCATACAGTACAATCAACAAAACCCTTTCCTTTTGGCGAAATCTTTGAACAACCAAACAATGCTGGCTAGGTTTTTCATTGACAAAAGCTCAAAATAGTTATGATTTCTTAGAACATTCCATGATATCATCAATCTACATCAACAGAAGTGAAAAAGCCACCAAAATGATAAACTAAAGAACAAGTTGATCACTTGTTGAATGTGTATACAAAATGGCACAATAAATATTTAACAGCATATGGGTTATATACCGGAAATGAATCCAACTTTAAATTCCACATGAGTGAGTGAGTGAGTTGGGTTTAACGCCGCTTTTAACAGTATTACAGTTATATCACGGCGTGTCAGCTTAATGTGGGAGGAAACCCCGAAGTGATGCAGGTCTCAGACGATTACCACTTCGGTGAAACCCACGAGCACCGGTATGGTGCTGACTAACCTAGAAACATAATCGGGGCGAACCTGTATTCGAACCCAAAATCAAAGGTTTCTGGCGTTTTACTAGTGTGTACACAAAGCATCAGGGTTTACTCAGGAACTGCCTTTTAGAACAAATGCCGGTGATGATAGTGAATTAAATAATGACTTCTTTAGAAAAGGTTTAAACGTGGATCCAAAATGCCGATGTGAAAGCCGCTGTAAAAATTCATATAATTTTTTCATTGAATGTCCTTTATTTAAATCAGCTAGAAACGAATTGATGCACTCACTATTGTTAATTGTGAAAGATACTTGTGATGTAAATATTGACCTGATGCTAGTTGGCAATGCAATTTTACCTTATTATGTGAACGAAAACATATTTAGGAATGTACATACTCATATAAAGTAAACAAAAAGGTTTGAGTGAGCAATGTGAATATACATAAGTTTCTCTATTTCTTTTCTTTCCTTTCTGTCATTTAATTTATTAATTGTAAATAAGCATGCATGTTAATCTATGGGAGAGGGCGTTCTAAGTGATGATATCTTGTGCCCAATCCTTTTCATGAGAATAAAATATGTTTAAAATGAAACTAAACAAATGCCGGTGAAACCGAAGCAACGAAGAAAAACCTGGAAGAGAGGCATTTGAAACTATATTTAAAAAAAATAATGCACAGCAACGCCGGGTCAAAGACCTTCCAAAACAAAAACAAGCCGACATTATTCAAGGATTCAAGCCCTGTGTGCTGTCTTGAAAAGGCAAACAAACACATCAACACCGCGTGAAAACATCGTGAAATAAACAAAACTTCTATAATCACACTATAAAAATTGATGACCAATCTATAAATCTACTGTAAACGTTAAAACAATTCATGTCAACATTAAGAATAATGTATATGATGATACTACCACACATGTAGAAATAGCGACAAATGTTGTACGGTTCAAGTTTGTATTGCTTCAATCGTCATTAAAGCTTACGTACAATATCTTCAGAAATTATCTCGCAAGAAATATCGCCCTCGTCATTGTAGCCATTTTTTTTATAGAAATTGTGGAATATGTAGCGCCCTAAAAATATACTTAATACTTTTCATAAAGAGTCTGAATGTATACAACACATGTCGATTAATACCAAAAGAAAATTATGAACACATTGGCAGCGCTTGTATTTGTCCAAAATTATCAGAGCCAGATACTTGTGACAGAATAACACCTATATAAATTACGTCGCTACTGAAATGGGAAGCATTACCAAACAACTACAGATCATGTGACACTAACCATGTAAGAATACACAACGCATGCTGTACACTGTGCTGGCCTCATTCATATAGAATATACATAACGATATCAGTTTCACATGCTGCAAGATGGATACTGTGAAACTAACAACGGAGTTACTTCACAAGCAGTCAACACTATGAAAAAAACATTGGTGGAACATTTGTGAACTCCCAAAAGTTGTGTGTTTGTTGTTTAACGCCGCGCTTAGCAATATTCCTGGTATATAATCGAGTGTGGGCCAGACAGACCAGTGGTTGATATTATGAGCAACAATCCACGGCGGCGGGGTACGTGACATGCCATCAACCAAGTCACCGAGCCTGACAACGCGACCCATTTAGTCGCTTCTTACGACCAGCATAGGTTGCTAGAAACCGAATCTAACCTCGAATCCCATAAAAAGACATTAAGTGTTCAACATCAAATAATGAACACACTAATGGGCGCCAACGTACCGCTATTCACTGACAACTGAAACCATGTCAGAAGTTGTGACGTTTCATATTTACTCGTTTCCTGGGCCTACAATGGCCACATCAATGATGAAATGATTGTTCATGTTATTGGTGGCCCAGTTTGTGCATGAACTTACCGGACCCAAGACAGTGATTTGCATGAATGTACTGCTATATGTACAACTTTGTTTACGTGGACACCATTATGGCTTACAAAGTAGACACAATTTATGCATAACACTTTCTTTAATACTGTTAAGGCGACGTTTCAGTATAGATCCTTATACCGTTGTCAAGCAAGGATCTATACCGAATCGTCGCCTTAACAGTATTCAAGAAGTTGTTATTAATAAATTGCGTCTACTTTGTCATCCGTCAACTTCCAAGTAATGCCTACAATTCATTATGGTTTAATGAGGTCACGTCTTCCAGACAGAAGGAGGATGTGGTCATATCGACCAACGGAGGAAGTTTGGCGAAAAGGGGTTCTCGCCCCTGGCATACAATGGTCACATAAATGACGAAGATTTACCACTTTGTCTCTTATATCTCTTGTGGATCAAGCGTTTGATTGCGTCGTGCATGTTTCTTCCTTTCTGTGATGATAAATCACAGGTTAAGTGGGTGTTAGGATAAAATCCACAATACGCTATGACCCAGAGAGGTTTATCAAACGGGAAGGGAGTAACAGATGTGACGAGTTTCTGTTTACTAAGGTCCAGGACATGGACTGTATGTGTTTCCTCTTCAAGAACGAATCCCAAATCCAGGCTGTAAGTTGTACCACTCTCGTTCAGTGTAAGGTTGTCATGGGACAGATATAGTCCGTTGTTGTACACCTTTAGACATATTGCATTATGTTTTGCGCATGTTACAAACAATACACTCAATCCAGTTGTTTGGGTCTTGTTAGCATGAACAGGGCTGCCAGTCAAAGCTGCTTCGAAGATAAAAGTATTGTAATCACATGGTTTTATGACAGAGTATGTGACCTCCATGCCATACATGATGGTCTGTCCTGGCCTGATGACCAGAGGTGTTGATGTCAGGACAGTGGGAGATGCATGTAGTCGGCATCCTGTCCTTGGTGGAAGATGTTCTTGTTTGCCATTGGTGACAAATGGCCCCGAAACCGTCAGACCGTCACTTGCAATACTGGAGTCCCACTCCAGATCCGCACCTGGGGAGAAGACATCGTTCGTATCAGGTGAATGCGTTTCCGTGTATACAAACATCTGTACTAAATGTCATATTAGTGAGTGAATTGGGGTTAACACCGTTTTAACAGTAAACCAGTCATATCACGGCGTGTCAGCTTAATATGGGATGAAAGTGTTATATATATATTGCTATGGTTTCCGTGAAGTTTAAGGATAGTGCTATATAGGTTAAAGTATAACATATCGGTGAATCAGAAAAGTACTAGTGAAATAAAACGAAAGTCTACCTGCCATATTTGGACAATGCTCAAACAATTGAAGGACATTTTGTATCAGATAGACTGACTTCAGCAGGGGTGTGTTAATTACTTTTGAATGTGAAGTCGGAACATACTACAAATTCCGATTCCTAGAAACATATGCTTTGTAGTGAAATGAGTCAGTGAGTGATTTGTGTTTTATTACGCTTTTAACAGTATTCTAATTGTGGGAGGAAAGCCTGATGTGATGCAGGTCTCAGCTGTTTACCACTTTGGTGAAACCCTCGAGCACCGATATGGTGCTGACAGACCTAGGAACACAATCGGGGCGAACCGGGATTCAAACCCACGATGATAGATATGTAGCGTAGTCAAAGGACGCAACTCTGCAAGGGCGTATTAGACGACCGCCAGCTGTTCATTTCGTTTCGCATGCGAGACACTAATCTACCCTTTCCAGATATACTGGTTTCAACAACATGTTTTATCATACTGAAATTGTACATTTCTAAGAGAGATAACTTAAACTGGCACCTGTTTTAAGTTATGATCCAATTTGCTTGCAAAATATATCATGCTATCGCGATATGTCGGTGTGTTCTGTCAGTGTGTGTGTGTGTGTGTGTGTGTGTGTGTGTGTGTGTGTGTGTGTGTGTCTTTTAAAGGAATTATGCTCACGACAAAATAAGGGAACTAATGAAATGATAGTGAAGGTGTAATGACGATCAATGTCAATCTCTGGTGTGTCCACCCCACCCCACTATGTTGGGCGACACATGCACGATACCCGGATGGCGCTGTGGTGATTAACTTGCGTATGGTTGTCTTTGGTATTGCCCGCCATTCCGCTACCGCAAGAGCTACCCCTAGCTGGGCTGGATCATACCAAAAGACGTCAAAAGATTATACTTGTTGTTACCCTGCCTGGCGCTGTGCATTATGGGGCTAAAAGAAGGAATGGTCAGGTCGGATCCCGTAAAGTGCGTCTGAGTGGGGTATTCATGTTAAACTGCGGCCTGGTATCTCATTGGGCTAGAACAATAAAACCGTCCGGAGTAGTACAATCACACACACACACACGCACGCACGCACGCACGCACGCACGCACGCACGCACGCACGCACACGAACACACACACACACACATACACGTCCAAGCATGTCGATAAATAGGTGCAATAATCTTGGACGCGACGTTAAACCCCATCTCACATAACCTTACCTCAGGATTTCAGCAAGGATATGGCAGTTTTCTCTGGAGTAAGCCAACCTGGAAACCAGTAGCTCTAAAATTCCTCGAACTGGCCGTCCCTCTGATGCACCCATGCCAACCACTCAATCTGAGTTACATGGTACGGAAGTGTCCAGTCGGAGTCGGACAAAGCCCACTACTGAGGGGATAGCCCTTCGGGTCCTCCAAAGAGCTCAGATGAATATCCAGCAGCGAATGGTTGGGAGCAGGCCAAACAACATCAGCCAATTCATGGTAACTCTGCCCAGGGGTATGGTAAATGTGTAAACTCATCCACCCAGGAGACCTTTGCATCAAGGTCTCTGTATTTGTCATCAGAAAAAGTGGGGCGGTCGGGTAGCCTAGTGGTTAAAGGTTTCGCTCGTCACGTCGAAGACCCGGGTTCGATTCCCGACATGGGTACAATGTGTGAAGCCCACTTCGTGTGTCCCCCGCCGTGATATTGCTGGAATATTGCTAAAAGTGGCGTAAAATCAAACTCACTCATCAGACAAGGGTCACAGCCTCGTGTCCAGAGGATAACAAGGATAATAAAAGCTCTAGCATTGGGTCTGATGTGGAGAACCTTCTCCTGTCCAGATGGAATCCAGATACTATGATAATACCAACACCATGTCGCTCACATACCCTTGGGGATCAATGGAATGATAATACCAAAGAATTGGAATGTCGAAGATGATGGTCATGCCTCTAATGCCTGTCAGTGCGCTAGTGGGTCTCTGGGGTACAAAGACTATTATGGACGAAGTCTCATGCTCAGTGCTCTAACAAACACAGGTGGATTTTACATATCCTGTCTGCATTTCGGACAATCTTTCCACGGATTTGCCAGAAGATTTTATGGAGCAACAGGTTGGTGCAGAGATTCTGCCAAGGAAGTGCTAATTAAGAAGCTTCCCACTATGTCTCCAACTTAGGTCTGAGGACACTGGGACACGCTATTGATGCACAAGCAGTCTATTGCAGATCAACCATCCAAAGGGACGTGAAGCAGTTGCAGAGTCCTTGAACTGGACTCTCCAAGGGACAGATAACCAATTAGCATACAATGTTATCAAACAGATTTTGCTGGTCAACAGAAGAGAAGAAGACTCAATTTTGTATTAAGGTTCTTTAGGGCTTCAGACTATTGAACTGTTGAAAGAAACTGGTTTTGGAGCTGTAGCTCAATGTATGTGAATATGTTCTCTCCTACTAATGCATGTGCAACAAGATCCATTGTGAGCTGATCTTAACAATGCATGGCGCGAGGCGACTGACCATTTTGTGGGGTGGTAGACGGTTCTTTCATCAATAGTTTGCATAATTTTAGCACTTGCTGACGGGTATTATAAAAAGTAGAAAATAGGCTTCCGGTGTTTTGATTGAAAATGTAAACATCAAGGAGAGGGGAAATCCCCGTGGCGGAATGCCTGATGACGTTATTCGACCCCATGTGCTTATACATTAAACCAGAACCTCGCTGAACCAACCAAATGCAACAAATTTTGAGAAAGAAATACTTGAAAGAACAAAACCATTTGAATATTCTAAAGTGAAACAACAGCTGTGTCACTGTAAAATTAGTTTGTTAATCTGTTACAAACCACCGGGGATGTGGGAGAAAGTACATGCATAAAGTCAGGTAGCAGGGAATGAAGAATCATTTTGTTTTTGACTCAGTCAAAATTTACAAATGAAGAGTCAGTGTATAACAGTCTGATAACGAAAATGACGATTTTATCCAAATTGACCCCGAAAAATCTTGAAAAAAATAATTATGCCCCAGACTGTTGCATTCTTGCTGGGTGTTTTTTCAGAAGAAAAAAGAATCTTGTTTTTCAGCAGTAATTTCCATACGAAATCCCGGATATCTAATGAGGGCTACGTGTGCGACATGTCTATGTGGATAAACAAATTGTTTGTGAGCATACAGAAAAAACATAAAGATGTAGCTGATGGATATGGCTACCTTGGGGATTAATTATCATTATCCGAATGATCAAATATTTAATGTAACAACTTTGAAGTCAGTCTAATTTACAAAACACGTTCATTAGTGCTGTACTTGTGCATTATTTGTATATCCGTGTCGATGTCAAACTCATTTCAGGTCATACAGGCGATGTGTAGTGCATCTATAAGAGAATCAGTGATCAACAGAAAGTGCTAGTTTCTGATATCCTGGCTGCAAAAACAGAGGTAACTGTGACTCTAACCCTACTGGAAACTGTTACGATTATGCGTGGGACACCAAATACATATTTACATACTGTTTCATTTGGCAATCGACACCTAAAAATAGTGATTCATGAACACATGCTTGTGATATTGCCGGAATCGCATAAGAGACATGCTTTTAGCAGAGGTTTCTTATGAAGATGGAAATGGCCTAGTCGTTTTTATTTACAACTTCAGTGTACCATGACTTTTTGAAGACACCACTCAATCTTGTAAAATTGTGACAGCTTTAAGAAAGAAACATTAAACATCTTTATACAGAATCATTTGGCATCACAGTAACAATTCAATTAACTTAAATTAATGAGGAGAGAACTCACATGCGAGCGATCCTTTTACTCCCAACGGCTGCCCGGTCATATATGCAGCTGTGGACACAAATGTGTTAAGATGACCTCAGTATCAATAGACATGACGTACCATTATTACCATGTGATTTTTTCACAGTTAATTTTGGGACAGTTTATAACTGTCAGATGTCTGCACAGTTTCGATACAAAAAGCACAAAAGTATCAAAATAGAGGAAGTGTCTTTAAGAAAATACTTGAATTAAAAATAATAACAGACTGATTACCTTCTGGCACATACTCGTGTTCAATAGTCATTGCATCATTGAAGGATTTATTTCCATTTGGATTCTCTATTGGTGAAAAGACAACTGATTTGACGAGACCGGCCATCTTCAACAAGGGGGTAATTTTACTGAAGCAAGTTGAAGCAAAGCTGACACCAGCTCTTCCAAGTGACGCCTTTGGTGACATCTGCAACATGGCGCTCAAGGTGGCAGCTGAAGACCCCATCATTTGTAGATCCTCTATCTTGTCAGCTTTACTCCGCATCTGTCGTGTGTACTCGGTAGATGATGTCACTTTTGCCAGAATATTACTGGTGGAATCCAGTCCCTCCTGTGTCAGCTTCAGAATCTTCCTGGATCGCTCTTCAACATCTGACAACAGAATACCTCTCCTCTGCTGTATTTCATCAATCAATTCGTCAAAGGCTTTGTTGATGTCAACCACCGCAGCCTGTTTTGACACCTGTATGTTTGAATGTCTGTCCTGGAGACCTTGTTTTATTTCCTCAAGTCCCTCTGCCTTCTCCCTCAGCTTGACTAAGGTATCGTCAATGGACTTTGCCTTTTCTTTGTGTGCTTCATCCACGGACACGACGTTGTGCCCCTTCCCTTCTTTGTGTTCTACTACAGTGCAGGACACACAGACGATCTTTTCACAAGTGTAGCAGTAGAACTGTAGGGGTTGGTGATGTTGTGCACACTTATGGAGACGATTGAAACTTTTACCTGGTTGTTCTTTCATTTCCTTAAAACTGACAGTTTGGTGATCTCGCATCGGTTGAACTCTTTTGTGGGCATTTAGACATTCTTGGCACAGGAAGACGCCACAGTCATCACATCTGGACATGGCAGGGTTACCATCAGGACAATCTGTACATGGCAGATGGAGCCCTTTCACAATCTTCAGATGATCCAGGATTCTTAGGATAATAGGCTCTTTGGGCAGAGACTTCACACCGCCCGGCAGGTTATGTTGGTGTCGACACATGGGACATGATAACGTTGGGAGTCCTTGGCTGTACGTCTCTAGACAAGCCTGACATATTGACTGTACACAGCAGGGCATACGACGAGGTATTCGTCTGACCTCATCAAAGTGTTCTGTACATATTGGGCACTCGGTGAGAAGATCCTTGATGGCGGACGCCGATACATAGTCCGACATGGTTATCTGGAAATAAATTTAAAACATCTGAAGCATTTTCGGATTCCATGTGTAATCGTCTGTGTGTCTCGACACAATTGGTACAAAGTCGTATGAGACACATCCATACTTGCATTGTATGTACACCACTCAAAACTGCAAGAAGCATTAAATAATGAGCTCGTTGTTTCATTGATTTTAAATGTTGCTTATTACCACAACTCTCCTAATGCATAATAGACTATAATATGCTATTGATTTAGGATTTATTTTCATATTATAAAATATAAGCTAGCTACACGATAAATCGCAAAGAACAATTAGAATGAAGCGTGGTTTATTTCACGATAAAATATTGTTCTACCATGACGTCATTTCTGGAGATTCAAACATGCGCTCTTAATGAGGTCCTAAATTCGACGACGATATTTATTAATGGGAAGTGTAGCAGATAACGCAATGGCCGAACGATCGCATCAAAACGTGGGAGAGATATGACAATCGGTATTTGGAGAAAAGGTACAGATAAAAGACGTGAAAATTGTGAAAATATCCCCTGTTAATAAAATAGACTTGTCCGACATTGCCGATTTCGGAGTGTATTCAGGGAGTCATCATTATTTACATAAGGGTAAACCAATTGAGCGCATGTACATTGTATTAAGATCCTTAAAGAGACTGTGCAAAAATGTTTGTATCTCATGTAAGAAATTAACGACTCTTGGTCGTTGTTTATTGCACAGAAAAACACTGTGTCCCTTGTGGTTTATTCTCCCTGCAGTGTTTTCAGACAGAGAGAGAGCAACTCGCTCTTTTGATATGGCGAATTGAGACATTGTCTGTTGATTAACGCCGCACACAAAGTCGGTTTTAAAGGATGTAATGCACATCATCATATGTTCATTTTATTGGTTTATTTTATAGAAACCTAGCTCATTATATGTAACGATTTCCTTTTTAACCTTCAGTAACCTTGACCTCTGATCAACGTCAAACAAAGCCTATTTAACAAGACCCTTGTCCATGAAATCATGTATGTCCAGGAGTATCCTGGTATATATAGAGGTTATCACGCGAGTGTGTTTGGGGATGGTAAATATCCTGCATTAGGAATAAATATTATATTTAGCGAGCCTTAGCGAGCTAAATACATAGTGTTTATTCCTAATATAGGATATTTACCATCCCCAAACACACAAGCGTGATAACCTCTTTATCATATAATGTCATTCTTTAATTCTGTGCTTCAAAATCGCTTCCCTCTCTTACAAACATTACCGAAACTTTGCGAGTTTTCCTGGAATGCGCGCATTAATATTTATTACGTCACAGGGTAAGTGATGCGTCAGTCGGACAGTGACAGTAGCCAATATAGTTCCAAGTGAAATCTCTTTCTTATACAGTGGCGAAGCAACATATACGCAAAACAACAATTGTTTTTGATTGCCTTTCGCGGCAATCCATCGGTCTGTCCGCTAGAGTAACTGCCCTTAGTCAAAGGGAAGCTACTCTCACCCTGGTCTATGAGACGTCACGGCCACGGTCAGATGTTGTTGATAGTCGGTCAGTCCTGTCACAATCTCATTAAAATCAGATCTTAGTTCTCGCTACCGCTTAGCGATAACTAAGATCTGATTTTAATGAGATTGGTCCTGTCATAACGTGAAGAAGTGTAGTCAGATGTACACACAACGAGAAAACGAAACAAGGTAACAATTCAAACATATTTCGGCCAAATCCAACTATTTTAATTTGTGGAGGAGGTTTCAAGCCGCAGAGGTCTACAAGCACAGATATGGCTACTGATCCCGCTTGGCTAGGCCTCGTGCCCTCGCAAAATTGTTTCCAAATTATATCTCCAAAGTTGCCGAAACTTATAAAATGCCTTAGCTACGTCACAGTTAGACACTGATTTTCAGTATATTAGACTGTTCTTTTGATAATGACAGCAATTATCCCTGTAGTTTATCCAGATTCCCGATGGCGACGCCATGTTTGTTTATAAACAGTGAAAGTAGTCCCTACTTGACCTTTGATATTTGCATATCTATCCGCATATGACCCCAACGGATATCGTTTTTATCCGTTTGCTTTATCCTGCCGAGAAACCTACCCATTATATGATAAAATGTTCTTCTGGTCATAAACTTCTGTCATGGGGACCTTGACTTAATAGTCGGCCAGTCATATGCCATAAAGATCACTTACACACACACACACACACACACACACACACACACACACACACACACACACACACACACACACACACACACACACACACACACACACATTTTATTTCAGGTATGCGAATTCTACAGGTAAGCATGTATTACTATGAAGTGCACACATTTAGATTGAAATATTCAACTGATTAGAGTACCTACGTTCTGACATCTGCAATGGCCATAGTCATTCCAAATCATGACTGGGCTATACTCATTATTAAACCAATCTACTTGTTAATAATATAAATGCAAGTCATTCCAAGTTAGGATGGAGCCCTTTTCATTATCAAATTGCATGGTGAGTGTACTATTCCAGGTTTGTCCACATGAAGTATCCATTTAAAGATTTTATGGTTCACATTCTTCCTGCGTTCTGTGTAGCATCCAGAGAAAATGTAATTCTGAGCGTCTGTCGCCCAATACATGAATACTTCACACTAAGGTAAAAACATCCCTGAGAAGCACTAAAACCAGAATCCCTAAACAATTATATACACAGGACGACCTAGCGGTCACCGATTCACTACACCCATTACTCCCGCAGACAGGGAGCCTTACACCCGTAGATCCCGGAGAGATAGGATTCCATCCCTGTCAACAATGGTAGTCAGATCGAACTACAGTCAGCTTGCCCAACCCGAGAGCTAAGAAAGGCTCTTGCTTGAAACACAGTGAGCCTGTTAGCCTGCACCGGGACTCCATGCAACCGAGGACAATTCACTACATGTAGCTACATGCATTGCGGAAAGCTGTCAGATGTCACGGCATAGACATAGTCATATGCATGTATTGAAAGTAGGTCACTCTGCACTGGCTACAATATCAAACATTTTCAAGGATCAATAAATGTCGGATCGAAATAGATGTGTGGTCCCAACATGCCTTTGTGGCCCGTTTGCTTTCTGATGGCAAGTTAAGGGCTCAGGACAAGGAAGTAGTTATTCCCTTGTCGTTATAGTCATGAGGCAGGTAGCAGGCCTGTGACGTGTCTATTTTCGTTTTTATACAGATGTATATCACATTTGAATTCATGTTGTAGTGAATATAATTTGCACATCTCTTTTATTAAGTATCGTATAAATGTACACTAAAACCAGTTTGTTCCGTTTTACCTCCGTTTGTTTAATTATTATTTGGAAGAAGTTGTTGTAAGGAATAGAGTAACAATTTATTGTACAAAAGCACCTGTGGGACAGACTACAATTTTTATCTACAATAAAATGGCAATACATATGATATAAACTAGCATGCACACAGATTTACATCATACGTTCAAACGTATGCCCAAAATGAATTGATAGCTGGCAGTGATGAAAATGAATACTTTGTTTTGTTAAATTTAAATTCCATAACTTCACACATTTTGTGTCAAAAGTGAAAAAGAATAGGTTAGTTGATGGCGCTCAGTAAACAATTAATTTGTTGCCAACAGTCAGGACAATGATTTATTCTTAAAAAAACAACCCCTCCCACAAATACAGAGCAAATGGAAGCACCCCTAGGATGGTTACTCACAATAGAGTCGGATCGAGGATTGCGAAACGGGAAAGGAAAAAACCACAAGGCTTACAAGGCTTACTGCATGGCTAACTGCGTGACCCAAATACTTACCGATCGACATGAACTTCAACCAATCTTTAAATACAAACTGTCGCACTACAGTCGTCACACTTTTGTCTTTAGACTCGTTGACGTATAGTGGACTATTCAATTAGCTCGTCATATCATGTCAATATGATCTAATATCCACATAATCACCTCAAATATCCTGCTGTATGGTTGGACTTCCTGGATCAATAATACTGTTGTGTACCCTGCGATGCCCTCGTGTATACATATTGTTTGACAACCATATATCTTACCTGTAGTGTACCTATACAGTGTTATTACCTGATGTACATACATGTCGGTGTACCGGACACTGGATGAGGTCAGTGAAATTACTTACCTGTCGATGTTTGGTAAAAGTCACAGTTTTCACACCTAGCCGAGAAACTTACATAGAAACCTGTTGACGCTTTTATAGGCATGCGCAGCATCTATTTTCGATTTGAACTGACCTACACTACTTTGTACTTTGGCCTTGGAAATGGTGTCCTTGAAGGGACAAGCAAGATCCAACTAACTCACTCAGACAATCGACGAGGTTTAACCCACAGTCGTAGCTACCTTAGGGGGTATGTATGCTCATTTGTAACTGTGAATGGGTTCAATACCTGTACTCATTCATCTATAATTATAGATCACGCTTAGTTAAAGTATTTTGAAAATAAGTACTAGTCATTAATAGAAGTACGAAAATGCCACACCGGTCACGCTAAGGATACAGGTTCGATTCCGAGGCTGGGTTCGCTGCAGGTCGTGGCTATGTACTACTTTTTGACTGTCTGACATCAACGTGTCACTGTATTAGCTGCATGAAGTTAAAAAGCGGAGCGTCGTAAGCTGACTTGGTTGATGCATGCATCGTATCTCAGTTGCGTGGATCGATGCTCATGATGTCAATCATTTGATTGCCTAGTCAAGTCTCGATTATTTACAGACCGCCGTCATATAGCTGGAATATTGCTGAGTGCGGATGGAAATGGAAATTAAATAATAAAGCGTCAGTATATAGGTTGTTAAACAAGAAACAAATAGAAATTAAAAAATATAGCGTGGGTATACACGCTGTGAAGCCTGTGCATACTGCCCGGAAGGAAAACTGATTGAATAGACCGCAGTCATGACTATTCCAGCTACATAACGAGTATGTCAGTTGATAATCTAATCTGGACCAGTCAGGCCAGTGATTTGCAGCATGAGCAACGGTCGGGACACGATAACTCACAATCTGCCCAGTCAAACATCACAACCTTCCGATCCTCAGTTTAGTCGGCTGTATGACTCGTAATGGAAGCTGGGAGTGTTTGACTATATACGTCCCTATGGTTTCACATATACCGGAGATTCACGAACACATGTTTCCGTAGTCTGGGTCATTCGTCGCCACTCGTCCCTTTCCGTAACCTGAAGATCGCTATTCGGCTTGTCCCGGAATAACACGACTTGGTCACGGATGTAGTCTGGGTCTGTCATACCGGAAACCATTCGGGACAAATTCTGTTGAGAACGTCCACATATCTACTCCTTGAAATACGTAGTCACCACCCATGCTGTAGTATCACGTGCACGTAACGTGGCGACCGATTCAGGACGACATCCTTGGTCTGAATGAACATGACATTACATTACCATGTATCCATAACATTGATTATGACTCTGAATCACTTAATTGCCATTAGTTAATAGATATCCTGAACAAGCAGTGCATCTACAGTAAACTACGGTTATAACGAACCTAAAAAGGCCACGTAATTTAGTTCGTAATAACCGTAGTTCGTTAAAGGCACATATACAGCATATATACAGCAAATGGACAGGGTAAAAAACCAGTTCGTTATATCCGTCAGTTCGTTATAAGTGTGTTCGTTATAAACGTAGTTTACTGTATATCAATCCTCATTAATTACTGTTGTTTTAATATATGACTTAACCCCTGTCAGTGACCTTGGCCATATAAGCCTTGGTCCAGGTTGAGTTTGGAGATCCAGAAAGACACAAAGGATTTTCCCATGCTTAGTCTAGCTAGGTACAGAAAAACATTAGGAGGGTCGAGCTATTGACGCGGACTAGTTTCACGGTGATGAAATCAACTCTTCCTATATTAAACACCAAAACTCATATCAGCCTCGTCATAAAAGTAACACCTGTTATTATCCCTTGCCACGAAGAGGATACTGGATGGGTACTGTCCGTCCTTCCTTCCGTCACCCTTTGTTCCCGGGGCACATCCACGGGGCATAATAATGCTAACCATTGGTCTTTTTGGTATTTAGGGGAAATATATTGAAATTTGGTTTCCATGACGAGATGGTCAAAAGGTTGAATAGTATTTAATGGAGCATAACGCAAAGACTGTTTAATATTTCTTGATCATGTTTTCCACTGAGATCAATCTACACATGAACTGGTGTCTTTAGCTGTAAAGCAATTTAATGTTTTCTCCGATTTCCATGACAACAGATTGGACTTATGCACTCATTATTTATTGGATCATGGATGTATTGGTGCCATTTGTAAGACAGCAAGTTTGGAAATTTGTATTATTTCTGGTTTCAATGAAAGTAAATTAACTACAAAGTAATCAAGGGTTCATTCAGTTCATATGTGACTATACAACCGTTTGTAATTCCACACTTATCAATTAAGTGGTGAACGGGTCTATTTTTGCTTTATATATTTTATATTTTCTTTCACATATCTGTAATGTATGATCTGTAATGTTGCAAATGTTGTATGACAATCAAGTGAGCTACAGTGCCTCGCCGCGACGGCGATTCCAACAAAGGAAAGAACAATTTGATGTGGCCTTTCGGGATAGCAAATAGGTCTAGTTGATTGCATTTCAATCTCATTAAAATCATATCTTAGTTCTTGCTATCGCTAAACAAAGATCTGAAGACATCCCATTACGGGTCATGTCAGAACGCCCATTCATCCGAACAATCAGAGCGTCGCTTACCAGATCATGAAACATTCGTCCCCACTCGCCCCTTTCCTAACCTGCAAGAAGACTCGTCCCCCTATCGATTAATGTTATGTGCGAAAATACGACAAACCAATCAGAATGCGCGTGTGATTTGAAGTTCTTCATCAAAGAATCCCTCGGAATTTTTATTTTTATTTTATATATGTCCTGCATCAAAAAATATACCCAAGGCACAGTTATTATTCCGCACTTCCCGATGTACTTTAAATTGCATCTGAAATATATATAATATATGGGGAAATATGTGTGAACCATTACGAAACGAGTTGACAATTGTTTTAGGTATGCCCGTTTGCGCTAAGACGGAACCCGGTCGCAAAAATGGCCATGAGAGAGGCACGAGTCACTATTCGGCTTGTCCCGGAATAACACGAGTTGGTCATGAATGATCATGAAAGTGACAGTCGGAATGTGTTTTCTGATCATGCAACCTCGAAAACGTTAACACAGGGTATTCCGAATGACAGTTACGGCCCGTACGACTGATTCTGTCAAAATTATCATCTATCTCTCGCTTCCGTGGGATAAACATTTGAACGGAGGAGGCGTTGCACAGTACGTGGGAAACACTGCCATACAATCTCAACCATATATTAGACATTCCGGAATGTTCGTTTGTTCAGTTTTCAAAATTTTAATCGAGAACTGTGTCAACATATTATTCAAGCGTAGTCACAAAAAGGAAAGTCGCCAGGTTGAAACGAGTGCCGTAAAGATAGAGAAAGCTGCTTTCTAATTTGCTGATGTCGACTTCTTGTTTGTCACTTCAGTTATCGGTCAAAGATCACGAAAGGTCGTTCTGACGTGACCCGTAATTGGATGTCCTCAGATCTTTGTTTAGCGGCAGAGAGAACCCAGATCTGATTTTAATGAGACTGATTGCATATGTTAATAGGCGTTTGTCGTATTTCAACCCTTCGGGAAAAAAACCCATTGGGTATTTCAAAGTGACAAATAAAATTGTAGAACGTCTTTGTCTGTTTTCTTCCCCAAAGAAGATAAGCCCACAGACTCTCCCTTTTCGACTGAACATCACGTGGCTGTGTTCCCGAGGGTGGCGCCACGATCTCCAACAGTTCAGAACAGGACAACATGGGGCAATGAGCAGCTTCACCGTGTGCAGCATACATTGTCCGATGTGTGATGTACAGGATTAGGAATATTGAAACTGAATGTGCAAAAACAAAGACAATTTGAATAACAGCAAAGTTATTGTCGAATCTCTTCGCATCTGTTGAACAGTTTGATAGAATGTATTTATTCCATTCAGTGAATCAGTTTTGACAGTTTTAGACTGTTTTGTTGAATCCGTCCTCATGATACATAACTTGTTTGTAAAAAGTACCGTTGTTTGAGGGTGCCAACCCCCTCCTCCCCTTTATCCCCAATGCCATCTATTTTTCACTCGAGTCTCAATTGCTCACCCCGAATGCTAAATACTCATAAAACAAATTTCAGAAACATTGAGAAAAGTCCGATTTCATGTAAACCTACTCGAAAAATACCCCCCTCAATTTTTTTTATATATACGTGTATGTAAAGGAAATGTTTGCGTCGTCCATTATTGATTTAAAAATGTTCAATATGCGTACCAAATACGTAACACATCCCGCGTACTACACTGCTGAGTCCCGAATATCTTCTAAATAGACCCCTGAATCCTGCTTACAGAAGGGGGGTGGCAGCCTATTGTATGGTGTATTATGCGAAATGTCAGTCAATAGTATGGTATAAGATGTGTTAAATCTCTCTGTGGTATGATATGATAGGTGATACTCATCGTGCAGTACATGCTATATTACCCTCCATATTGTGTAATAACACGATAAACGCTGCTCAAAGTAAGGTATATGGATAGACGACACGTAATGGGTGCTAAAACTTGACACACTCTTCTCAAAGTAAGGTGTAGCAAGACAGACGACACGCAATGGGTCCTATAACTTGACACACTCTTCTCAAAGTAAGGTATCGGAAGATACGCGACGCTGAATTTGTGGTTTAACATGATTGCACTCCATGGTGTGGTATAACATGACGCACTCTACTCAAAGTAAGGTATAGCAAAATGCACGACACGCAATGATGCCCCAAATCTTGATTTATCGTTTCAGAAAGAACTTTTCATTTCCATGACAATATGTTAACATTTCAACAAGCTCAACCTCCCCGTTTACATGTGCATTATGCCCCTTTGTTTCTGTGTGGTGCAATGTGTCGTAGGTGAAAGTATTTTTCATTTTTGTAATGCAACATTTCCAGGGCCCAAGTTTACCTGATTAACACGGAGAGTACAAAACGATAAGTGTCTGTTGTTTTTCACTTATAGGTAGAATGGATGAGCGTGTGAGTGAGTGAGTGAGTGAGTGAGTGAGTGAGTGAGTGAGTGAGTGATTGAGCACTCAGCAATATTCCAGCTATATGTCGCGGGTCTTTAAATTATCGAATCTGGACAGACAATCCAGTGACTGACATCATGAGCATCGATCAACGCAGTTGGGACACGATGACATGCATCAACCAAGTCACCGAGCCTGACCATCCGATCCCATTAGTCACCTCTTACCACAAGCATAGTCGCCTTTCACCCCGGATCTTCACGTGTCGAGTGAGTGCATTACAATATTCTTTAATAGTATTTCAAAACTTATTGTAAGACTACTCACTGACTCAACGACAATGCAATCAAGGTTGTGCTATTTACAGTAAGCATTAATATCAAACAACCTATTTCAAACTTTCCACGAGCCGAAATAACACAAAACTAAAAACCAACATTTTATATTTTATTTCACACAATTAATTAGCATAGATATATTGACTATAATAAAAGATGATAGTATGGATGTACATTGGTTGTTTATTTCATGTTCTTTTCTTTTCAAAATATAAATTCAACTAAACAAATAGATGCTCATACAATACAATCAACAAAATCCTTTCCTTTTGGCGAAATCTTTTAACAACCAAACTATACTAGCTAGGTGTTTCATTGACAAAAGCTCAACATAGTTATGATTTCTTTGAACATTCCATGATATCATCTATCTACATCCGCAGAAGTGAAAAAAAGCAACCAAAATAATAAACCTCAGAACAAGTTGATCACTTGTTGAATGTGCATATAAAATGGCACAATAAATATTTAACAGCCTATGGGTTATATACCGGAAAAAAATCAAACCTTCAGTTCCACATGAGTCCGATTTGCTACCATGGAAACGCAAAACATTGTGAACTTATAAAAGTCCTGCATGGAAAATTGCACTTTTAGCATTTTACCAGTGTGTATACAAAGCATCAGGGTTTACCCTGGAACTGCCTTTTAGAACAAATGCCGGTGATGACAGTGAATTGAAAAATGTCTTATTCAGAAAAGGTTTAAACGAGGATCCAAAATGCCGATGTGGCAGCCCCTGTGGAAATTCATATACTTTTTTCATTGAATGTCCTTTATTTAAATCAGATAGAAACGAATTGATGCACTCACTATTGTTTTTTGTGAAAGATGCTTGTGATGTAAATATTGACCTGATGCTAGTTGGCAATGCAATTTTACCTTATTATGTGAACGAAAACATATTTAGGAATGTACATACACATATAAAGTAAACAAAAAGGTTTGAGTTAGCAATGTGATTATACATACGTTTCTCTATAAATAAGCATGCATGTAAATCTATGGGAGAGGGCGTTCTAAGTTATGATATCTTGTGCCCAATCCTTTTCATGAGAATAAAATATGTTTAAAATTAAACTAAACAAATGCGGGTGAAACGGAAGCAACAAAGAAAAACCTGGAAGAGAGGCATTTAAAACTATATTTTAAAAAAAAGATGCACAGCAACGCCGGGTCAAAGACCTTCCAAAATAAAACAAAAACAAGCCGACATTTCTTCGAGGATTCAAGCCCTGTGTGCTGTCTTGAAAAGGCAAACAAACACATCAACACCACGTCAAAACACCGTGAAGTAAACATAACCGACAAAACTTCTATAATCACATTATTCAAATTGATGTCCAATCTATAAATCTACTGTAAACGTTAAAACAATTCATGTCAACATTAAGAATAATACATATGATGATACTACCACACATGTAGAAATAGCGATAAATGTTGTAGGGTTCAAGTTTGTATTGCTTCAATCGCCATTAAAGCTTACGTACAATATCTTCAGAAATTATCTCGCAAGAAATATCGCCCTCGTCATTGTAGCCATTTTTTTTAATAGAAATTGTGGAATATGTAGCGCCCTAAAAATATACTTAATACTTTTCATAAAGAGTCTGAATGTATACAACACATGTCGATTAATACCAAAGGAAAACTTTGAACACATTGGCCGCGCTTGTATTTGTCCAAAATTATCATAGCCAGATACTTGTGACAGAATAACACCTATATAAATTACGTCGCTAATGAAACGGGAAGCATTACCAAACAACTACAGATCATGTGACACTAACCATGTAAGAATACGCAACGCATGCTGTACACTGTGCTGGCCTCATTCATATAGAATATACATAACGATATCAGTTTCACCTGCTGCAAGATGGATACTGTGAAACTAACAACGGAGTTACTTCACAAGCAGTCAACACTATGAAGAAAACAACATGGGTTGAACATTTGTGAACTCCCAAAAGTTGTGTGTTAGTTGTTTAACGCCGCACTCAGCAATATTCCTGGTATATAATCGAGTGTGGACCAGACAGACCAGTGGTTGATATTATGAGCAACATTCCACGGCGTCGGGTTACGTGACATGCCATCAACCAAGTCACCGAGCCTGACAACCCGACCCATTAAGTCGCTTCTTACGACCAGCATAGGTTGCTAGAAACCGAATCTAACCTGGAATCCCATAAAAAGACAATAAGTGTTCAACATCAAATATGAACACACAAAGGCGCTAACGTACCGCTATTCACTGGCAACTGAAACCATGTCAGAAGTTGTGACGTTTCATATTTACTCGTTTCCTGGGCCTATAATGGCCACATCAATGATGAAATGATTGATCATTTTCTTGTTGTCCAAGTTTGTGCATGAACTTACCGGACTCAAGACAGTGATTTTAATGAATGTACAGCTATATATACAACCTTGCTTACGTGGACACCATTATGGCTTACAAAGTAGACATAAATTATGGATAACACTTTCTTTAATACTGTAAAGGTATAAATCCTTATACCGTTGTCAAGCAAGGAACTATACCGAAACGTCGCCTTTACAGTATTAAAGAAGTTGTTATTCATAAATTGTGTCTACTTTGTCATCCGTCAACTTCTAAGTACATGTAATGCCTATCTAACAATTCATTATGGTTTTATTGGCATACAATGGTCACATTAAAGACGAAGTGTTATTTCTCTGTCTGCATTATCAGCTTGGCATCGTCAATCAGCTCGTTTTCCAGTTACTCGTGGATCAAGCGTTCGATTTCGTCATGCATGTTTCTTCCTTTCTGTGATGATAATTTACAGGTTAAGTGGGTGTTAGGATGAGATCCAAAATTAATCATGACCCAGAGAGGTTTATCAAACGGGAAGGGAGTTACAGATGTGACGAGTTTCTGTTGACTAAGGTCCAGGACATGGACCTTATGTGTTTCCTCTTCAAGAACGAATCCCAAATCCAGGCTGTAAGTTGTACTACTCTCGTTCAGTGTAAGGTTGTCATCGGACAGATATAGTCCGTTGTAGTACACCTTTAGACATATTCCATTGTCAGCTGCGCATGTTACAAACAATACACTCAACCCAGTTGTCTGCAGCTTGTAAGCATCAAAAGGGCTGTCAGTCAAAGTTGCTTCGAAGATAATTTTATTGTTATCCGCTGGTGTTATGACAGAGTATGTGACCTCCATGCCGTACATGATGGTCTGTCCTGGCCTGATGACCAGAGGTGTTGATGTCAGGACAGTGCGAGGTGAAAGTTGTCGGCATCCTGTCCTTGGTGGAAGATGTTCTTGTTTGCCATTGGTGACAACTGGCCGCGAAACCGTCAGATCGTCACTTGCAATACTGGAGTCCCATTCCAGATCCGCATCTGGGGAGAAGACACATCGTCCGTATTAGGTGAATGCGTTTCCGTGTATACAAACAACTAAACTAAATGTTATATTCGTGTGTGAATTTGGTTTAACACTGTTTTAACAGTAGAACAGTCATATCACGGCATGTCAGCTTAATGTGGGATTGAAGTGTAATATATATATTGCTATGTTTTTCGTGAATAATAAGGATAAAACTATATGGGTTAAAGTATACCATGTCAGTAAATCAAAAATATTAGTTTAATAAAACGAAAGTCTACCTGCCATATTTGGACAACATTTAGTATCAAATAGACTGACTTCAGCAGGGGTGTAGTAATTAGTTTTGAATGTGAAGTCGGAACATACGACAAATTCCGATTACTAGAAACGTTGTAATGTAATGAGTCATTGAGTGATTTGGGTTTTATTAGGCTTTTAACAGTATTCGGGCGGTCGGGTAGCCTAATGGTTAAAGCGTTTGCTCGTCACGCCGAAGACCCGGGTTCGATTCCCGACATGGGTAAAATATGTGAAGCCCATTTCTGGTGTCCCCCGCCGTGATATTGCTGGAATATTGCTAAAAGTGGCGTAAAACCATACTCATTCATTCATTTAACAGTATTCTAGTTGTTGGAGGAAAGCCCGAAGGGATGTAGGTCTCAGGGATGTATGTAGCGTACACAAGGGACGCAACTCTGCAAAGGCGTCTTAGACGACCGCCAGCTGTTCATTTCGTTTCGCATGCGAGACACTTTTCTACCCTTTCAAGATATACTGGTTTCAACAACATGTTTTATCATATGGAAATTGTACATTTCTAAGTGCGATTTCTAAGGAAATATTCTACCGACATAAAATAAGGGAACTGATGAAATGATAGTGAAGGTGTAATGACGATAAATGTAATGTATATCAATCTCTGTTGTGCCCATGTCGGGCGACCTATACACGATGACCCGCCATTCTGCTACCACAAGAGCTACCCCTAGCTGGGCAGCATCATACCAAAATACGTTAAAAGATGGTACTTGTTGTTATCCTGTCTGGCGCTGTGCATTATTGAGCTAAAGCAAGGAGATGTCAGCTCGGATCCGGTATACTGCGTCTGAGTTGGGTATTCATGTTAAACTGCAGCATGGTATCTCAGTGGGCTAGAACAATAAAACTGGCTGGAGTTGTACAATCAACCACACACACACACGTGCATGTATGTCGATAAATGGCAGTTTTTTCTGGGGTAAGCAAACCTGGAAACCAGTAGCCCATAAAATCATGGAACTGGCCGTCTCTCTGATGCACCCACGCCAACCACTCAATCTGAGGTACATGTACGGAAGTGTCCAGTCGGAGTTCTAGGACAAAGCCGACTTCTGAGGGGATTGACCCTCGGGTCATCCAAAGGGCTCAGATGAATATCCAGCAGAGACAAGCTCTAATCCTTGGGTATGGAGAACGTTTGGGGGCAGGCCAAACAAAATCAGGGGTTTGGTAAACATGTAAACCCATCCACCCAGGAGACCTTTGCATCAAGGTCTCTGTATTTGTCATCAGAAAAAGTGGGGCGGTCGGGTAGCCTAGTGGTTAAGGCGTTCGCTCGTCACGCCAAAGCCCCGGGTTCGATTCCCGACATGGGTACAATGTGTGAAGCCCATCATTTCTTGTGTCCCCCACCCTGGTATTGGTGGAATATTGCTAAAAGCGGCATAAAAAGGGTCACAGCCTCGTGTCTGGAGATGAACTGCTGGAGGATAATAAAATCTCTAGCATTGGGTCTGTTGTGGAGAACCTTCTTCTGTCCAGATGGAATCCAGATCCTATGATAATGGCAACACCATGTCGCTCACATACCTATGGGCACCAATAGAATGATAATACCAAAGAGGATTATCCTTGGAATGTCGAAGATGATGGTCATGCCTCTAATGCCTGTCAATGCGCTAGTGGATCTCTGGGGTACAAAGACTATTATGGACGAAGCCTTAAGGATCAGGGCTCTATCAAACACAGGTGGATTATAAACATCCTGTCTGCATTTCGGACAGTTTTGGGGGATTTCAACCGTTGCTTGAGCAAATCGTATATCTTAATGAAGATCCAAAAGGCACAGACGAATGATTTGCAACACTTGTTTTCCGTAAAATTTCACTGCTTCAACCACTCCCAGCAATAGAATGAGGATATGCTGGATACGCTGTGTTACTGTCTCATGGGTGAAGCAGCTGACTTCTAGAGAAGGATGAGTACATCAGCTGCCATGAAACGATCAAGAAACGCGAAAGGCGGTTTGGAAGATGATCTACTGCAGTCTTTCATCAGGCCTCGGATGAATCTCTGGAAGAATGGTTGGAGCGGGTACAGCAAGGAGAAATTGCAGCTTTAACGGATTTGCCAGGAGACTTTATGGAAAAACAGGTTGGTGGGGAGATTCTGCCAAGGAAGTGCTAATTAAGAAGCTTCTCACCATGTCTCCAACTTTGGTCTGAGGACACTGGGACACGCTATTGATTCACAAGCAGTCTATGGCAGATCAACCATCCAAAGGGACGTGAAGCAGTTGCAGAAAGACTCTCCAAGGGACAGATAACCAATTAACATACAATGTTATCAAACGGATCTGGCTGGTCAACAGAAGAGAAGACTCAATGAACTGTATTTTGTATTAAGGTTCTTTAGGGCTTCAGACTATTGAACTGTTGAAAAAACTAACAATTGTAGTAAAAGAAGGTATGTCAGGGAGGTAGTACTATTTAATGTAAGGAGTGGTGAGAAAGTTATAATATTTATATGCTAGTGTGTTGTGTAAACTACCGGAAAACCCTGGATTGTGATAAAGTGTAATAGAAACATGTAGAATATTCTATGTTGTGATTACACTGTGTGGACATTTCCAGTAGCTAGTCAGACAGGATATAAGGCGAAGAGCGTGCCTCTAGTATCTCTCACACATTTCATTACATCAAGTCCAGCTTTCGTGTGAAGATCACTCATCACCCCGGATTCCCTGCCTAGGCCGTCCCAGAAAGCTTGACCACTGTCGCCGATGGCTGATTATACTGTTATCACTTACCTTTGCTATCACCACTGTAGTTTTGTATGTGATACTTACCACTGTCATCATTTACATACTGTCATTGAATATTTTAAGACCACCATATTGTGTACTGTCATTGTAATTACTATGAAGTAATTTGTATTGATTTGTTAACCTAGTCAATGTTGTAATACATTTGTTGATTATATACCATTTGTTGTTTGTTTGTTGGTTTGACACTGAGTTCTTTTAAATACATTTTTCTTGGTTAACACACTGTTTCAATTTGGAAATCGACACGTAAAAATAGTGATTCATAAACACATGGTTGTGATATTATCGGAATCACATAACAGATCTGCTTTTAACAGAGCTTTCCTATGATCATTGAACTGGCGTTGTCGCTTTTATTTACAACTTCAGTGTACCATGACTTTTTGAAGACACCATTCAATCTTGTAAAATTGTGACAGGTTTTAGAAAGAAACATCTTTATACAGACTCATTTGACATTACAGTAACTATTCAAGTAACTTAAATTAGTGAGGAGAGAACTTCATTGCAGTGAACAGTTGTACTGCACTTCGTGATGCTCTCCACATCAATAAAGCAACCTGAGGGTGAACTCACATGCGAGCGATCCTTTTACTCCCAACGGCTGCCCGGACATATATGCAGCTGTGGACACAAATGTGTTAGGGTGACATCAGTATCAATAGACATGACGTGCTATTATTACCATGTGGTTCACAGTTATATGGGGATAGTTTATAACCGTCAGATGTCTGCACAGTTATGAAACAAAATGCACAAAAATATCAAAATAGAGGAAGTGTCTTTAAGAAAATACTCGAATTAAATTAAAGTACAGACTGATTACCTTGTGGCACATACTCGTGTTCAATAGTGATTGCATCGTTCAGGTCATCATCTTCACTTGAATTCTCTATTGGTGAAAAGACAACTGATTTGACGAGACCGGCCATCTTCAACAAGGGGGTAATTTTACTGAAGCAAGTTGAAGCAAAGCTGACACCAGGTCTTCCAAGTGACACCTTTGGTGACATCTCCAACATGGCGCTCAAGGTGGCAGCTGAAGACCCCATCATTTGTAGATCCTCTATCTTGTCAGCTTTACTCCGCATCTGTCGTGTGTACTTGATAGATGATGTCACTTTTGCTAGAATATTACTGGTGGAATCCAGTTCCTCCTGTGTCAGCTTCAGAATCTTGCTGGGTCTCTTTTCAACATCTGACAACAGAATGGCTCTCCTCTGCTGTATTTCATCAATCAATTCGTTAAAGGCTTTGTTGATGTCAACCACGGCAGCATGTTTTGACACCTGTATGTTTGAATGTCTTTCCTTGAGACCTTGTTTTATTTCCTCAAGTCTCTCTGCCTTCTGCCTCAGCTTGACTAAGGTATCGTCAATGGACTTTGCCTTTTTTTGGTGTGCTTCATTCACGGATACAACGTTGTGTTCCTTCCCTTCCTTGTGGTCCACTACAGTGCAGGACACACAGACGATCTTTTCACAAGTATAGCAGTAGAACTGTAGAGGTTGGTCGTGTTGTGCACACTTATGGTGACGTTTGAAACTTTTACCTGGTTGTTTTTTCATTTCCTTAAAACTGACAGGTTGGTGATCTCGCATCGACTTAACTCTTTTGTGGGCATTTAGACATTCTTGGCACAGGAAGACGCCACAGTCATCACATCTGGACATGGCAGGGTTACCATCAGGACAATCTGTACATGGCAGATGAAGCCCTTTTACAATCTTCAGATGATCCAGGAGTCTTAGGATGATAGGCTCTTTGGGCAGAGACTTCACACCGCCCGCCAGGTTATGTTGGTGTCGACACATGGGACATGATAACGTTGGGAGTCCTTGGCTGTACGTCTCTAGACAAGCCTGACATATTGACTGTACACAGCAGGGCATACGACGAGGTATCCGTCTGACCTCATCAAAGTGTTCTGTACATATTGGGCACTCGGTGAGGAGGTCCTTGATGGCGGACGCCGATACATAGTTCGACATGGTTATCTTGAAATATAGTTATTACATATGAAGCATTTTCGGATGTCTTGTATACTTTCGAGACACATCCAGACTCTCTCCCTATACGTAATACAATATAATATGATATTCTTTGAGGTTATAGTTTCATATTATCACATACATAAGTACATTATTTTGACAAAAAGGTAGAAAGGAAATAGAAACAAAACCTGGAATGATGGTATTCCTTCTGAGACAAAATGTAAGACATCGTATAATTATGGGAGCCCATGTAGTCCCTGTCAGGTATGCATACAGTTGGGAACATTTTATCAAAGATGGTCCTCATCATGAAATGAATAAACCTTACCACCAAGGTGAAAAGCATATTATATTCAGTGAATATATTTCGTAACATGGAAAACTAATAAAAGTACAAAAACACGGTTGTTTTAGTAGAAAACTCTGTTTATCCAGTTGACGGAGACTAGAGAGTGAATATGTCATCTGCTAGCAAATTGTAACTACTGTTTGTAGGTCGCACTTGAGAACGAGGCTTGGTTTTTACGGGAAAAGATATCAATTACAAAATTTGTTTTAGTAGAAAACTCTGTTTATCCAGTTGTCGGAGACTAGAGAGTGAATATGTCATCTGCTAGCAAATTGTATTTACTGTTTGTAGGTCGCACTTGAGAACGAGGCTTGGTTTTTACGGGAAAAGATATCAATTACAAAATTGAGGCTAAGCTCGCACACTGTATGCTATTTTAATATGTTATTCTGGTTGAAAACTCTTTGCAAATCTATATCTAGGTCATCTTGCCTTTGACAGTCGGTCAGTCATATGCCTGAAAGATCACCTCAACACATAAACAGGTTTTTTAGGCGTGAGAACTAAACAGGAAATGTCAGCATGTATGATAAATTTAGATTTAAAAATTCAACTGATTAAAAGACATTTCTGACATCTGCAATAGTCAATGAAATTCCAGATCAGGACAGAGCGTCGCTCATGATTAATTGACTGTAATATCTGTACAGGTCATCCCAAGTCAGATGGAGTGCTACTCGTTATCAAATTACACATTGGGCGTAATATTTAGTTCTGTTCAGGTGAAGTGGTTATTCCGTGATAGTCTGCAACGTTATTCGTTGTCAAAATACATATAGGGAGTACTATTCCAAGTTTGTCAGTCTACCGGCCAGTACATCAATACTTTTCACGCTGGTGCAAAATATCCATTCAAAATGAATAGCCGTAGGTATTTATAACTCCTGAACTCCGGACAACCTAGCGGTCACCAAATAACTACACCCAGGACGCCCTCAGGCAGGGGACCCGACACCCGCCGAGACCCGAGAGATAAGGAGCCCTCCCGTCAACACAGGTAGTCAGATCGATCCACAGTCAATGAGCATGCCTAGCTCGTCAACCGTCACCCGGGTCGATAACTACCCATTCTCTCCAACACTGTCCGTTCTACCAGCCATGAATAACCTAACTACACGACGTAACGAGCGGCAAAGGAATATATTTACACAGACATAAGCTTGTATTAAAAGCAGGTCGTCCATAAGCATACATTTACCACGCCCACTGGATACGATTTCGAATATGATAAACAGATAAGATGAGGATTTCGGTTTCCTTCAAAAGTCCTTCTTGTTCTTTGCGTTCTTGGTCACAACCTAAATTGTTTTGTATTCATTCCAAAGCGCCATTATAGAATTAATTCAAAGTGAACTCACTGATTATTGAAATCACTTACCTTGACTGTGTATTGTGAACGGACATATAATTCTTAGTCATCACTAGCTCTCTCTGTCTTTAATGCGTATCAATACCACCATCGTAGTAACATGTCTGCCAGGAATGCGGAAGTCGTTATCCATGTAGTTATAGTTACGGGGAAGGTTCCAGACATGCGCTGTGTCTAGTTTCGTTTTGTAACTTGACGTTTATTGGTAAAATGTATATCACATTTGAAGCATCTTAAAATATTTGAATCCATATTGTAGTAAAGATCCTTTACACTGTTCTATGTATGAAGTCTCACATAAATATAACCATGGGAGGCTTATACAAAAACAAACTAGTTATGTTCCATTATACCGCAGTTTTTTAAATTTATTTTTTTATCGCTGAACTCAATATGTCAAGCTGTATTACAACGGTCTGTAAATAATTGAGTCGGACACACTAGTGATTGATATAACGAGCAACGTCTCACGCTGTCGGTGCGCGATGATACGCATTGAACCAAGTCACTGAGACTGACCACTCGATCCATTAAGTCGCCGGGACCTTTTCAAAGTATTCTGTGCGTATTGGACACTCGGTTACGGGGCATTCACATTCAACCAGTTGTACCGTGTGAATGCCCCTTTAGGAGGTCCTAGATGGCGGATGCAGATACATAGACCGATATGCAGAACTGCTGTCGATAATAAAGTATGTTAACACATCACAGGTAAACATCTGAGATGCTTTTCCAAGTCCATTAATAAAAATATGTTTTGTTTATAATTGGTGTTGTTTATTGCTGGGTTCAATCCCTGGGCGCGATGATCTATGAAGTCAACTTTCCAGTAGTCCACTTTCCCTTCATGTCGAGTAATATTCCAGCAGCTCAAGCCTTTGGTGTTTACATTTCACAACTTTTGAGATACAATGAAGCATCCTCTTTCCACAAAGATTTCAAAGAGCGTCATACGACTGTTGAACAGAAGTTGTTTAATCAAGGATACAGCATTCAATGCCTCACTAAAGCTTTCAAAAAGTTTTATATTGACATGTGGAGGACATTTTCAAATGTGATGCATCGGTGACCGATGCAAACCGGGCTTGGATACGCCCACCTTTCCAGGAACACCTGGCATCATAACTGTTTGATAGTGATTCATAACACACGCTCATGATATAGTCCAGATCGTACAATCGACTCTGCTTGTAGCAGAGATTTCTTATGAATATGGAAAGGGTTTTGTCGCTTTTATCTGTAAATCATAGATCGTGCGTTGTTAAAATATTGAAAATAAGCAGTCATTAATATATACATGTATGCGACAATGCGACAGTGGTCACGCTGACGATACAGGTTCGATTCTCTGATTTGGTTAGCTGCGAAATCGTGACTATTCACCGCTGCTTCTTTACTATCTTTATGAAATTTGTCACTGTATTAGCTGTACTAACGAGAAGTAACTAGCTACGTTTCGTATCCTGCCACAAGTATAAATTCTCACCTCCAAAAGAAACGCGAACCATAGAAACATATAGAGAAATATGTACGTCAAGAAGAGATGTCCCCAATGTGTACCACTTAATAACATAACTAACGATCAGTCAAGTGTAACCACAGAGTGTCCTTATTCTTATCACGATAGGCTGCAAGTGTTTTCCAACTTTACACGCAAATCCTGCACGAGGCGAGATGTAAAGAATTGATTCTTTGTTTGTATGTTGTTTAAAGCCACACTCAGCAATATTCTAGGTATTTGACTGCTAAATTTATTTGTGGTTTAACATGATATATTGCACTCCATTTTGTGGCATAACATGAGGCACTCTACTTAAAGTAACGTATAGCAAGATACGCGACGCTGAATTTGTGGTTTAACATGCTATATTACACTCCATGGTGTGGAATAACATGACACACTCTA